TCGCACTGGAAGACATGCATTCGATTCTGTCTAAGGCACTTGAAGAGCGATTGTGGTACGCTTCAGGTTCCTGCTCCAGCCGCAAGGCTTCATCTTCCCGGGCGCGACGCGACGCGGCGGAAACAATGACAATTCCCCGGAGTAAAAAACACGAAGCCGGTGATCAAAGCGCGACACAATGTAACATGTAATCATTGAGATTACCCTTGTTGTCGACCATCCTCCCTACTTTCACCTACTCCACAATTACTCTTGCAGGCTGCAGTAGTACACCGGTTAAGGCGACGCAACAAACCGCAACAAACGCGACAAGCCCACAGAAGACCCGCAGTAGCAACTGCATAACTATAAGGTGTAATAGCACCAAAACAGTGAGTGTGAATGAAAAACTAGGATTTACATTCACTTAAAACTTGTATAATACCAAGGTGCAGTCCATTTTATGCGCTGATCAGTTTTGCCTCTTGACTACCATATCTTTGAGCCTCGGTGTAAATTAATTTCGCTCCTAATTACGGAAATAATTACACAATGCGACGTGAAGCGGATGAAGGGAACCGGAATAAAACGTAAATTAGTTAGTTGCGTCGAGCTGCGGCTTTTCCGTTCTGTTTGAAGGATGAATATAAAAAGTATAGGACCAAGTAAGACTGAGAGATAACCTAAAAAAGAGGAGGGCGCGGCGTAGAAAGAGAGAAATTGCGAAACGGAGAAAATTAAAACGATAAATCCTCTTCTCGTCGTCGTCGCGGTCGTGGTCGTGCAGGCCCGAGGGACGCGAGCATACGATGTGGAGCTGGTACTTAAAAAAGTACTAAAACACAGTGACATGTGGTCCTTAATATCCCAGCCATACGACCACCACGACCCGGGACGATCGGGAGCAATTGCAATTGATTTTATTCATTCCTCATTCGGGCGCTTAATATTGCGGATTCCTAATGCCCGGGTCGGTGTCTGCAGATTTACGGCCTTGCGGACAGCATCCACCCGCCTTTGCGGCTTGCCAATCTTTAAGCCACTTGATAACGTACAAATAGTTTACGAAACTTTTCCAGGGGTTGAAAATTCATCAAACTGGTTAATCTATAACTCAAATATTAAAAAAACGGTAAATAACCGAGAACATTGTGTTAAAATTACAGCAAATTTTTTGTTCTGAAAAATGTAAGAATTGAATTACTCTATGCTAAGGGGGGTTGGCAAAGTTTGCACAGAACGTCACGGTACTTTGTATTCGTTCTCATTGAAATTTTGATTGATAATTAATTTAAATGCGACGACGTCGAGGCGCATTCTTTTGTCTCGCGAATATTTAATATTAAAGTTTCGCGACCTCGCGCCCGGGGCGCGTTTGCGTAAAACGCGGAAAGAAAATCCGCAGCTTTTATCCTTCGCCTTGGCTGGTCTTGCTCGGCTGCGCCGCGCTTCACTGCGATACTCGTTTCCGTCGTGTTTTCGTTAGTCCTTTGCACCCAACTCTTTGGGATTGATCCCGTGCTTCTTTCGCCTGTTTAGCTTCTCGTTTCAATTAAACAGAGCCGCATTTAGCAATAAATTCATTCAACCATTTGTTATTTTTTTTATTTCTACAGTTAAGCAAATGGCCTAGAATCGGCAAATAATTACTACAATCAGTAAATGATTTTCTACCGCTTCTTTTTGGTGTAATACTGAACTGATTTCGATTTTATACTTCTAGCGCACTGCTGTTGTGTTCGGATACTGGCTTCAGCGTTTAAAAGTTAAAAGCGCCATTTTAATTTAGCATGAGGAGCGCTAGAGCCGCCTTCGTCGTGACGTCGTCCTCGCCGACGCCGACGCGAAGAGAAACTTTCTAATTACGCCAAGTTTTCTGATTAATCACAGTAATTAATTAGTTCTTTGCTGTTATATATAGGTATTTTATATATGTAGCACTTTCCTGCTTCGCACATATTAAATCCGCTTCGAAGGCGTATTTGCATCAACACCTGATTACTATATTGTGTCTTAAATTACCCGTACACGTCCGCGCGGACTATTTCTTCTTTAGTTTTCAGCTTGCATCGATAATTGAAAACAATAGGATCAAAGGTGTGAACGCCGGCAGTCGGACGTTTTGTAGCGGTCAATAGTCGAGTTAAACAAGTCGTCCAAAGCCCACTGAAGCATGACACTTCAAAGTTTTTAACATTTCAACGGTCGTTTTTATATTTCTTAGATCATTCCCAGCGGACATGCGGCGGTTCTTAATTGTTATTTTGTTTTTCACTATTTACGCCATGCTTGCCAAAAACATTATCCATCATTTTTGATAGCCTAGCAGAATATTAACTTCGTTTCCACTCCTCGCACTGCGCGCTTGTTATTATCGCGTTAAAAGTCTTCGCTCGCACAGTGATATTGTATTTTAGTTTATTTTTCTCGCCTTCCATAAGATCGTAAGCTGCCGCGGACGGACGGTACGTGGAACTTCGTGAGCTTCGGTGTGATCTTCGGGTGTTAAGACTTCTTTGTCGGTTCGAGGGCGGCCGTCATTAGAGTGTGATTCAGCAGAAAGTCGCTCGCCGTTTGCGACGTTACAACATTGCTATAAATAGTTGTTGCTGTGGTTGTGTTGCCGCGACGCTTTTGTCTTGGGAAACGCGCCGCGCGTCGCTCCGTTCGGAAAGGTATAAATCTTCGACTCAGAACTCGATTTTAATAATCTCTCCGATACACATGATCAATCAATGATACGCAGAAAACATCGAGACCGTTTCGAACATGTTTCGAATACTAAATATATCAATATAATTTTTATATCGAATGCTATGGTATAAAATGTTACAATTATTATCAACTTGATATTTCCGTTTCATTTCTTAGGAATTTTTAATTTTTTTTTGTAGATGTTTGCGGATAGGAAGTAATTAACAAATTACGCTTAATTTGTTACATTTCTTCCAACTTTGAAACAATTTAATGCTCGTAATTGAAATTAATAAATATACACGATAATTGCAGTGCACGCCTGCTCCGCGTATGAGGTGTGTGCGTTTAAAAAAAACGACAGTTAAAATGTGTCAGCCGGCGATTGTGCCTCCAGGTAATCGGTTCGCGGTTAGGAATGGCCGTCCGCACAACATACGGGCATCGAAACACTCCAAACGGCCGGAACGCAACTAAATACATATACTAAACGCGACGCGATGGACGACGGCATGCCGAAAGCGTCAATTAGGAGCACGAGCCGCGAGTTATTTCTTCGCTGGGCCCCGCTTATTTTCATAATTAGTTGATTAATTATCACAAACGTGAGGATGTAACACTTGGCTGGAAATTATGCGGTTGAAATTTTAGCTTTGGATAATTTCGTGTGCATATGGAGCGGGGCTCGTAAAGATAATGACGAAATCGTTAAATTACTGCAAAAATGTTAACTATGCAAATGCTTAAAGCAATTAATAGTTAAGTAGAAATTACATATATCTATGTTCAGTGAGTGCGTAATGGTAAATTTTAGCATGAAAATTCTGGTATGTGGCATAGTCTAATGTTTTCAAATCCTTAGGTTTTTATTATGTTTCGCAGCAAGCATATATCCTCGCTGTCAGATGATATATGCCCGGTTGGAAGCTTAGATTCAGGAATTTGTTCCGATGCTACCACGTTACACGGCATCTCATTTGTTTGGCCAGCAAACACCTAATGTCGCACTGTGAAAGTGAAAGATTGAGGCGAACGCGAGTAGAGACATGAGTAAAACTGGTCAAAACCTCGCCAGACTTAAGATATCGCTGAGCACATTTGTCAGATCAGCGGGGTGCAACGGCTACCGCAACAAGAAGTCGACATAACATGCATGATTGCATGTTCCCATCTCGCGGAGAGCTCTGGCTTGCACAAGAAGTTCCGCGCACCGCGAAGCATTTTGAAGCTAGCGGGTACTGACCACTCGACCAGTTTTTGTTTTTCTCGAATCTCTCGATCTCCACGCGTGACATGCAAATCAAGCATTTAATTTTCTACTTTGCAAGCCATTACCTCGGAAGTTTTGTGCCGTGTGTGTTAAATCACGATTGAAGCTCGAAATGTCTTACATGTGAAAGCCGCAAGAGACAATCAATTTACGATATCACGATTTCGGCGGTATTTTGGCAGGAAATAATGCGGGGCTATTGTTTGTTGCTGTTTTCACTGGAACGCATTTTACGCATACATTCCGAGAAGATAATTGCATTCGGGATTTTGTACGTAAGTACAAAGAATGCAAAATTTGAGTCAGGCGCGCACGACACCGCACTTTAGCAAATTTCGCCGAGATCTATCAACACTCCACCGCTCCAATAATTTTTGTGCATCACGACTTTGGCCACGTCGACGAAAGAATGCGCAATTCGTCGCTGAGTTCGAATTAGCAGAGATACGTCGAGCGCCTGCGAAGATGAAAGAAAATAAAACACGCACAAAAGTTTTGAGACAAAATAATGCACGCCTTGTATAAACGCCAACTTTGTGCGCAGTAATGCCTATTATTATTCTGTGTTTTACAACTATGTTGCGTACGTGAGCGGCGAGAAGAAAACGACTTCTTTTGAATCGTACCAGGCGATCGAAATTTTGCGTATCGGGCTCCGGTATTACTTGCACGGAATGAAAATAATAAGAGCGCAGATGGCAAATTTGAGCACCGCGATGCAAAAGGGTATTGTAAGGGTTGATTATACTTTTGTGTCCAAGAAGGCCTTACGTGTGTGTCTTACGCAGAAAGCGACGTTCGATAAATATTATTGTTATTGTAATTTTTTGAAAAAATGATGGAGATTAAATTACAATGCACTGTGTTTTTATATAAGTATTACATTGCTGCTGGTGTTTAGAAAGTCGAAAAATCATCTTCATAACCAGACATACAGACTTATTTATAACATCACCAAAATGACATTGAAGTCGCAAGGTTACATCTCTTATTAATATTACAATAACAACCGTTTTACGCTCTCAAATCTAATAATATACCTATTTTTTGCTTTCAGATTTATTCGCAGCTTTAAGTGGCAGTTTACACCAAGATCCGTTGGAGGATTCGAGAGAAAACAATTGAAGACTATGATTGCAACGTAACGGCGGTGGCGGTGTGAATAAAATTTGTCGTTCATAATCATCCCTTTAAACTAATAACACATTCTATACATTTGAAGGAGGTCTGTCCCACCTTACCTATACCCATGAAAAATAACAAAAAAGATTGGATGCAACAAAAAAAGAATAAAAAGGAAGAAAGCACGACGCATGACTATTTGGAATCTGTGTATATGTATAGTAGAAAAGCGTGTGTACTCCATTAGTAGAGGAGATCGCGTGCGGTAATAATGGGGTTTTGTCCACTTTAAAATGTGTTATTAATGTGGCCCAAATATGAATGAGGAGCTACATGTTTGACATGCCAGCCAACACGGTGTGGATTTAAGTGGAGGTACCGTGAAGAAATTGTGAGAAAATGCACGTGAGATGCGGAGATTCAACTTCAGATACTGGATATGATCGATGTAACCTGACTTCTGTCGTCCTAAAAATATTTTACATTGATTTGGCTATTAGTCACTAAATATAGTTTAATTTAGGTATCCTTATAAGAAGGTATCTTTTTATTGTGATATGGAAGAATTTGTTACTAGCAAAACCTTAAAATTGTTACCTAGACAAAATGTTATACAAATTTCTAGTAATTTAAGTTTTTTACTGCATTTTAGCTATGTAAAAATTAGCAAACTCAAATTTTTATGAAACTAACAAGCTTTTGCCTGCGACTTCGTCCCGGTAGTGTTTAATAAAATGTAATTCGTTTTTACTCTCTTGTTCTTGACATAATGACTATATGTCAATTCTATCTATAAGATTTGCAATTTTATTTTAAACAAATTAATTGTATATTATAAAGAATTGCTAATAATGCACTTCAGCGCCCCATCTCGGATTCAACTATTTAACTATAACTATGATTAAATCTCAATGCCAACTTTTATCCTATAGAAAAGGGCTGTCTTTAGTGTTTTCCCGAAAATTATTTAAATTTTTCTCTCCGTTAAAACCATCCTTGGACTTTAAAGAACATTTAAAAAAAATAATTGGCCAAATTGATCTAGGCGTTGTTGAGTTATGCGCTTACCAACAGATTTTGCGTTTCATTTTTATATTATAGATGTAATCCTAAGTGAATTTAGATTATATTGATTGATGTCGTCGTATACTGGATGATTATTAAACGACGCGTAAATCTCATCCGTCCGACGTTGGATATTACTTTGGATGCAGGTAAGCGAGCATCGCCTCACGGTTCGTCATCGTTTTTGGCTAATGGCTACTTATGTTTTACAACCCGCGACCCGCGAGTTTCGCGCTTCACGACACAACCACTGACATATTTTTTCTTCGCTCATTCGCGTTCGGTCGATGGCTGCGATGGCAGCGCGCGGCACGGCGCGTTGGTACCTTCGACGACGATGTTGATGAAAAAAGGGTACAACGCGGCCGTAAATTACCGGACGATGACTTGTCCATTAAATTAGGACTCAATTTATTACCGAACAACAGCACACGAACGCTTAAACACACGCGCGCGTCGCACATACTCGTACATCATGCCAGGCGGCGCGGACGTCGCTGGCAAATCGGCGTTAAACTGGGAGGGTAGAATTAATAAATCTCGAAATCCATCCTGCGATATTCGGTCAGAATTTACATCGTCATCTACTGAGTGTTTTATGTTTTTATATGTTTTTTTGTTTGTAGATTACATAGGAGATTATAATATATCCGCATTGAGATTATAAGTAGGTATGATGCAAATTTGCGTGTTGAAAATGATGCTTTGAGTTCCGGTATAAGTTTAGTTGAAAAATTTTTAATTTTTTCAAAGAAAATATTTGTATGTGAATTTTACAAATCCTTCAAGCCTCAGTATTTTGTATACGGCGACGGAAATAAATTAAGAATAAAATGTGAATATGAATATTCATTCTAGGATACTTAAACACTTATTAGTGTTTAATATTTAGCGAATTGACGAGGTGAAGCCTACCCTCGGCGCGCAGCCAGCGCCTGCCATGCCATGACATTAATTGCGGTTTCTCTTAACGCAACAACACAACGCGTAAAAACGAAATAAAACATGCGCGAGACTCACAGGGCATATATGTGTTCACGCGTGATTTTTATAAGTGCGATTTATGCCCATTCGTTCCAAGGCATTTCGTCTAAAAGGCATAAACAACAAAATAATTTATTGTAATTACTGACGACGCGCTAATTCATTAACCAGTTTTTAATAGCCGCATAGCGATCAATTCAATTGACAATCGAAATGCGACACTCAACTTTTGGTTGATTTGGTTTAATAAATTGTTTTTTAATCTAATTTTTTATAGTATGATGCAGCATATGGCAATGAATTTGTTTGATGCGTATCTTTTTTTATTTCTTGCATCTCACTGTTGGAATTTTTGAATTCCAACGTGCAGCGTCGCTGCATGCAATCGGAAAGAAGTCGCTGACCACCAACATAGGTGTGCTCTTTATGATAATTTATGAACTTGCGAAAAGCAATCGGGCGCCACGGCTCCGTGCGGTTCAGGCGAGCCGATGTTTAATTATTAATTAATTCGCAACGCATTATTATTAGCGTGCGCGGAGTCGCTGGGCGAGGTCAAAGGTGGTCGAAGAACACACGATTCGTGCATGCTTGAATCCCGAGTTTGCACAAGCTGAAAATGATTTCAAGATGAAAACGTAAATATGTGGGATGTAAATTGAACGTTTCATCGATACTTATGATTATTGACACACCTCCTTGTTAAGCGTTAATTAATTGTTTATTTTAACGTGTGCTTGCGTTCAACAAGAGATTTTAATCAATTAAATATAAGATTTGTTTCGGAGATTGAGAAAGATTGTGAGAAATATTAAATTAATTCATAAACGTAAAAAATTTTCCGAAGTGCTTTTAGTGTCAATAACGAAACAATCTGTGACAATATGAATAATGCAAACGTTGAAGATTGTCCCGGCGATAGGACGACACGAAACACGAGCTTTTATCTTCGCATCCGAAACCCACCCACGCATTCTCACACATGCGTCCGCTGTCACGGACGGAACTCGTACTCATCTCTTATCGTTATCGACATCGTGCATCGCTCTAGTAAAACTACTGCTCTACACGTACAAGCAACCCATCGCACACCTGCGCGAACTAGAATTCGTAATTCGGTAATCGAAAAAAATCTCTCATAAAAATCGTCTACTTTTGTCGCCTACTCGAAACACATCTCACTTTACTCATCATGTTGATCACATCAGTTGCAGTTCACAGGACAAACAATACCAGATTCTCGTCTTTCATTCATGATTTTCATTTTATTCCTAAACAAACCTGTACCTACTACGTATGCATGTGTGTTGTTCAACTTGTTCTTGTGTTTGATGTTGTTTTACGTTGCCTAGTACACGCGTCGACCACGGGCGTTTGATTGAAACTATATGGTCCATGAACGAAACTGGAAGGAAACTGTGCGCACATAATTTTATGAATGAAGATTTCATTTCATTGACATTGCCGGTCGGTTCGTACTTTATATTCTTTTCATTTCAAGCGGGCATAAAGTCGTGAACGAGGGAATCTATAATAGACATGACGACTACTTGTATTCCGAGGTGTCGTTTTCAAAGGCCTTTTTGTGGGCTTCTGATGTTTATTGTTTCTTTATATGGAGATGCGATAAGTGGTGAATTTGTGTAACAACTCGTCGACCACAACATTTTGAATAACATCGTGGCGAATCGTGGACTTTATGAATAACACAGGAAATCTCGTGACGTCATGACACAATTATGAAAGATACAAACTGTTAATTGAAATTTATTTCACTAACTGTAAAATTATCGAACAAAATTCTTAAAGTTTAAAAGGCAGGAGGAAACACACATCAAAGTTAATATTTCTTTGATTTTTTTGCTACATTTTTGCAAATTCCAAACTTGAGATTAGTTTTTTGTGATTTTCCACATAAGATCCTAGGGCAATGAATCAATTGTTGAGAAATAAGCACCTTGTGCTAAAAAGGGTTCAAATTGTAAATTGTAGCTACTTAACATTCCAGTTTCTTAAAACGTGAAGTTTCATCATGCCACCACCTCAATTTCTACTGTTATTCATATTCAATATTACCCACTAAACGTAAGTGATTGTTTAGACTTTAGACACTTTAGACTTAAAGCAGAAGCACTCCGTGCAGTCTCCATGCGCTTAGGGCTAGCGCCAAATTACAGGGTTGATGCTCGGTTAATTAAATATTATAACCGAATAACCGATATTAACGCGCCGCGTTCCTAACTGCCCACTGATTTCTCACAAATAATAAGCAGAGACAATCAGCTAGGTGTGCGTGGACAAAAACACCAGTACCTACCAGACGACCACCATTCTGACCGCAAACGAGGTGCGTGTGCCATCCGTCGGTATGCATTATGTTTTTTTTTCTCGCTGCGGATGCTTTCGTGATCTTTTTGTGCTTTGTCGGTGCGCCGATGCCGCCACCACGGTGTTATTTGAATCAATTTCTGCTCTCGATCGCTCGAAATTATTCAATTTGTGATGATCATGTTTTGACATTCGACGTCGGTGGGAACGGTTTTTTTTTGCCGCCCTGCAAATTCGATACTGGATACGATAAGTGCCGGAAAATGGGTTCGTGATGCCAAAAACATCAAACGCCAGGCGGATATTAAGCATTAGTTTATTAATAAACCGTAATTTTCGCTCAGGAAGTCACGAACAGATTTTTTAGAAAGCCAGCAAAAGTTAAAATTGTTTGGTTTCTTGTAGAAGGGAATTTTTGGACGTTTTTGGAACGCAATTTGAATAGTGCGTTCGTTTTACGCAGGTCCTGGTATTTTGTGCTCCTTTTTCGTTTTTCATTCTTTTGCAAGGCCGGGGTGTGTAATTAATAATTCTCTCACCGCTAATTACCGTGGCTATTAGGCGGTCCCTTTATAATTACCTAGCTCCCAGTTAGATGCCTTAAGTTGGCCAGAGAAGTAATTAAGTATCATTAATTAACGCCAGCAATAATATTCAGCTGTGCGGCCGCATCCATCGCGCTTCGAGCCGCCGCCTCGAACATCATCAGCGGCGCAGATAGAGGAGGCGGGCGGTAAGCGGGCCGACATCATCATCAGCACACTCGCGGGCGCGATCTTTTCCAGCTCATTTGCATTTCAGAATTGCGAAATCCATCTTCGGCGGTTTTGCCACCCAAATGGAGGAGGCGCGCCCGCTTTTTGTTTTGCCGCCTACGCTCTAGTGAGCGATTATTCAGAGTTTAGAGTTGTACAATCCGCCCTTAATAACTTATCACCCCTTATTCGCGCCGATGGCATTCGTAATGGCAACCAGAATCGAAATTGGAGTTTATTACTTTTTGCATTGCACGGATCTTTCTTTCGGTTTTATTTTACGTCCCTCGTGGAATACCGCGTACGCAGAAAAAGGGGTGAATTGCTTATACGCAATTAAGGTACTATCAGCGCGTGGCGCTGGCAACCGACGTATTAGGCTTTGTGCAGGTTTTGTGAAAGGAAATTATAATGTCATCGGGGGTCTTAGGTCAAAAGTTTTAATTTAAACTGGTGCCAAAATTAATATTTTAATATAAATGGCGGCGGCGGCGCGCAATGGGGCGGTGGCTACTGATTTAATTCGTTTTGCCGGCGCAGGTTCGTTCGTTTGGCTAATATAATGATATCATTGTCGTGGATTTCTTGCCTTGCAGAAACACGTTTTGTTTTGGTCGCTTTGATCGTGTTTCGCTCTCCTGCTCTCATCTCGTCTGGTCCGGGCCGGACGCGACACTATTTTTAATTAGAATGGCCACGGGGTGCTCCGACACCTGCGGGGTGTTTGAAATGCAGCCGCCGTGCGGCGTGTGTGCGCCGCGGCTGCGATGGCAACGATTTCGAGCGTCGATTCACGATATACACATTTCCATGCATCGCCTTCGTTTTTTACTGTTTCTCAATTTATTATCCTGCCCGCCGCCTGAACCACTATCAATCAGGAATCGGTTCGTAGTTAATGTCTCGATGGTGTGAACTTTTAATATTCAAAAAGCGTTATTAATGGTTAAAACTAAATTTCCATTAATTATCGTCGTCTAATATTCGAGCAATGCGCGAAAGGTGCGCGCATATTTTCATTTCTTAGAAATGCTTTTCTTAATTACAACATTTTTGCGTTATCAACTACTGTGCAGTGCACTGATTTTTAATTTAACGTGAGGAACGTGAACACTTGATATTTACAGATGAAATGAGTTGGTCTTTAAGAAACTATTTCATATTCTTTTTGTGCAAAATATCTGTGACGTCATGTAGGTGCACATTGTTCGTTACTGCACTAATGCACTGTCAGGGTTGAATGTTGTTAATGGCAACTATCTGTCATTTTATTGCTTATATTCAGTAAACGAAAGCCTGCTTTGATATTCTACATAACCCAAAATTTACATTACGTTAATTTCATCCACATTAAGGCAAAACTGTTGGCTTCTTTCATTAAAAAATGAACATAAACACAAACACAAGGATTACTTATGTATATTACATTAAATACTTTTAAACAATAGAACTGTATATTTAAATAAGTTTATGTAAAATATTTAATATGGATTATACATATATATTTTTTTTAATTTTGCTGTATAATAAATTAATAAATTAAATATAAGACATGTACTATACTATTTTTCTGAAAGAATGAAAGTTGCATTTTAAACAAAAGTTTATTGAATATTTTTAAACGTTCAATGTCAAATATTACAGTTTCCTTTAGTATCCGAACAGTGTCAAGCCCCACCGACAGCCATTTTCTCGGTGGAAGTCAACTCTCGTGTTCCAGCGCCGGGTTCAGCTCGAATTAGACAAATTACACAAAATTCCAAACAGGAAACACCACTATCAAGTAGAAATTCGACTAACGTAAGTATTTAACAATCATAATCATCAAGTAGAATTGACAAACGTTGCAATTGTGAGCATTGCAATAAAATCTAACCTAAATTGCGCAACGATCATTCGGCAAACGTGATTTATCATACAAGTGATTATTGCAGGTGCAATCATGTCTGCAGCGCAAATATTCAATCGAATTGGGCAAATTGGTCTTGGAATTGCTCTGGCTGGTGGGGTCGTTAATTCAGCTCTTTACAATGGTAAGAAAAATACTGCTAATTATTGTTGGGTTAGTAACTCTCATCAATCAACACATTGATTGTCAATCTGGTCATGGTTCTATCTTAGAGCTGTAGTATTGTTAGCTAGTACTTATTTCTTCATCTTTGTTATCTCTTGTATTATTATGTTGTAAATTTGTTGGTTGTGGGTTGTAGTCACAGCTTGAGATTGCGTGAAACTCTGATCGTGGTGTAGTGACACTCAGTTTTTATGAAGTTTGTATTTTGGCTGGTTAGCTCTTGATTTTGCCAGTCTCATGTGTGACAACCCCTCACTAAAACAGTCTTGCATATTGAGCCCTTGCAACCCGATTATAAAATGGATTTAATAAAGATATTAACTGTTTTTCTTGTTTTCAGTTGATGGAGGCCACAGAGCAGTAATTTTTGACAGATTTACAGGTGTTAAGAATTTAGTGTCTGGTGAAGGTACTCATTTCTTTGTTCCATGGGTACAAAGGCCAATTATTTTCGATGTGCGCTCTCGTCCTAGGAATGTACCAGTAATGACTGGAAGTAAAGGTATAATATGATGTTTTTCTAAAATATGTTGTGTCAGATGATAAGTTCCTTATGTTTGTAGATTTGCAAAATGTTAACATCACTCTGCGTATTCTCTTCCGGCCGATTCCGGACCAACTGCCTAAAATCTACACAATCCTAGGTCCTGATTATGAAGAGCGTGTTTTGCCATCTATCACAACTGAAGTATTGAAGGCAGTAGTTGCACAATTCGATGCCGGTGAATTGATCACTCAGCGAGACTTGGTTTCCCAACGTGTCAGCAATGATCTTACCGAGAGAGCTGCTCAGTTCGGCGTCATCCTTGACGACATTTCGATCACACATTTGACATTCGGCAAAGAATTCACGCAGGCCGTAGAATTGAAACAGGTGGCACAACAGGAAGCCGAGAAAGCTAGATTCCTCGTCGAAAAAGCAGAACAGACGAAGAAGGCGACCATCGTATCCGCTGAGGGTGACGCGCAAGCTGCCATCTTGCTTGCGAAAGCATTTGGCGATGCTGGCGAAGGTCTGGTGGAGCTACGACGTATTGAAGCCGCCGAAGATATCGCCTATCAATTATCCAGATCCAGACAAGTTTCGTATCTGCCGACTGGACAAAATCTCCTCTTGAATGTACCAACTGCGCCCATGAATTAAAAACCGTTTTATGTACGCATAGTAAGAAAGTGCATTTCCATACTTGATTATTTTCGTTTTTGTTTTCTATATGTAGTTTCTATCTATTCGGGAAATTATGAAGTTGTATGTTGCCAGCGGACGGAGGCGGGCTCGATTTCGGGGCAATATCGAAAATGTTTGCGGTTGCAATTCTATGCAAATTATTTTTGATGGAGACACATACGACTGATTTCATGTATAAAGTTGTTACTGTTAATTAAACTACTTTTATATGTAACAAAATATTATGGCCAAATCAATTACCTTTAATGTCAAGAGGGAAATTCCCGATTTATGTTATTATTTTTGCAACAAAATGTATCCTGTTATTTTATTAACAGAAACGAAAACCATCTTCAATCAATTACTAAAATGCGTTCAGAAGAAGCGAAACAAATATTAAATTAACAATCTGATTGTTGAATTCCAAGAGAAAATCAAGTATTTGATAAAAAAAAATTACGTTGAAAATGGTTGAAGTACATGATCTTGGCTCACTTATTTAAGTATTTTCAAAATGTTTAAATTGAAATATTCCATTTGCTTCAAGTAAACTTACCCACGAAAAAGAATTATTGCCAGCACCAACAGAGGGCATTAAAAAGTGCGCGCGGTTCGAGCAGTTGCGGACTCGTGCAGCCGACTGATTAGCCATTTTGAATGCTTTCGATTCGTGCAGCAAAGCGCCGCGCGTTTTTTGTTGTCTGTCGCAAGGTCTGCCGGTAGAGACGCCAGTCTACCTCACTTCACTTGAAACAAAAGCCGGCCGACGCTTCCAACCACCTCACGAACAACAATCTTCATATCCAAATTAACATCACCGCCACAGTAAGCAAACTAATAATTCTTCCGGGCGGCAGTAAATTAACCTAGAGCATAACGTAAACAAAACATAAAACTTGATTATGCATGCGATGTGATTACAATGTAAATCAATGTACGCTATCATGTTAATAGCACCATTTTTTAACAAATTCATTCAAACAGGTGATTTTGGAGGCAGAATAAGCCATAATCTTAATGTTTAAGGAATGTCCAAGCGCAAACAAGCACCAACAAGGAGACCTGCAGCCAAGAGGGGTAAGAAGAAGGAAGAATCTGATATTGATTCAGATCTCAGTGATCAGAGTGAAAATGAGAATGGTCCCCAGCCAGATGAGGTTCTTATTTCTGGCCATGGTGATGCTCTTGATGAACTTACAAAACTGCCAGATGAACTTCTTAAAACTTTAATTAAACCAGCTGGCCAGTTGCTCATTTTTGGTCAAGTCAATTGGGATCTAACAGGGAGAAAGGATAGCAAGACAAGCAAATTGGCATTTCCTAATTTGTATACTCCTCATCGCTTCACGAACTTAAGGGTAATATTTTGTGGTCATATTTATATTGTTTATTTAATTTTTTTACAATTAAATCGTAGGTCCGTTTTGCTGCAAGTGGTTGTGTATCAGCTCACAGTGTGATCATTACAGAAGAAGGTAAAGCACTGAGTTTCGGCAGGAATCAGTTCGGTCAGCTAGGTACCAATAACACAACTACGGTGCACATCCCGGCGGAGATTCAAGGCATGCAGGAAATGAATGTGATCAGCGCTGCTTGCGGTCGCAACCACACTCTACTTCTCACTGATACTGGCACCGTGTACGCTTGCGGAGACAATAGGTCAGGACAGTGTGGTATTGGCAACTTGCAGCCACAAGTATTAACACCGAAACGTATTAACTATCGCGGTCCTCCGATTATTAAAGTACGTTGTTTTTATATTTTTTTACCACCTATTTTAGTAACTCATTTATATTTGTATGCAGATTGGATGTGGGGCTGATTTCTCAGTAATTTTGGATGCCAAAGGTGGTCTGCATTCTTTCGGTTTGCCCGAGTACGGCCAGTTGGGGCACAATACCGACGGCAAGTACTTTAAGACAAGCACAAAATTAGACTACAACCATCAGACGAGCCCGAAGCGCATCGTCATCTATATAGAGAAGAGTAAAGATGGACATCTCACACCGGTCGATGTCACGGAGATCGTCGACTTTAGTTGCGGTCAGAATCATACAGTTGCGATCGACGGCAAGAAACGCGCGTTTTCGTGGGGTTTCGGCGGTTTTGGACGGTTGGGTCATGCAGAACCGAAAGATGAAATGGTATGTACAACCATTAGATTTATTTAGTTTGCTTCATGGTTTTTTCTTCGTAGGTGCCAAGATTGATCAAGTTCTTCGATACTCAAGCTCGCGGTTTGAATCAAATCAAATGCGGTTCGACGTACAGTTTAGCCGTCAACGACATCGGAGCGATGTATATGTTTGGTCGCTCCAAGCGTAACGGTGAGGCCAATATGTATCCAAAGCCAGTACAAGACTTGGCTGGCTGGGACGTTCATCAGATCGCCGCGGGTTTCACTTCTTCGATTGTTGCCGCGGACGAGAGTGTGATCTCATGGGGTTGTTCTCCTTGCTTTGGCGAACTTGGGCTTGGTGATATCTACAAGTCAAGCCATATTCCAAAAGAGGTAAAATTAGTTTGATAAAACCACTTTAAGATCCTTCTCATTGACGGTTTGTTTGTTTTTATCAGGTGAATAAGTTAGCTGGTACAAAAGTGATTTGCTTGGCGATGGGCTACTCTCACACTCTGTTAGTCGCCCACGACGACACCCCCGAACAAAAAGCGAAGTTGGAGGCGCTTGAAATGTATGAACCTTAGACTGCATTCGAGAAATCGTTGGCTGCCCTTCCATTACATTAATTTTATATTCATTTTAAACGTAAGTTAACAATTAATTCATGAAATGCTGAATATTGTCGATACATTTTTTTATATCAACTATTTAAGGTTTTAAATTGGTAATTATTCAGGTTAATACAATACAGTTGAGTGATCTTATTATATAGGTCTGTGTATTCAATAAATATAACTATAACGATTTTAATCTGGCATTTTATTAGCTACAACTTTCTACAAGTAGAAATAACACATGCAGTTTTATTTGATGAATAAGATTCAAAGCAATTAATGTACAACATTGCCGATCAGCTATTTGACGAAAGTTGGCGAAATATCCGGAATATTGCAACAAATTTGCACTTCTATGCATATTTACCTGCATAATAACATAATATAAATACGCCGCCAGACATAAGTAATTCCACGTATAGAAATATGCTAATTTTTTTAAACGTAGCAACCTGTGCTAACCGCCGTCCCCGGCGGATATTTTACTATTCTCATATTTTATTTAGAAGTCCGTGCTTAGTAAACCGGCCGTAATTATCAACACCCCCGAACTACGTATTATACATTAAATTCTAGAACTTTGTGTTTCGTTTTATATGACCAATGATTGACTATATAAGTACTAGTTAAATTAAGAATGCACATACTTAAAATAAAGACACCACTAACAACACAAAAATGAAATGTGGAGGCAATGTGATTCAACACGAGGCCTATATCAGAGAAGACTAAAACAAAAAATTGAATCAAATATGCCAAACGTACAAGATGATGTGAACGTCACATGGGACACAATATACACGGAATACAGTCAGTACTGCAGAGGAGGTCGTAGGCAAAATAAAGGTCAGCAATAGTAAAATCACCGAGACAACACCATGGTTGAAAGAAAGGTAAAACAAAACTGAAAGAAAGCACCTGACATTTACAAAGTGCCGGCAAGAGAGAACCGAAACTGCATACGAAACCTACAAATTTATTAGAAAGGAAACCAACAATATAGTAAGGAAATTAAAAGCAGTATATTGGTAACATTTTGAAAATAAAATAGAGGGTGATTTCTATACTTCCCAATACCAAGGCGATAGCGACACCAACAAACATGAACCTGTACTAACAATTAATGAGGAAGTGATTATAGATGAGGTAATGGAGTGTATCAAGGGATTGAATGTGAGCGAGCGTTTAATCAATTGAGTGGTTAGCAACGTTTAGCGACGTGATGCTTAGGCTATTTGTATTTTAAATCTTCGAAATTCACTCGCACACCTCTGGAATATGTGAGCAGTGCCTGCTCACTTGTTTGACTCACGGCATATGATATTTCAAATGGTGTTGTGCTGCATCGTAAAAAAAATGCACAGGTGCAAGATCCACCCGCGACTAAAGCCCGTGACTTTAGACATAGCCTTGATCGTCCGTGTTGAAAGTACTACCTTTTGTGTCTCGAAACCATCCAAAAAGAAATTTTAGGGTATATGACCTAAAAAAATAAACGCATCCTGAATTATACTAGACACAAAATTATATTTTCATGCTTCTGAAAATCCCACAGTTTAATATAAAAATGCCTCATTTGTATTAACTGGTATTTTCGTAAAATTTAAGAAAAATGGTGCAACATAAAATTAATACTTTTAAAGTTGTTTAACTACGCTTGAGCTGCGTCGAACCGAAAAGATAACAAAAAATTATCGAGTTATTTGTTGATTGTGTGAAAATCAATTGCCTAGGCGACTAAGGCAATAAAATCGAGTATAAAAGATAAAATAAATAAAATGATTGATTCCAAACTCCATGGCACACACATTGTGAAAAGAATGCAAAATTTAAAATAGATAAAAGCATTAACAGGATATATAATTATTTGATAACATTTCACTGATTGCACATAATTGATGAAACCTGGTACTGAATTGATGCGTATAAAAAATGATTTATTGCCCATGTGTAAGCATGATTACCTTTATTTGAAAGTATTTGTTCCTCACTTTACCAACTATCAAATGAGAAAAACACCTGAAAATCCTATCACCATGTATACGGAGAAACGTCGAAAAAGCGACGCTTTGTAACTTTAAAAGAAAGTTACGATATTATCCACAGATTTAATTATTATTATAATGATCAGTATTATTTTAATGAATAGTATTTGTTTGGCATATTGTTAATTTGTATTACAATTTATGCTATCCACTATACAAGTAGAGTTTTTCATTTCTGATTGTATTAAATTACAGAGATGGATTGTGGTCAAATACTTGTACACCAAAAACTAACAAAAATTGAATGCAAATTAGTTGTAGATCTACTAGCATATCAAAATAACTTGCGTATTAAAAATCTACAGAATGTGTATATTGTATATGCTGATAAACTTTCCAGGAAATATTTCCAGTTTCGATAATTAAACAGGCTAATAGCCTAAACTGTATAGTAACGACCATACGGCCAAAGTAGGAAGAGGAGCAAGAGGAACAGGAAAATAAAATATCTATAGGTAGCGGTTTCCTAAAAACGATGACAAACTACTATTTTGATAACATCCCTTGATGAATTTTAGATCTACAATAAAAACGAAAACCCTTTCAAACGTGTAATTAAGCCAAATTAGAATCTAAATTATATAAGAAAATAACTAAACTGTGAGAGAATATTATGGTAAGCTCATTTAATGCAGCTAAAATATTTTGTATATAAATACACACAGTAGTAGCAAATGTTGGTTAATTATACATAATATATAATAATTGTACATAATTATAGGTGTGACATTAATGACTAATCACCTGCGTCGCAGAATTTTAAACTGATTAACCTGATTAAACTTCATGATTGTCATTGCAATCATTATTGTAAACTATCATGATTGCACTTAAAATATACAAAAAAAAAAAAAAGTATCAATAAATAATCTTTCCTTTTTGAGTTTTTATCGATTCGTAGTACATAGGCCATTATTTAATTTGATTAGATGGTTGGAAATGGTACTTTACAAATTTTGTATCTATTAGTCATGTGAAATAAATTGTTTTGATAAGAATTATTGCAACGATTAACCACCTGCTACTTCAATACTATGTGTAAGTATTGTGTATTTGTACAGTATCAGCACTTACACATAAATAATAAATGCAATTAAAATAATTAAAAACAGACAAATAACATTTTTGTAGAATGATATCTGATTTCCTGTGAATTAAAAGTTCACTTGTTAAAAAGCTTGTAAAAGTTAAATTATTGTAAATATAATTAAATTGTGTTAAATATTAACACAACCAGAAGGGTTTATTTGTTATCATTAGACCATTGACTCATGTTGAAGTTTGTATAGTATCAAAACGTATTATAATATATAACACGATTCAATTACAAAGCAATCCACCCACAGTAAAACGAGACAATAACATTTCGCATAACCGTTTTTTTTTTAATTCCAGATATTATAGTTACTGCGCAAAATATTATCATTTGTTGCATGTTTATTTTTGCCTATTACTAACTAATCAGATACTGATAAACTCATATCAAAATTTATATCTATAAATACTGCACGTTAAAAGCAAACCCCTTATTCCTTTTCATACAGTATTGCAAACAGGTATACATACCTTTAAATGTTTAATAATGTTATTAGTGTTATTAAATTGCTGTTTCTTAGTCTTACCACTCCAGGCATTCCAGAACGTGCAGACCAATTTTGCTTATTTTGAATTTCGATCATTTGTAGCAGTCCAAGAAAAGGATAAAAGGTGAGACAATTTAAAGAAATTACAAGGAAAATAGTATAAACAACAATTTTTATTTCCCTATGCAATCCAATTGTGTCTGTCAAGCAGAGTAAATTCAGAAATTCATTCTTTTTGAGACTTATCTTGTAAAGTAAAATTGCAAAATTAATTTGTTTTTACTTTCTAGCTATTTTTTTCTATACAATAGCTAGAAAAATATTATTAAGAGGGTGATAATATTAGGTAAAATTAGGTAATAAGTTGGTTATAGTATATTAAGTATCAAGTGGCTAACGGGGGTTTTAGTCACGAGATTGATTGAGAGCGAGTGTAGCGAACGTGAGCCACGTGATTAAACATAAGCTAATTTTTCTACTTCCATTCTATTTCCGCGTTTAGGTTTTTGCATTTGAACTTTTGTATTTTAAATCATCGAAATTCACTCACACGTTATTGGGAAATGTACGGTTATAAATACCGTGCAGTAGCATTAGCAGCGCCACCTTTGATTTGTTTAACTGGTGACGCACAGCATTTTATATGGTCACGTGCTGCATCGTAAGCAAATGCGTAAGCTCAAGCTCCGCCTCGTGAATGAAGTGAGTAAAGTACTTTACTCATGGTCTTGGCCGTCCGTGTTTAGGGTATTACAATGAGCTTGTGAAAACTGGTGTTTTAAAGGTGGAAGTAGAAAAAAATATAAATGCCATCATGAGAGAGAGAAGAAATTAATTAGTTAACTTTTTATTATAATCTACTCTAACGAAGTCGTAGGCAAAAGCTGTTATATCATACAAGTAATAACTAAGTTTGAATCAATTGCAGGAATTGCTTTCAATATGGTTGATACTCCATTGCATCTTGCGGCAAAAATTGGAAATGGCGAAGGTGTACGTTTGTTATTAAAATCAGGTGAAGATGTCTACGCTAGTAATGCACTTGGTTATACATCCTTGCATTACGCGGCATTAAATGGTCACTTAGAAATTGTGCAAGAACTGTTGAAGAATGGTGCTAATTTGCATATTGCAACTAAGGATGGCGATACAGCATTGATCCACGCAGCAATGAACGGACATCTTGCAGTTACTCAAGAATTATTAAAACATGGCGCAAACCTTCATGATAGTAATAAGATGGGACGCACAGCATTGTACTTTGCTGCAAGATACGGCCATCTACCTGTTGTTCAAGAGTTATTAAATAATGGTGCAAACGTATTCGATAAGGATGTTGAAAGCTTCACACCTTTAAATATTGCAGCAAAACATGGTCATCTTGAAGTTGTTCAAATATTATTAAAGCACGGTTCAAACCCTCACGAGCCTAATAATTTGGGCTGGCAGCCCTTAAGCCTTGCATCACGACACGGCCATCTTGAAGTTGTGAAGGAATTATTAAGAAACGGTTCTAATGTACACGCGCAAGGCGTTTGCGGGAAGACAGCGTTGCTATTTGCTGCAGAGGAAGGATACCCTGAAATAGTTCAAGAATTGTTGAAGCACGGTTCCAATGTGTATCATAAATCAATAACCGGAGACACAGCTCAAAGACTTGCTGCAATATTTGGACATGAGAAAGTGGTTGATGAATTACTAAAACATGGTGCAAATCCCTACGAATTGCCTCAAGTTCCAATGGCCGCTGTGAATCCTAATAATTTTTCAGAAAATTTCAAATCTACGCAGGATGCTACAGTAAACAATAATCAACAAGGAGTAGGCGCCAGTAATGTCACTCCTCCTAACAGCGGTACAATGTACGAGCAACAAAAAGTAACAGTAAGTGGCCCCTTACTTGGGAATGCAAGTGGTGTAACTCAACAGCAGGCACTGAACGCAAGCGTATTGGGTATGCAGCAAGCAATGTTAAATAATGCCTCTGCCAAGTTAAACATGCAGCAACCCATGCATCAGGCATTGAACGCAAGCGCATTTAGTTTGCAGCAAGCAATGTTAAATAATGCCTCTGCCATGTTGAACAAGACAGCAGATATGTTCAATGCACAAGCTATGAACACCCAGGCAATGATCAACCCAACTATGAACAACCCAGCTATGAACAACCCAGGTATGGGCAACTCACCTATGGCAGCTATGAGCAACTCAGCTATGAGCAAACCAGCTATGGGCAATCCAGCACAGTTTGGATTAGCTCCATCGTTCATGAATCAAGGTTTATTTAAGCCTCCCGGTAGTAATCAATAAAATGGTATATGTACTAAACTAGTAAAATAGTACTAAACAAAAATAGTCATTGTAAAATTAAAAATAAAATATTAACCGACTTCTTTTTCTTTTCAATTGCTCCCAATCTTATATTTCGTTTAACTACTGCATTCCCCAGTCGACGCCAACAAGCATCATTCGAGATTCGGGTTTGCCAAAGGCAATAATCATTCTCATAAATCATTTCTCAAATTAAATAAATTTTACACTAGCACAGGTACCTAGTCTAATCTAAACCCTTTTCATTTTATTTTATAGCCTATTTGTTTAAACGGTTGTATAACAATAATATCAATGTACGTACCATGCATAATAATCAAATGCATTGGCTCAACTTAAATGCTTCGTTGTGCAAGTGACGATTACAAGCAGCATGCAAGAACATACAAAAAAATGCGAAAATCCTGCATAGTCAATAGAAAATTTCCTGTTTTCAAAATAACAAAAGATTATGCACCACAATTCTATTACTAAAAATTTAGACGATTAGATACGCATTGAGACTCTTATAAACATAAAAATCCAACTGTTACTTGTGATGCCCGTGTGTAATATGTAAATGTTTGGTTTTTAATGGCTTTTGTGTTTTTTCAGTAAACATAAATATGATATTCTTGTTGGACTTAGGAATTTGTTTAAAATTGTAGATATATCTATTGTGTTGTTTTCATATGTTTAGGAATCAGTATTGCAACATCAGTACATAATACATGTATTATCATACAATATTGCAATACAACAGTTTGTTTTTTCAAGAATTTCCTTGCGACGTACCAATTTATTAAAATGGTCAATAACATGAAAACTAATTAAGATAGGGCAACCAAACCTGGATTAATTGAATCCTGGTGATGTCTTACTACAAACGGAAACATTTGGGGAAAATTGAAAAGGTGGTTTTATTTGATCCGTTTAGAACTTATCTGAAAACTGATTTGAAATCTTTCATCCCCGTGTAAAACTCAATCGATTAGCGTTTTCCATTTTCTTCTAGCTCAAAATAATTTTTTTGTGTCCAAAAGGAGTCAAGTGTAACCTCTTCATCTTTTTAAAAGGTCCTTGGTCAACTTTGGAAAATGGAAAAACTAAATCTGCCATTTTATAGATCCATATCACGGCATGAACAAAATGAAGAAAGTTCTTTTTTAACTTTATTACTTTCTGAGAAAATTCCGGCAGAAAATTTTCTAGGCACATGATATATTTAAAATATTTTAAATGTTATCTTATCTATGACTTGATGCTAAACATCGGGGTGTTTTTAGTTTTTGTTTATCTTTATTAGTTCCTGAGATAATTGATTTTTCAGTCTCGATACGAGTGCTCATTTCACCAAATGAGATTTACTGGAAAATTCCTTACTGCTGTTAGGTGAAAAATTGTTTAAATTGTATCATTACTACTACTATTCTTCTAAATGTCAGGCGCCTCCGCCATTTTTTAAAATAATTATTAACTTTTATTAAATTTAAAAAATAATTAGTGTTTTATCAATCAGGTTTGGAATTCCAACTTGTTTCGGGAGGAAAATTTAAAAAAAAGTGCGACTCTGTCGTTAAAGAAAACCAAACTAAGAATAAAGTTCAACCCTGTTATTCGACCAAAAAATTCGATCTTCTTTTTGACAATTTTTTTTTAAATACGACCCTGTTCTTTGACCGAAAAGAAATTTAACAAAAAAGTTCGATCCTGTTATTCGACCAAAAATAACATTTTTGGGACAAAAATGGCTATTTTCGAAGTGCTTTTCAGGGCACTTGTGGAAACGTTAGGGGGTTGGAAAGATATGGATTGCGTAGACTCTACGCTGTAGAGAGACTTTTGAAGAAGACGGTAAAAAACTTCAAATGTCAAATACATTCTCAAGATACAGGGTGTTTTTCAATTTTTTTTTTAAATGACAATTTTTGAAAAGTATTTTAGGGTACTTTTGAAAGGGCTAGAAAATTGAAATAGTATGCATCGTGTAGAGAGACTTTCCAACTTCAACATGGCAATAAGAAACTGCAATTAGGTTTAATAGTTCTCGAGGTACAGGGTGTTTTCCATACCATGTTTTCAATTTTTTTGATAAATGCCAATTTTTAAAAGGCATTTTAGGGCACTTTCGGAAGGGCTTGAAGATCGCAAGAATATACATCGTGTAGGGAGACTTTCGAGCTTTAATATGGCGGTGGCAAACTATAAAAATGTCAATTCGTTCACGAGATTCATGGTGTTTTCTACACCATATTTACATACTTTATAAAAGCACTAGTTAACCCGGCAAACGTTGTTTTGCCATATAAATTATTTCTAGTTTCTAGTTAAATTCTAGTGTAGACAAAAAGTAACTTACTTATTATAAGTGTGTCAGTATGTAAAACTTGATTAACTGAACTAATCGTGTCAAATACATTTAAAATGAATCATTTTATTATTATGAATAAAATAGTTATAATTAATAGTTAATATGAGAGATACGCTGAGATACCAATATGATAATTGTTAACTTGATACATATAGGTACCATAATGATGGCCAAAACTGTGTAGGATGTGAGAGAAGTCTTATTGTGGGAGTGAAACAGGAGACCGGCTTAAAAGTCTCATTCCTTCGAGCGGGAGGAACAATGATTAAATTACTAAAATGGCTATTACAAAATAGAGGTTGGTGATAAAAAAGTATAAAGTTAGGGTTGTTTGTATTTTTAATGCCACATTTAAAAAATAAAATCAAAAAATTTCGTCCAAAAATTAAAAAAAAATTAAGGGTGAACAACCTTTATCACCTAAGGGTATAAAAAATAGATAGTAGCCGATTCTCAGACCTACTGAATACGCATATAAACTTTGGTATAAATCGGTAAAGCCGTTTCGGAGGAGTACGGTAACTAACACTGTGACACGAAAATTTTATATATTAGATGTTGCTTTCTAAAAAACACTTTTGAGCATTTTCTGAAGTGCTAGTGGGTTGCAAATATATGCATCGTGTAGGGAAACTCTGTAACTTTAACATGGCGATGAGAAACTATAAAAAGGTCATATAGTTTGAAATATTCTGGGTGTTATTTTGCAAAAACGAAACTTTCTAGTATTAAAATAAATCTTTGACAAAAGCAACGTGTCAAAACCAGGGATTAAACTTTAGACCTTCAGTCTAGCGCTCTCCCAACTAAGCTATTTCGGCTTTCAAATTCTGAAATACATTTTAAATTAAAGACACTAGAATCATTTTGGTGTGATATCCTGCACCAGACAGAATGGTACAGCATGCTTTTAATTTTTTTTTTGAGAAATGCTAACTTTAGAAAGTTATTTTAGGGCACTTCCAAGGGGTTTAGAGGATTTTATGAATACGCATCTTGGAGAGAGTCTCTTGATGGACAATTGCAAGCTGTGATGCTGCAAGAACGTTAATTTTTTTGATTATAAATAATACATTTTAAGGCACTTTCTAAGGGTTTAGTACGATTGAAAAATAAGGATAGTGTAGAGAACACAATAAATAGAATATGAATGTTTATTAAAATAATTACAGGTAGAATATATTATATCGTTATTCAAAGCATAAATGTGACCATCGATTGGCCGCCAAAGTAGCCACTTCCAAAGATAATTCGCATTTTTCACAAACCACATTAACTTCTGGTTCATGTTCCTTCTGGAAATGTTCAATAATGCTAGCAGAATCAATGAAATATTTAAGACATATAGTGCATGTAAACTTTAACGTATTCTCGTTAAGAATCACTTCCTCAAATTTACTCAATGTAAGCCGAAACATTTTAAGTTGCTTAAAATACAGCTGACTTTGACCATCTACAGCAAACAGAGGATTGAACTCTTTAAAGTGAAGAGTAATCATTGGCGTTAAAATTTCGATAAAGTTGATATCGGATCTAAAATTACACAATTTATAAATATTATTCGGTATTCGTTGGCTTAACTATTTTAAATAAGCTTTCAACTTACTTTTTAACATAACGGTAGCGCTCGTATATAGTTTTTCCAATCGAATATTGCACTGAAGTATTTGTTGCAATGACACATCGATTGTACAAATTCATTTCAGCTATATCTGACAAAAACTCATTCAAAATCAGCTTTAACTCTCGCTTGCGCATTTCAGACACCTGTAAACATAAAATGAATCTACCTGGATGAATATATTATTAATTTTTTAATATGTACAAACTTTATCTGAGCTGAGATCAATTAATTCCATAAGTGTTTTTATGTATTCATTAATGAATCCGTGTGTATATACAACACTCTCCTTTGCTTCAACCAATTCAATACTTCGAATCCTTGCATCCATTTTGGAATTCAATTTTCTCTTGTCAGGTGTGGTCATCTCTATGACTTTCTTATGCAAAGAAGTGTACTTGTTCACAATGAATCTATTATATTCACATTTACAAGTTCTTGTAATTGCAAGTGAGGTTCCAGCTGTTGATCCAATGTTTAATTCAACTTCAATAAAAGGATAATTCAGCAGTGCATTTAAAGCTCCTTCATTATTGAATGTTTTCATATGTTTATTCTTGTGACATCTCAATTGAACATCATCTTAAATAGGTGAAAAAGTTAATAATCATCCAGAGTAGAAAATAAAAGACTCACTATTTATAGTTGAAAATACTAGATTATTAATAATATTTGTTGGTCCCTTAATCTCTAAACAAAAGTCTGATAGTTGTGAATTATTTGATTTGCTTGATTTTGCTGAAGATGTGCTTGCATTTTTCTTTCCATGAATCAGCATTAACTCAGGCACTGCAGCCAATTTCACTTTCAAATAGCAAAAAAACTCTTTAAACCAAGAATTAAATACCTCTTCCTCTTGCACAGTATTTGCCATAACTTTGATTAATAATGGACCATAATATCTGTCTCTTAAATCTACAATAATTTTATTTATTCTACACATTCACAATATTTAAATTCTATACTCACAATGATAAGCAGGGTAATGATCTATATAATATTCCAATAATTGAGAAATGTTGGGAGTGTTTTGCAATTCCAATTCTGGAAACATTGATATTATTGACTCTAAATGTGTTGTAGATAGTTTGAGTTGTGTCTGATCATAAAGAATTCGCTTTTTAAAGTAGTTTTGCAAGAATGGACATTCAGGCAGATCTGTAAGATTGCTAACTTCATCTTGAATTTTCTAAAACAAAAAATAAAAATTAATTAAGCAATCAACATACTTTTAAATTTAATTACTGTTAGCAGTTCTTCACTTATTACTGGTACGGGAATAATTCCTTTTTTAGGCATACTTGATTAGTATTGTTGATGAAATTTGTTTGCGATTGAGGTGTATGTGTTGAGGTTATGCTTATATGAAAAGAAAAAAACAATTGCGGGGCTCGCGGGACTCACAAAAATAAAGCCGAATATGGCCGAGTGCGTCTACCAATATGTCTACCTACCTATAATTTAAATTTAAACTCATATATGTGCCATATCCGAAACAAAGAGGAAAGGAAATTGATAATAATGAAAGAGTCTCCAGATGTATACAAATCCCAACAGGAAAGAAAAGACTTCTTCAAATAACTTGAAGCAATTTTGGAAAAAAATAAAGAAAGTGAAGCTAAGGTAACATTTTAAGAGTAATAAATAAATACAATAAGGAAACTGTGAATGAGAACGGCAAACTACTCATTAACTTATGTATTAACTTAGAATTGCATATGAATAATACTCACTTCAAGCACAAATAACTACAGAAGTAGGTACATAATAAAAGCACTCTTTATCTATCAAATAAAAACGAGACAGTCTAAAAATTTGCATTAAAATATGAGTGTGTTTTCTCTGCCAATTTAAATTTTTTTAACGGCATTTATATCGCCTGCTTGATGCCATTGTGGCGGAACATGTCGCTGTTTTTTTTTTAAATAAGAAATTGGCAGATTCATAAAAAAATAACTTTTCTTTTCAACCTCAGTATATAACATTTTAGGGCTGACATATAAGAAGAAGAACCAAAGACACTCAAGATACAATTTCCAGTAATATTTTTTAATTATAATTGATATTATATAATTATATTAAAATTATAAGTGATATAAAATTCTAACATAAATAAATCAAGTGGAAACATAATGACTTTTAAATTAATTATCAAATATGTTCATATGTCCTGTAATGCTATGTGCCAACCAAAAGTGCCCGAATAGAAGCCAAGTTCTTTTAGTTTTCTAAATAGTAGTATCGTAATCATGTACCAACGTCAAATAATGTGCGTAACTCCTCAATTGCATTACAGTAAAATCCGTCAAATTAAATTACGATCACATCTATGACTTCGCTACCCTATAAATATAAGAACCCTTCTAAGAGCTTATTCACAAAGCTTCAAAATGGTGTTCAACTTTAAGGTGTACAAAAAGTCCTCCCCGAATGGAAAAATTACTCTCTATTTGGGAAAACGCAACTTTGTCGATCACATATCGGGTGTAGAACCAATAGGTTAGTCTGAAAATAAACTGAAATAAACTTTAATTTAAAATAATAATAATTCAAGATGGCGTGATTCTACTGGACGATGACTACAAGGATCGGCGTATTTTTGGTCAGGTGATCTGCAGTTTTCGATATGGCAGAGAGGAAGACGAAGTCATGGGACTCAACTTCCAGAAGGATTTATTCCTAATTTCAGAGCAAATTTTCCCACTACAGTCGAGCAAGAATAACACCACTAGGTTACAGGACAGATTAATAAAAAAATTGGGCGGTTGTGCGTTTCCCTTTACATTCGTTATTCCAGCGAGTGCACCAGCATCAGTTACTTTGCAACCTGGTATAAAAACCTATCCAACTACAAAATAATAAATAAGTTAATTAAATGACTGAATTAACAGGTGCGGGTGATGATGGGCAACCTTGCGGTGTAAATTATTACATCAAAGTGTTTTCCGGAGAAAACGAATCCGATCGTTCCCATAAAAGAAGTACTGTGGCAATGTCTATCCGGAAAATTCAGTACGCGCCGAGCAAACAAGGCCGACAACCATGCACCGTGGTGCGGAAAGACTTCATGTTGAGTCCTGGAGACTTGGAACTGGAGGTCACATTGGATAAACAGGTATAAATGATAAAATAAATGTTTTATGGATATTTATTGTTTTTGCCCTCACCTGTCAGTTGTATCATCATGGCGAAAAAGTAGCAATCAATATATGCATTCGGAACAACAGTAACAAAATTGTGAAGAAAATAAAAGCTATGGTTCAGCAAGGAGTAGATGTTGTACTTTTCCAGAATGGACAATACAGGACTGCTGTTGCTAGCATCGAAACTCAGTAAGTGTTATTTGAAATAAAAATAAGTTTAAATACACTTACGTGATTTTATTATAGAGAAGGATGTCCAATTCAACCAGGATCAAACCTACAGAAAGTAATTTATTTGACACCACTGCTCTCTTCCAACAAGGACCGTCGAGGAATTGCGTTGGATGGACAATTGAAAAGTACCGATACTAACTTGGCTTCAACCACCTTGTAAATATTACTTTGTAAAAATTAAACTTACACTTTATGTATGTATCAAATTCATAGGTTGGCATCGCCAGATCAAAAGGATGCGTTTGGAATAGTGGTATCGTATGCAGTCAAAGTGAAACTATTCCTCGGCGCTTTGGGAGGTGAATTGGTTGCTGAATTACCTTTCGTATTGATGCATCCAAAGGTAAACATAAAAATATCCACAGACCCAAGTTTCACACATTTATTATCCTTTGATTACAGCCTGGGACCCAAAAAACACTTGTACATGCAGACAGTCAAGCCGATGTCGAAATGTTCCGACAGGACACTATCGATCCGGACAATGAATTGGATTAAACGAAACATTTATTTATCTCCATTCAGATTATCCCAATTGTAAATTAGAAGTGTCAATCGGATGCATTCCCAATATATCTTTCAGAGCATTATCAAGTTTAAAAATAGCTGCAAATCTATCACCACTATCCATTTCCTCGTTTGGTTGCACACAATTTGTAATTAATTGTTCTAACTGTGGATTTTCTTCACTTATTTTAATTGGAATTGAATGTAGCAGCCCTCCTTTCATCATCGGCCACGGAGCACTCGATGAGATAATGAACTGAAAGAAAAAATGTAAATTGGATCATAGAACAGCGTATTTTTTGTTAAGTCAAAATAAAATTAACATACCCTGCAAATACTGTAGATATTATGATCACTAATTGAACTTTGGCAAACGTTTTCTTCGCTATAGATATGCTCAACCGCATTAGGATAGTGGTCACTGTGATGAACACTTGAAACTAAGAGATATTTTGCCAGTTATTTAAATATTGCTAAAATGTTTGTAAACAAGTTACCATTTGACTTTCTTACGATAAGAATATTGCCAAAATCAACAAATTTTGCAATGAGTGTTGTTTTATTAACAACTATATTGTCTGGGGACACGTCAGTTAAATAAATTCGAAAATCATCATCTCCAGAAGTAAACTTCAAAGCCAAACCAATTATAGATCTGGCAATTCTCGCTCTTGATAACCAGTTATAGTCTTCATATTCATTCAAATTTTGCCCACAATCTTCAACTGCAATTAAACGTCCACAAGCCCCATAATAAATTGGCAACGAAAAGTGTTGCGCGTCAAAAGCCTGTAAAAATGGCGCATGTAAATTATTGATCTAGTAACAAATGTCAATAACCGGCAATAGTTTGATAATTCAATTTTTAACTTACTTTATAAAATAATGGTTCACCATTTATTATACTGATTACCCATAAATTAATCACATTCATCACATCTTTACCTCCATCAGGTTTCAAAATTCTCCTGATTAAAATATCAATTGAATCGTCTACGTTACGGCCACATACTCTGAATCCGTTATAATGATTGGTTTTCATATTGTAATGCAATGCCTGGGTATAATTCGTACGATGTAGATCTACATCTTGAAACTCGCACGGTTCCATGACATGTGATCGGTGAAACACGCATATCAGGAAATCCATGGTATTCAAATCTTTTGTGTGGCCTAATTTCTTTAAAACCAGTCCATTCGTAGTAGTATATACATTTTTTACGCTTATCAAATTGTTTATTATGTCCTTAAATGATGACATTCTTAAAGAAACCTGCTTGTTAGGACAAAAGTCTCTACCATAACAGAATGGACATCTATGTACTTCAAAGTCGGGAATGATTGGTGTATACAAAACAGTAATCATTGCAATAGCAATGATTGCAACAAACACAGAAATAATTTTTGACATTTTATTGTTTAGTGCCGCCTGTTTGGAGCGCGCGATGTCTATACGAATATAATTCTTTTAACCATTTTAATACTCTTACTTCCCCCGGTTGAAACAACTGCAAACAAGAATAATTGCCGTTAAATTCACTAAATAAATGAAAAAAGTAAAACTTGTTAATAAAATATGTGAAAATATGTGATATATGTGCAAAAAGATGAATGTAATTAAGCAAAACGCCTATATTAACTAATAACTACTAACTAGAATTGTTAAAACTGTAAAAACAAAAAATAAACACTTACATTGTGGTGAAATATATTCTCAGTCTCACTTGCCTTTACCTCTGCTTGGGGAATTTTGATAGTTTGTTTTTGTAGATCAATTAAAATTGTTTCATTCACTTTTGAAGTAAATTCTTTTGGTTCAAATGCATCTTGATTTAACTCATTGAGCACTTCCTCAGACACCTTGACAACTTCAATGCTATTTGGTTTACTAACAGTCAATGTTGGTTCTAATTCTGCCTTTGATTTTAATACTGCAGTTTGTTTCACTGATTCTTTAATCGCCGTTTTCTTAAAAGAAGCACCACTGTTTGATGAACTTGAAGAACTCCTTCTACTTGTTGATGTGAATTCGGTTATATATGAACGTGAGCGCGAACGTGAACGCCTATGCCTTGATTTTTTGTTATCATGCCTATATTTACTATGCCTGTCCCTATCTGATCTGCGCCTTTCTGTTGAACTAGATCTGTGTCTTCGCGATTTGTTATTATAGTTTTTTCTGGATCACAAAACAATATAATAAACACATATTACATTAAATTACATTGAAAATACCTGGAATGAGAAGTACTTGAATCACTTGAACTTGATGTAGACCTGGAACTAAATAAATTTCAGATATAAACATAAAAAAGACATAAAATAGTATAAAACCCACTATTTGCGCCGGTTTGATTTTCTATCTTTACGTGATTTTCTTGAATTTCTATCACTATCAGAATCACTCGAATACCTGCCCATTATCAACAGTACAATAACAAAACAATGAACGACATACGGACCTACCACGAACCAACATTTAACCTCAAATTATGTACATTGTAATTTGATTTCGCTAAACTCGGCGAAAATCGATGCATGCACAGTTGCCTAGTTATTTTGTACAAAAACTATAATACTATGCAATATTATGACTTTATAATATGTACTGATAGTATAATAACGTATCTAGGTACTTATAATAAACAAAAATTTAACATGCATACTACATTTTTAGTTAATTGGTCATATTCATTATAATCATTAAACTGGAAACAATTATTAAAAAAAAAAAACGAAATCTTGGTAATTACGAAAGTTTCGAAATGTTTTTCCTAGATATGAGTAAACTTGATTGTTGATAAAAGACGTGCGTATTCAGCATAAACAAATAATTTTATATAGAGTGTACATGTAAATGCACGTCTGCAAACCCAGCATAATTTCAATTAGTGAAAACGATATGATGATGAGATAGTGGTTCTCGGTTATTTGTGAAAAGTGAATAAAGTCACGCACACAAGTCGTGTATGCAAACGAGCCATATGATATTATTAATATGGTACTCCAGTTTAGTTTAAAACCTGAAACCAACTGCATATTTAATTCATTTTTGAATCTCGATAGTACGTCCCGGTTTGTTCCACTACGCGCACTCTGACGCACTTCTAACCTTATAATTAACGTAAGAAGCACAACGGCGGTAAGGACATTAACTTACTTATCAACAATTTATGGATAAGAATTCACTTGTTTTTCAGTCAAGTTCACAACAGCTACTTCTCCCAGACGCAGCTTAATTGACAAATAGGCTAATAAATATTGGTATGGGAGATAGAGATTGGAGGCCATTTATTTATGGAGGACTTGCTTCCTGTGTAGCTGAATTTGGTAATTAATCATTTAACAATACCAATATTAAATTAATTTGCTGACATTGTAAGAATATATTTACTGATTTCTTTTGATACAATTTATTAGGAACATTTCCTATAGACTTGACAAAAACCAGGCTGCAAATTCAAGGCCAAAAGTTAGATATAAATCATGCAACCCTAAAATACCATGGAATGGTTGATTGTTTTCTTCAAGTTGCAAGACAGGAAGGTCTTAAAGCACTGTATTCTGGGTAATTAGTAATGCCATTTACTTTAATTAATAATATAACTATAATTCATATTGAATAAGTAAATTTAAATATTAAGTTTTTTTAAATTTAATTCTTTATCTTTCTGATTTGTTATTTTGTTTAATACTTATTTATTTTTTGGAATAGAATTTGGCCAGCAGTCCTTAGACAAGCAACTTATGGCACAATCAAATTTGGAACATACTACTCAGTGAAAGACATAATTAATAAATACTATAACCATGATAGTGTTAGTGTGAATGTATGTTGTGCTGTCCTTGCCGGCGCTATTTCTAGTGCAATTGCAAATCCCACAGATGTGTTGAAGGTGCGAATGCAAGTAGGCGGCCTGCAAGGACACAATGTGGGACTGTTGGCTTGCTTCAAGGATGTGTATACACATGAGGGGGTTGCAGGCTTATGGAGGGTAAGCATAATTTTTATATAATTCTAAAATATATTTTGTTATGCAAATGTTATTCATGTTATTCAATATTTTATCAAGACGTATTATGTAACTGTAGGAAATTTTAGTGGATCACATGATATTTGTGAGAAATTGAAAAATCATATCATATTGATCTTTACCGTTTAGTAAAACGCAAGCTTTAATTAAATGTTATTGTTAGATTTATGCTTTTAGTCTGTTATCATTTCATATTGCAATAACATTGGAGTTAATTCTAATTTCTGTTAGGGAGTCAGTCCAACGGCACAGAGAGCAGCGGTTATTGCTGCGGTTGAATTGCCAGTGTATGACTTTTGTAAAGTTCACCTGATGGATGCATTTGGCGATAAAGTAGCAAATCATTTTATGTGAGTATTAATAGTAAACATCAATAATGTCAGTAAGTTTAGTTATTTTTTTGTGTACTTTTAGTTATTAATTATTGATTTATATTGCAATTTGGTTTGTACAGATCTAGTCTAATTGCTAGTTTGGGAAGTGCAGTTGCTTCAACTCCTATTGACGTTGTAAGGGTAAGTACCAAACGGAAAACGTTCAATCGCCATCATGCACATATGACAGGTTATTTTAGGTTAAATTTTGGTTATGGTTCTTATCTTAAAGGTTATACAAGATTATAATCCATAGTTTTCATTTAATCATCAAATTATTGCAATTTATACGTGCTTCTAATATGATTAGTTGTTGTAGACAAGACTGATGAACCAAAGAAAAATCAAGAATCTTTTACCTGGCGCCCACTTGTATTCAGGCACGGCGGACTGTTTCCTGCAAACGTTCCGAAACGAAGGATTCTGGGCATTCTACAAAGGATTCATCCCAACGTGGGTGCGAATGGGGCCTTGGAATATCATATTTTTTATAACTTATGAGCAACTGAAAAAACTTTATTGAATGCCATCCAAATGGTGTGTGTCTGTGTGTTTAATCCAATTTGCTTAGGATGTGTGAGTGTGATACACATTCAACATTCTTCACATTAAGCATTTAACTATGTGTATTGTTTAAGGAGTTGTTAATACTCAATAGATCCTTTGAGGTGTTAAATAATTATAGATTTAAATAAATGAATACACACTGTTATATTAAAATGTGGCCATTGCTAGTGATTTGCCTCTGTGGTTGAATGAGTAAAATGAAGGTTGGTTTTTATATGAGTCCCAAGACTTTTCCTTCAAGTCAGCTGAGGCTTTAATTTCCTTGAATTCACCAGCAATTTTTAATACTCCGCACATGATTATAAACAAGCTGCATACAGCTTGAATTGTGATCTAAAAATTGGTATATTCATGCAATGAATCATGATATTAGCATAATGTATTACTTACATCAAGTGGTAAATACGTAAACTTTTGTTCATTTATGCGTAAATATGATCGATCTAAAAGAAAGAAATAGAAATAAATAGTTAATTATTTTTTAATTTTCTGTGTAGTCTTTGGACTTACGTTGAGCTGCGGAATACGCGGCATGAAATAGTGAGAGAAAGCCGAGTGTTAATAACACACGATGACTAAACGTTGCTGCCATTTTAAATCCTTTTTGGTAATTATTTGGCTTAGTAATTATTCACACGAATTCTCAGCGTTTTATAAATAATAATTAAAATTAATTAAACGCAACACCACGCACAACACGAGCTTAGGTGATTTTGAGCTTTCAGCTGATGTCAGCTGTCATCAGGATTTTAAGCTTACGTACAGAGTTGGTGCTATAATAAATTTGTTACAATATAAAAGCAAAATTTATCAAGTTTTAAAGCTTTTTAAATTAAAAAAAAAAAACACTTTTTAGTAATATATCTCATAAAACTTTTAATTCACTTCTAATATATTGTACGACTAGTATAAAAAGATCAAACTTAATATTTATAATTCTCTTTAAGACAACCCATACTGAAATATCTATAATATTTCCAGGCAACTTTTTATACACCTACACTTAAAATGTTAGGTTATTCGGCAATTCTTAGTAAACAAACAAATGTGTACTAGAAAATGATGTAACAACTTAAATACGTATCCCAAATAGTGGAAAATGGTTTGCCAGGAAGGAAGAATAGCTATAAAATGCTTTGTGTCAACAGTATTACTATTTTCAACCTTGTTTTTATTTCCAATAAATATTAACACCTTCATTGTTTACCAGTATCACATTTTTATAAATCCTTTACTGTTTTATATTGCAATTAATATCATTCTGAGGATATTTTTTTGTAAAGGATACCAAGTAAGCATGTCATGTTTAAAGTTTTATCAATTTCAAAATTTAATATTTAATTATTGCAGATTGCTGTTAGAGCTGGATTTCTTGGACAAATCTTTGGATTAGGTTTCTATGTGTTCCAATATGCACCTGCTCAGGTTTACATTTTTGGTATATACATGGCTATCATGTCCTTTTTTCACTATTCTGAATATTTAACAATTGCTATAATAAAACCAAAGGAATTAACTACAAAATCCTTCATGTTGAGTCATAGTCCTGCTTATATTGGTGCAGCTCTTACTTCTTGGATTGAATTTGGCTTAGAAAGTTACTTCTTTCCAGGTAATGTATTAGACTGGATAATATTCAGAATTTTAATTAATAATGTTGTTTTTAGACATAAAAGTCTTGCCATATGTGCCATACATAGGGTTAATTATTTGTATTGGGGGAGAAATCGTTAGGAAATTGGCAATGTTTACTGCTGCTAAAAATTTTGATCATTTGGTAAGTTTCCTTCAAACATTTTATTTGTATATAGAAATTATGTTATTTTTCTTTCTAAAAAGATGTAAGATTATAGTGTATTCTGTTTAGTTGATCAATAGAATTACACTTGCAATATGTTTCAATTGTTTAAAAATATTCATATTATATTTTTTACTTTATTTCACGATATTTTATATTATAGGTACAATATACAAAAGCTGACGACCACATATTAGTAACACATGGAATATACAGTTGGTGCAGGCATCCAAGTTATGTTGGATGGTTTTATTGGTCAATTGGTACCCAGGTATGCTTTTCTTCTTTATTGCTTGTATTATGGGCATTGATTAATAATTTATTTATGTGAATTGTTTTATAGATTATTCTGCTCAATCCGATTTGTATAATTGTGTATACAATTATAAGCTGGATGTTTTTCAATGAGAGAATACACTGTGAAGAAATCACATTGCTCAACTTTTTTGGACAACAATACTTAAACTATCAGGAAGATGTTGGAACCGGTTTACCATTTATAAAAGGATACATTGTTAGACCATAATTGTTTATGTACACGCATAAAAGCATTTAGTATTGGTTTAAAATATTTTTTAAAAGTTTTAATTTATTTTTCTGATAAGTAATATTTTAACGGGATTTCGTTAAATATGTTGTTACTTAGGAATGTAAATAAATATACCAAGGCGAAAAAAAACTCTATTAACAATATTATTGTGTATTATAAAGAATTAAACGGATTTATGAATAAAAATTATGTATGCAACATCTATTTCACTACAAACTTATATTTACTACTTACTAATGCTTAAGAGATTTGGTCAAATTGTAGTTTAATATTTATACAAACGTAAAACGCAATATAAAAACAGCGCACGTAGCCTTTTTTAATATGCACAATTATTTTGTGACTGAGCCATCAAAAGCAAATATTTAATTGGGGATATATTATATGCACTTTACTTTAAATACAACCTACTTGAACGGCAGCACTTTAGTTTTCATACTTTGCACTAAGAAATTTATACTATGCACTATAGATTGTATAACTTATATTTTAATTACAATGAACTTATATATTCAGGTTTAAGCTTAAATTTGCTCTGACTCAAGGGGCCGGTTAAGAGTACGGCACGTTTTATAAGTGCAAAGTATTAATTTGATAGTGGAAAGCATTTTATTCAAGTGGAATTAATTTTTCAAAGTGCAAATATTTATTTTGGGGATATATTAAATGCACTTTAGTTAAAATACAATCCACTTGAACAGCCGCACTTAAGTTTTCATACTTTGCACTAAGAAATTCATATTATGCACTATAGATTGTATAACTTATATTTTAATACAATGCACTTATATATTCAGGTTTAAGCTTAAATTTGCTTTGAATCAACTTTTTAAATTGAAACTTTATAATTTGTGGTGGTTAGGTAGGGTACCTTGTTTGGTATTATTTGTGGGGCGGTCGGGGGTAGTGGTGAGGGGGTAGTCGGGGAGTTGGGGGTGGTGGTAAGGTAAGCTACCTTGTTTGGTATTATTTGTGGGGCGGTCGGGGGTTGGGGGTGGTGGTTAGGTAGGCTACCTTGTTTGGTATTATTTGTGGGGGTTGGGGGTTGGGGGAGGAGGTGGTTGGCGGTTGGGGGTTGGGGTGGTGGTTAGGTAGGCTACCTTGTTTGGTATTATTTGAGGGGGGTGGGGGTGATAAAGGGGCCGGCTAAGAGTACGGCACGTACTTAATACTGCAAGTTTTATAAGTGCAAAGTATTAATTTCATAGTGGAAAGCATTTTATTCAAGTGGAATTCATTTTTCAAAGTGCAAATATTTATTTTTAAGTTCAGTTCTGTATTTTTAAGTGCAAACATTAATTATAAGTGCATTTAATGAATTGACAAGTTAAAAATCGAAAAAATAAAGTTCGTTTAATTACGTGCCTTTATAATTTTGCTACCCAAATCTTATGGTAATGTAATGTAAGGGGTGTTACGAAGTTACGACAAAGTTAAAATGGCATGTAATTAAACGAACTTTATTTTTTCGATTTTTAACTTGTCAATTCATTAAATGCACTTATAATTAATGTTTGCACTTAAAAATACAGAACTGAACTTAAAAATAAATATTTGCACTTTGAAAAATGAATTCCACTTGAATAAAATGCTTTCCACTATGAAATTAATACTTTGCACTTATAAAACTTGCAGTATTAAGTACGTGCCGTACTCTTAGCCGGCCCCTTCTATCACCCCCCCCCCCACCCCTCAAATAATACCAAACAAGGTAGCTTACCTAACCACCACCCCCAACCCCCAACCACCTCCTCCCCCAACCCCCAACCACCCCACTAATAATACCAAACAAGGTAGCTTACCTTACCACCACCCCCCAACTCCCCGACCACTCCCTCACCACTACCCCCGACCGCCCCACAAATAATACCAAACAAGGTAGCCTACCTAACCACCACCCCAACCCCCGACCACCCCAACCCCGCGACCGCCCCACAAATAATACCAAACAAGGTACCCTACCTAACCACCACAAATTATAAAGTTTCAATTTAAAAAGTTGATTCAAAGCAAATTTAAGCTTAAACCTGAATATATAAGTGCATTGTATTAAAATATAAGTTATACAATCTATAGTGCATAATATGAATTTCTTAGTGCAAAGTATGAAAACTTAAGTGCGGCTGTTCAAGTGGATTGTATTTTAACTAAAGTGCATTTAATATATCCCCAGTTAAAATTAAAAATAGGTGTATTGAATATTGCATATAAAAAATATCGTATATATAAAAAGTATTAAAGATTAAAAGATAAAAACTCTTGAAAATATGAAAAAACCTTAAAACAAATATAAAAAATTCTAAATAGGAACTATAATAATTATTTCACTGAATGAGTAGAGCTTTCTTCGCCTTGGAGGGCCTTCCTCGTTTGCGTTTTTGGCCGAGAGGTATATTCAGGACTTCTAGGGGCACCTTCACCTTCCGCAATCTGATTAACATACCTAAACTATGTTTGCATGCATATTTTTTCAAATAAACTGGGCAAGTACAACTTGCTCTAACTTCATCTACCATTTCCACAGTTACCACCCAAAAACGATTGCAGCATTCACTTTTATAGCTGTCAAAACTTGTCCATTGTAAATGGGCAGCTTCATGTGCATTAATTATTTCTGGACTTATATCAATATTCGACAATCTTGCCATACTCGATGAAAAATAATATTGAGAGATGTTTTCCTCATTTTTGGATAGAATTTTCATGTTTAGTTTTGCCCAGTTGTTTGCGTCAGTCCAAATTTGGGTATCATATTCCGGTTTCATACAAAAAGGTTTAAAATTAGGGTTCTGTGGATCGCGCTCCAAGGACCATTTCCTTAAAATTGAGTTTTCTAGCAGCGACAAAAACTGTCCTACCGGTAATCGTTCACGCATTGTTCCTTCATTTTTTATTGCACCGTTTGTTGCTTCTAACCCATTATTTGTGATTGGGAAATATGCTCGAGCACCAACATACCAATATTTGTGATCAGTTAACCAAGTGGATTGAAAATATTGAACAAAATCCTTCACTTTGGTATTATTTGATTCAGACCATTTTTGGATAAACAAATTACTCACAACAGTGAATGTCTCATCATCACCACATAAATGCAAGCATTCAATATCTTTTTTTAGATCTTTTCCCTCTTCTAATCCCCGCAATTTTGTGTCAATGTTCTTGACTACATGGAAATAGCACATCAGCCGACGGAAGGAAGGACCAAAAACTGTTTTGAAGCCATTTGTTATAGCATTGCTAGCATCAGCAAGTAAGATTTTTGGCTCCCACTCTGTTCCATTAATCTCCAAACAAGTGCTTTTAATGCAATAAAATATGAATGCGAAATCAGCTTCCATTTCATTAGTAGTTACTGCTATACCAAATGGGTGGAATACTTGTTGAAAATCTGAAGAACCCACAATTAAGACAGGATATCCCTGCCAATTCAATTTGTATGTGGCATCTGCTTGAACTCCTTTACTTTTTTTAACATTTCCTAGCAATCTTTTTGTAGAGAAAACAATTCTAAGTTCTGGATTGTCATCAAAACTGGTTGCCACACCCAGAACAAATGGTTTGTCTTCTTCAGTTGGAATTTCAGTTCGCTCTTGGCACCAATATAGAACAGAATTTAAAGATATGGTTGATTGACCAAAATGTTTAATTCTGAGTTGTGACAAGAAATTGCTGAGTTTTGATTTTTCTGGCTCTTGCACGCCCCGACTTTGAAATGCGGCGATGATTGCATTTGGCCTCCTGATGCCATCCAAAAATAATTCCTCCACCAAAGCTCTGCTTTGGTAAGGGAGCCCTCTATGTGCATCCTGGTGATCACTATGACCATCTTTTGTTTTAAAAAGAGTGACACGACTGCATTGAGCATGATACAGTAGAGAAATTCTTGCTGGGCATTCCGATTTCCGGTACTGCCCCCCTGTGCAACGATACACAACTTTACGACCTTCTTGAGTACTGTATGATGTAATCTTCTTCCAGGTCATGTCGTCGTCGACATTCTTTACGGCCGACACTGCGTCACCGAACTCCATGATTTTTACCCATGCCAAATTTTTACGGGATTTCTTGCCTTTCGGAGGAATACTTTGCGTTTCCTCCTCCTCGTTGTCGCTTCGATTCTCAAATTCTACAAATTCGCTCATCGTGTGGACGTCTAAATTTGAATTATTAAAAATTATGTTAAACTATTTTAAATATTAAAATAATGAGTAGAATACCTTAGTCTTTAGAGTAATTTACTTATAAGTTAAGGGGGTTAGGCCTAGGTCCATTTCTCAGACTTGCGGAATGCGCAGGCGCACGTTCAAAGCTCGGAGCATGATCGTGCTTCTCCGCGCGCACACGACTGAACGAATCTATATAGCATACAGGGCAAGTCGCATGATTTGTAATAAGAAAAATTTAGCAATGCAAAGTTTGGAAGCTTAGTTATTTGATTAGTGGGTTGGAGCGAGGGGGTGGTCGGGGGGTTGGAGATGGGGGGTGGTGGTTAGGTAGGCTACCTTGTCTGGTCATATTTGTGGGGCGGTGGTGATAGAAGGGGCCGGTTAAGAGTACGGCACGTACTTAATACTATCCTGCAGACTTGCGCGTAACAATAAAGCCGACCCTGCACACGTAAAACACTACCGTAACATCCTGTATATAACCTTGAAAAAAGTTATGCGCTGGTTGCATACTTTGCAAGTTTTCAAAGTGCAAATATTTATTTTTAAGTTCAGTTCTGTATTTTTAAGTGCAAACATTAATTATAAGTGCATTTATTGTGTTTACAAGTTAAAAATCGAAAAAATAAAGTTCGTTAAATTACATGCCTATTTAATTTAGTCTGTAGTGTGAAGATTGAAAATCACTATTTTCATTGAATAAAATTGTTTTAGTTGTTTTTCAATGAACAACAATATTATGAGCCTACAGGTATGCACCAGACTCTCGTATTTAAATATATGTTAGCAGACTTTAAACAGAAGTCGCACATTCAACATAATTTCTGATAATTGTCTAAATAAAAATGTTTATACATAAATAGTACCTACGTTTAATCTTGCAAAAACTTCTATAAACAGTTAAACATAAGATGGAATAAACATGAGAAGCCAAATATGTTTACTATAATTTAATCTAAACGCATAACAATACTATTGCATTCAAATGATTTTTTTACTATGCTTTATCCTACAACGCTTTTAAGTTGTAAAAAAAAATGCCGCTCTGTTTGATCTCAGATTCTCAGCCACCCACATAGTACATATATTTACGCGTAAAACGTTTATTTCGTCTGTGCGTTTTGTAACTACCACAGAGTATGTATATGCAATGGTTTATGTACTAAAACGTCATATACATTTCACTTTTGCGATTGGACGTCGCTCGGCGTAGCCTAGGCTCATGATGAATACACACAAACACACAGTGGCAGCAAAAATGTTCGGCACGCCTCTCCACTAACAAGAGTCTCGGTTTACTCCACGATTATTTTTGTAGCGTAGTTGCGTAGGCCCTTTTAGAGGCGTTTTAACCGCGAATCTAGAACATCGCATAAACATTATCAGTAAGTGCACTTTAAACACATCTATGTAGTTTAGTTATAATTTAATTGTGTAGGAAATATGTAGTCTGGTTAGTGTTGTGTGCTCATTAGTAAATTGTACAGAAGCTATTTTGAGATGTGACTCAAATCTCACTGCTACATCAGTCTTCACCTACTAAATGTGTTGCTGATACAACATTTGAACTATTCTTTTTAATATTATTTAATAGAAAATGGCAGAAGCTGCCTTTCCAAGTCAACATACCACTACAACTGTAACAACCAGTACAACAGTCCAAACCAACCTTCGTTATGATCCATTATATCTTAGAACAGTGCCTGGAATTCTTAAACTATGTCAAGTTGTAAGTATATTTTGGAATGTTTAAGCTTTTTCCATCTATTGAATGGTTTGATTTCTCTTGTTGCAGATATTGAATATTTTGGGTTTTATTTGCATTGAAGCTAGTGGTGTACATAGCTCAGCATCAAGAGGATCATTCTTCATTTTTGTGGCAACCACAGCATTTTGGTTCACTGGCATTCTACTTGTATTTTACCTCTTTCATGTAATTGAAAAGTTCTTTAAAATTCCATGGCTGAAGATTGAAGGAATCTTTTGTGCAACTTGGGTGTTACTTTATTTGATTGCATCTTGTTTGGCAGCCACATATGCAGTGGAAGGCTTCAGAGTGGCAGCTGTAAGTACTTAAATCAGTATTAGCAATTAATTGCATATTTAATATTATTAATTTTGTGATACAGTTCTTTGGTTTCTGTGCAATGGTGGCATATGGATATGATGCTTTCCTGAAGTATCATGGAGTGCGCCAAGGCGAACTGGCGCAAGGAGAAAGGGCGATTAATAAACAAATCACAACGATTACCTCACCAGCGTATTAATAATACGATTTTTTTGTTTAATTTGATGATTAGCAGTCTAAATCGGTTAAATTCCGACTGATTCAGACAATTACACTACACTCATATCAAATTATATCAAATCACATTTGCATTTTACATGTACCTTTTTGATAGTGGTTTTCTGTGATGCTTTATTGAAACGAAGTTCATTTTAAGTGTAACACGTTTCTAAAATGTTGGTTAAAAAGCAAAACATGAGATGATATTACTTTTATCTATAAAATAGAAGCAAGATATGATTGGTGGCACGGATTTATAGGAAAGTTTCGATAATTTAGTAAATATTATATCTATAAGATAAGGATACTTTTGGTTTTGCATTTAAAATGTGTTAAAATTTAGCCAAGAAAGCAATGTATATGAAAATGTTATTGTATTGCAAAAAAAAAACGAGCAAAATTATTATTAAGAGCCAAGCTTATATGAATGCATTTGCTGTTATTTGCTCTGTATTAAAATTTAGAATGCATGTACTTAAAGTACCTAAAGTACTCTGTTAAAATATCACATATGAAAATATTTATTTGTTTAAACTGCTTGGTTGAGTTTCAAATGCGTAACAATATTCTAAACAATGTGTACATACATGTTAATGATAACTAATTTAACATAATAACACCTCACACATTTATCGTGATATCTCGGATATTTTTATATGTATTTTAACACGTTTATCACAAATTAATGAGGATGAAAGGAGACGAATCAAGGATATTTGTATTACACGAAATTGTTATCAATGTTTAGCTTTTGCAGAGTGTATATTTCGAATATGAATCTTATACCTATGTAAATGTTTGAAGGGAGCAATGTTGTGCTTTATTATAATATGTCAAAATCAATAAATTCTACACCGTTGCTTTTCGAGTCTTTGTATTAAAACTTCTTTTGTTTTCAAGACTGAATTTAAATTGCATTGTTTCGTATTTTTAGTTAACTAAAACTTTATTTTATCAAATGCAGACATTTATAAAGCATGCCTGAAAAGGTTAATACTTTTACTTCGTAGTATTGAATTTTATATTACATTTTATGTTTAACGTGTTAATGATTATAGTTTTTCTATGAGTTTTGAACATGTTTCGCTTTGAGGGCGTCGCCAAAATGTTTCTAAATTTCATAAACGTGAATTGCGTATTCGCAAAAGAAGATAAATTAGTTGTATTGATTTAACATATACATTTGAAGAATGTAACAATGCAATGAGTGTTTGTTTAAGCAATTGTCTTGTAAAACAAACAAAAACGAGTTTCATTCAATGAGCAGAGCTGTCCTACATGTGGGAGCAACAAGATGTAATGCAATATGAGGGTGCGCAAAATCCGTTTCCACCAACCGAGCGATGTGCGAATGAAGCTATTTTCCCGAACGCTCTCCCTCGCCCTTTCAGTTCCCAACGAACTGTTTTCCACGCAGCTTGTTGCACGAGTCATCCGCTCAAAATTGTGTTTTTGCTCTCCATGAGAGTTCCGTGCGAAGCTGAGCGGCCAGCCACACAAGGTAAACAATATATCGCAGCACATGTAAATATTTTCATTCGTAAAAATTCGCAAATTTCATTTATCCTTGTATAAAATGGTGGTCTGTGCAACAAGTAATTTTTCGCTCGGATACACCACATCGGTGGCGCGGCGCGTGTCGCACACCACCTCAACCGATACGTCTGACACTCAAGCTTACGCTCAACACAATTTTCTTTTCATTGTGTGTGGCAAAGGTGATTTTTTCTGCTTTGTACCGAAATACATGCACGTAGGCCGGACTATCGATCGCAATTACCGAGTGCGATTCGTGTAAACACACAACGTGTATTTTTATTTATGATGTGTATAAACACGTTGAGATGTAGAGCACGAGAGTCGGAGGATTTACGAGGATGTTTCTAGTGTAATAAGAGAGTCCGGAGATGTTTTGTTTAGTGACAGTTTAATAGAAACCGACATTAATGTATCGCAGCATATGTTCATTCAAATTGAACGTTTCTAAGCGGTTTTCATTGGATTAGATGTATTTTACATTTAATTAGAGAGCAATTTACTGCAACTGCAAACTATTAAATGTCGCATAAAATTAATGTTGTGTTAAATTGCATTGCACTTTAGTGTTCTAGGCGAGAACATGATTTCTACGTCTTGCAACTGTATACTTTATTTGATGTGCGAACATTTATATCCATTTTATTTCAGGTTTATTCACACTTTTCTTCTAGCGTTTTTTCTTATAGTTTGGAGAGGTTGCCATTAATCTAACAAAATTTAAAGTTTATTTTGTTTCGTGAAAGTGTGGCTATTAAACTTTTAACTTTTATGAGTTGTTAGAGGTTTAAAACATTTATTTGCAAATGTATCCAACTAAATTTGTTTCGGGGAAGATCTGCGTGTGTTACAACATAACTCAATTATGAAGTATTGTAAAATATGGCGTAGTAAAATAAGTTGCTAATACATATTATGTTATAACACGCGCCACGCAAAAGTTTTCTACATTTAGGATTATTGTATGGTCTGGTCTATATTCTCATAAGCACTGATAATGAATGAGAAATAGTTTTATGTACATGAATGATTATTTAATGCGTTGTTAATGTTACTCAGTGAAATAACTTTATCGATAAACACTTTATTTATTTATTACTAAAAACATTAGTGGAGGTTTTTACTTATTTATATATTTTCAGTCGATATTTCCCCAGTTGGGTAAGCACTATATCAGTTTGATTAATTAATTTTACCCAAAACTTATATCAAATTGTGTCGCGAATTCTTGGTGCAACATAAATGTCACAGGATATTGCCTCGAATTACAATTAGTTGTCCTGGTAACACACAGTCCTCACACTGAATAATTACCGTGCCTAGTTTGAGCTGATAGCAACGTTTTCAAATATTTACGCCATGAAAATAAAACATTGCCTGGTGTCCCATGTCATCAACAGTAAACAAAACGCATCGATTTTTCAGGAATGAGCTGCAAATAATTTAAACTACAACCATGAAAGGTTCCGATATCAACTCCTCGGCAATAACGCTGATGGCGTTATTTTTGATTTTATCCTTCGCCTGCGTTTCGGCGACTGGTCTCCTTCTTTATTTAGTATGCGCCCGAAAGTACCGTCTAAATTGGTTCGAGAAAAACTTGTTAGAATCAGCGGAAAGCACTAAAGAACTACAACTTAGCCAAGATTCCTTCGTCGACATTCAAGATAACTCAGAAGACATCAAATCTATTTTTGCGGATTGCACTAAAGATGAGAAAGTCCAACAGTATCTGCAACCTTGTGATGATAGAGGTAACAAAAGAATATGAATGTTCATACATCATTATGATTATTGCTGCTAACGCGGAATTTTTTGCTTTCATTGCTCAGAATCAGCTAGCTCTATGCCAGCCAGCCCCACATCATGCACCAGCTATCAACTCACGTTTCCCATCGCTCCGAAAGATGATAATGGGCTGACAAGTCCGTGTTTTTCCAAACCGCGGATACCAACAATGCAAGCGAAATTGGATCACACGAAGATTGATTCGTCCATGTATCAAAATGTAAATAAGGTCAATCATATGCTGGTGCTTCATTTATTTTCAATAACTGTTTCCACGCCTGTTACAGGAAACCACCGGTGAAGAGGAAGATGTGCGCGGTTCCGTTCGCGTTTCATTAAGTTGTGATCCAATCGGCGGAATGCTGACGGTGCGGTTAATTGAGGTATGATTGATTTCTTCACCTGAGAAACAAACAAACGACTTTTACATTCATTATTTTGGTTGTCAGGCACGAGATCTGCAAACACGAGACTCCAACGGCTCAGCCAATCCGTACGCGAAGATTCGTTTATTGCCAAACAAAGCAAACGTCTGGCAGACCCGAATTCACAAGAAAACATTAAATCCCGGTAACGTCAACAAACTCATACACTGTTTAATAATCATGTGCTGATTTTGATATGCATAATGTTTGCGTTGCAGTATTCGATGAAGATTTCGTTTTGAGGTACAGGGGAACACGATAAGTCGGAATGTCTTGGAAGTGCTGCTTTATAACTTTGACGCGTACAGTCGACATCATAGCATCGGAGCGGCACAGTTTCCTTTGGCGAGCATTGATTTGAGTGAAAAAGCTGACGTCTGGCGTACGCTTGGTCCCCTGGTCAATCAAGATCCGCAAGTGGATCTCGGTGAATTAATGGTGTCACTATCGTACTTGCCCAGTGCTGAACGACTCACCGTGGTTGTTATCAAAGCGAGAAACTTGAGAGTCGTGGACGACACACGCAACAGTTCTGGTAAATACTTACAAAAATGCATTTCATTTTAATTCGCATAATAAATAAACATCGCTGGCGATGATTAATCTTATTGCTATTTATGCAAATGTTATAATTACAGATCCGTATGTGAAGGTGTGCATCGTGAATGGCGCGAAGCGTATCAAAAAGAAGAAAACCGGTGTGCATAGGAATACAGTCTCGCCGGTGATCAACGAGGCGCTGACATTCGACATTGGCAAAGAGACCTTGAAAAAATCCTGCATTGAATTCTTCATCATGCACGACAGTCTTCTGGGTTCTAGCGAAACGCTCGGGGTGTGCAAAGTTGGCGGAGGCGCTGACTGTTGCCTGGAGGAGAGAGAGTTTTTCCACGCCATGTTGCACAGCAAAACCGCGACCGCCCAATGGCTGACCCTTGCAGAGCCAAAACCCACCAAAGAGAAAACAGCAAACTAAAACCTCATTATATAAATTTCTGCAAAACGTAAAGGACCATTGAATATCAATTATTATTGTACGTACCTATTGCAATTATTCTAGTCTACATATACACAAACAAATGAATCTTGTGAAACAGACGTATATATTGTGATGCTATGATAAGCACGAGGTGTCTCAAACTTTATTCTATGATTACGCGCGTTTGCTGAGATATTCAATTGGTGAAACTTTATCACAATATACCTCAAAGGGCTTTCCGTGTACAGAGAACTGACTAAACAAATGAATGGATAGCTGCTTATTGTAGGTTATAGTTGTGCTTGATACACTCAGATATATTTATCCAAAAATTAGTCAAATTAGAACTAAGAATATAAAGATTGTTCAGTAGTGAAATATTATCTGAAAGTTGAACAAATTCTAACTGATATATTATACACAAATATATACCTATACAGTTAACTATTGCAACAAATATATTTTTAAAGAGTCAATGTAAGTTTGGTTGCATAAATAAAATTAACTTCATGAACGATCCTAAGCTATTTTATAATTGTTTAAATTGGTGTAAACGCAATGTATGATTGTCATGTCTTGATGTGGGAAACTTTCCAATTGGGTTTTGCCAATTGTTAGTCTCAGACCTCCTGAAGATCCATCTTCACACTGGCACACCACACGCTGCATTTCTACAATTAGTACGCTCCGCAAAAGATTTTTTTTTAATTTATGAGAAATTTTTAACTACGGGAAAATAGCTTCGCACAAGCGGGGAAATAAATTGACGCTGATTGTTAGGAGAGTGAAGTCGTTGAGTGAACGTAAGTAAGTCTGATACTCGGGTGGGTGCAATGCCTGCCAGCTAGCAATCGCGACGTAGAAGTAAAATGCATAATTTCCATAATTCCTTGAACAATGAGATGGAATCAGTCATGCATCTAATGATGCACCCCCGGCGCACGAACATGTGCAGCGTATTAACGACCTCGGCTCGCTCGCACTTGTCTTGAGTCGACATGGGCGTCGAAGACGTGGGGAATTGCCTACCTGCTACGCGTTGGACGGGAAGCCGCGAGTCGCGGTTCCCACTGCAAACTTATGAAGACATGCTCGGCTGCGCAGAGTACACCTGTTTTGAGAGGGTTCACAAAAAACTTCTCACAATGCTTGCCTTCATGTTATGTGTACTTTTGTTCCGAGGTTGTGGAAGGAATTGAAGAAAACGATAGGCGCCGCATGCAGCGGGGATTTACATACAAAGTAAGCTGTTACAGTGGTATAAATAATGCATAACTGGTAATGAATTTATATTAAGACGATTTTATGGTGTGAAACATATTTCTCGACAAAGCAAAATGCGAGAATGAAACTAAGAGTATTAAAGTATTAATTATTTCTCGATTTTGTACCCCCAGAAATAAAATTGCTTTGTGTTATCGGAAAGATATCAGATAAACGGCAAAATTGCGAAATTCATGCGTAAATGCGGGTGGGATTCATTTTCTTTCCCAGATAGCTTTCAAATTACGATTGCTGCGTTAAGATTTCTCGCTTCGCAGTAATAAATTTCAGTTGAAAAGTTTTATTTGTAGGAAAAATATTTTGCAGGTTAGAAATGTTTTATTATGCAACCCGTATTGTATTTCGTTACTTAAAGCATGAAATAAACTAGAAAAAAACTTGGTATAGCGTTTAAAACATTAATTTTTCATTATATTATCCGATAAAGACGTCTAGTACTAATATTTATTGCCCTGGGGCCGCAAATCTATTTTACGCACTTAATTTATGCAATACTATAAATTCCTTCACAAAATAAGACGTAAATATTAATTCCTCTAGTTATCTATCCCATGGAATGTCTTAAAACGATTAAAATGCAAAAATTATGCAAAGGGAGTAAACGAAGATGATGAATACCGGTTAAACATGACATGGCCTTCAGCTTGATCTTCTAGATCCTGCAAAGTCTATCGCACACTCATCAGACTACCGTCGAGCGCAGAAACCCAAGAATTAAAACAAAATTAAACACGAACACAATACAGACTTCAAAGATAACTCTGATGATGAGGATATATTATGCTAGATGAGTACCTCTTACTGTTATCTTGATGTAAACTGCGATCTGCACCATACCGTTGCGTTGAGTGTTGATATTGTGAAAACACCTGGTATATACCATGTAGTACTTCAACTCCTTCCTCAACGTCTTCAGTGGCTCCAGTGGCTCCAGTCTAGTCATCAACCAGCTTGTAATAAGCACTCGATGCTACTCGATGAATGGAAGAGCGTAAAGAACGTAAAAGTGGTGTGGACTCGGGTTCACAAAGCCGCGTTGTCTGTTGTCTTCGGTCACCGCGCAGTGCGCAGTGTTGGACGAATCGCGGCGCGAGTCTCATGTGCGCACGCCTGTCGCTCTCATTATTACCACATAACTAGTTTGATCACAACGTTTTCTAAACTTACCGCACTAACATTTAGTTTTAGTGTGAATAATCTAGTGCAATTACTTGTGTGTAAAATCACGCCTTTGAATTGTGACCAAAACTACACGTAATACAATTACAGTTCATCGGATATAGTGAATAAAACAAGTTACAAGTTTGATTGTTTACAGATAAAAGCAAACTGTGCGTGAGTGTCACCTGTCTACTATAAATCCACAATAAACGTGTTCAATTGTCCCGAAACAATGTTCTTTCAATTGTTTTGGAACTAAACAAAAAAGAGTGTAAATTTTTAAGTGGAAAGTTGCGCGTTTGCTTTGGATTTGACGCTTCGAAATTAAAAGAAAGGTGAGTAGTATGTGAGTGAGTAGCACACGCGCATAGAACAGATAATACCTTAAAACACTTAAGTTGACCCAAAAAAATAAACGTGGTTAATGCTGCAACGGATAAGAAGTGCACGCGCATGCGCAACATGTCGAAAGTGTTAATTTCGTTATTGTAATTGCTTATTTAAGATACGATGATCGTGTTACAGTAAATTTATATCGCTTTGTTACTTTTGCTCAATATTTAAATCAAGCTGCGTGCTTAAGAAAGTCCTTGTATAATACAAGAGTAGGCATTGTGATCGTATTTTAATTTTCTTCTCATGCAAAGTTAAAACCAACAAGACTCTTGGCGGCCGATTCTAGCGCTCTTTGCTTTTACTCACACCTTGAGGATTTAAATTTTGCTTTGACTTTCACCTTGATTTGTTCGGAGCGAATTTCGAAACGCTTAACAAAAAGGAACTCGTTTGAATAATAACTTTAACAAGTTATCTGTGGATTAATTCATGCACTTAAAATTTAAAGCGCTTTAGACATTAAGTTTCACATTTTAATGTTTTACTCCTTCTTTCTCAATGCGTAAAACCTGAAAAACATGCAGCAGATGTGCAAAAAGTTCAACTTTAACTAACTGTTGTTTTATTTTGTGAGTCAGGTTTAAATGCAGCAAGCGAATGTTCGATTTGTGTGCATTTTGCTCGATTCTTGCTTATTGGAGTGAGCAGGAAGGAGTTAAGGCGAAAGTATACAAGAACACCGCGTGTGCGCCGATGTGCTACTTCCTAATCGGTTGGGCTTTTAAAGAAGGCATGATTTTCGGTCATCGCTGAGACGTGTATTAATTTGGTCAAGACGTGATCGGTTTCTGGGACGCACGTTTTATAACTGTTCATTCACATGTCCAATCAATGCTTTAATCACTTACTTACACCTGTATACACTTCTGTGTATTGATTCAATAAGTTTGTTAAAGTTTTAATTCTCAACTAACTGCATTGACAAAGTTTTTTTTTTCTATTTTTTTTGTTTTTGCAACTTTACAAGTATGGAATTACAAGGTTTTAATTGCACAAGAAATTAATTGTGTTAACTAGTAACTGCGGGTAATCATTAATTATGAAGAACAGTATTTAATAAAGTTATTTTAGATACGCTCCAGTTATTACGACGAATATTGTTTGGATAATGTATAATTAAAACAAAATTCTAAAAATACGGGTATAGAGATTATTATCGGCATATTTTTTTTTATATACATTTACTGATTTAAATATGGGAAATTAATAAATTTTACATTATTGATTTGGTAAAACGTGCGTTTTGCATTGCAAGTCCGATATCTTTACAACTTTATAGCTGCAAACTTTTGATTTTTGTGTAATATTAGTTGCCTAATTAACTTCTTACCAAGTCAGAGGTTAAAAGTGAGGTTACGTAGAGCGTTTTTGCAATAAAATATAATATTTATTGTGATTTAAATTGGAGGGCAAAAAAGATCAACATCTAGTCAAAGTCAAATGTTAAAAGTGATGTTTAGTAGTTTATTTGTTCTCCAAAACACTCAAACTTGTAATTAGTTACATTAATTTATATTAAACTAACCTCCAAATACTATTTCATTGAACCAATGAGAAATTTACAATAACATTCAATTTTATATTTAATTTAAAAAGTTTTAATTTAAATTTATAAAAGAATTTTTGAGAATTAAATCTACATTATATTAATTAATATTTATATATTGTATTGTAAACTAATAATAAAATCAATCTGTTAAATTATAGAAACATTTACTATTGCAAAATGTTCTTTCATTTTCAATAAAGTGTTGATAAAACTCTGTTGAAATTATCTAAATTTCTCATTTACATTGTATAACACTCTAGGATGTGTATAATCTCGCACTGGAAGCTAAATCAACTGAATGCTAGAATTTTCCGTTCCGTTGCCCGCATATCCGTTACTTCCGTTATGATAGTTTAGCTCCGGCAAACATGCGCGGTTTGTTCTCTAGGTTTTTCACCTGAATCGCTCGAATATCTACCATGCAAAATTCAAGCAAAGTAAAAACCTTTACTCACACATTCATATACACCAACTGTGAACAGGTAGAATATCGGAATGCGATCGTGCATCACACAATCACACACAATGCGTACGTTTGTCGCACGTGCAGCGCTTATTCAGCGTGGGACGCGTGGGTGTCGCAACACCTTCTTGACGCCAGGCCGGACGAATTTGTTCGTTTGTGTAAATATTATGATGGAGTGTGTTCTTTTGTTTACGCTAACACGTATCTAAAAATAAAACGGTGTAGCCGCTTTTCGAATGATGGAGTGCGTTGCTTCAACAATCGGCGGCGGCCATCCGCCCAAAATCATTCCGGCGGAAAATTACGCATGCTCGGGGACAATTTAATCACTGTGGTGCTGCGGCTAGCGACTGTGTCCGAGGGAATCCACTTAAGACGATAAATTAAACATTAGGCAAAATGGGCGAACGTTTGTTTTGCGGTGAATCAAGCGTGCAAGGCGTGGCTGACAAACATTACTTATGCTCGATGCATATTGTGTTGAATAAATAATCGCTTTTGAATCAAGAGGAACGGCCTGGAAGTGATTAGAGGAAATTATAGGGAGACTACCGCAATTTTATGATGAAACAAAAGTATTCTTTAAGTGTTAATTGAAATTCTTGCGTCATTGTTCAAAATAATTGTATATAGTAATAACATAACCACATGAAGGTAATAATATGTGTTCCATATTATTAAATAGGAAGAAATGATGAAGAATACTTGCATTTTGTAAAATCAATTACACTGGGTGGTGAAAATAAATTGTTTGAATTATTTTACGTTTTTATTACACTTTGTAACAGGAAATTTGTAATACAGTTTCTTGAATTTAGATATATCAATCAAAAAGATGTATCAGGTCCGGAGTAAACCTCATTTTATGTAAAATTCTTTTAAAAATAAAACATTATAAAACTAGGATTATAAAACTATATTATTGTTAATATTGCTTAGGCTTTATTCTACTATACTTTTATTTCTTTTCAAAATTTCTTACGATGTTTTCTTAGTAAATGTGACAATGACAATTGCTTTCGTCTTCTTCTATATGCAACATGTCATCAATTTTATATTAATACAAGTTGTCCCGATGAACATCGTTCCCTCTCATCAATAAATTATTAAAAGACTTTTATTCAGTTCTGTTATTAATTTAAATGCATACTCAAAATGATACGTTTTTTAATACCATTGAGATTCATGTAATTCACATCACAGGAAGTCATTTGCTTTAATCTAGTGAATCAAAATGACTCGCGTAGTATTGTTGCACAAGTTCTAGAATCAGCTGTCCAACGAGTACAACAAGTACAAGGTATGCTCGAATATCTATAATATAAAAATGAATCGGAAAATCTGTTGGTAAGCGCATAACTCAACAACGCCTAAACCAATTTAGCAAATTCTTTTTTTAAAAGGTCCGTTAAAGTACAAGGATGGTTTTTACGGAGAGAAAAATTTGAATAATTGCCGGGAAAACTCTAAAGACAGCTATAGGATAAGAGTTAGCATTGAGATTCAATAATAGTTATAGTTAAATGGTTGAATCCGAGATGGCGCGCTGAAGTGCATTATTAGAAATTCTAATTAATTTCTACTTTAAAATAAATATGTCTAGAACAAGAGAGTAAAAACAAATTACATTTTTATAAACACTACCTGGACGAAGTCGCGGGCAAAAGCTAATATTGTATACAACAGTATCTATAATTTATTTATTTTTTCTCGAAATTTTGAGGTAAAATAAATATATTCTGCTATTTGGACCTTAGGTCAATTAAACCATTAGCAAAGTCGGATTAACACATTCTTGATTCAAAATTGTGCAATTTACATAGAGATTTACTCAACATTTTGCAAAAGAAATCTCTTACATATTACATAACAGAGCTAATGTTGCATTTTATAACTTTGAAGAGTTAAAATAATTAGATTTGTGATTAGTGCTTGATATTTCATTCCTCATTATCTATATTTAATGTTTTGACGCAATTTTCATGCGAAATTAATTTCCCTGAAATTTCACATGATGTTTTAATTTTGCTCGTTTCCAACCCGCCTGACAATTGTATTATTTGTTAATGCTCCCCCACATAACATACAAGTATGTTTAATTCAATAAATATTGAACAAATTCATTAATTTCAGCGAATAAATCCAAAAATATTTGCGCAGCATTTACCAGAAAAATATAAATAATGAAAATAATTACACCGCGGATTAAAGTTTCACGTTAAAAGAGAAAAATTTATTCCGAAAAGTGCGTAGGTCTTAAATGTACTGCGGTTCAAAGAAATTCGCTGGATAATTGTTTCGCACTGATATATAGGTCAGAACAGCTTCCCTGGACCGTAAACGCGCGTTCTATTTAGGCCAAGGACAAAGGATACTCATTTATTTCGAAGCGAACATATTCTTGTCGCCTCAACCACGCACACCTAAAATGTAAAGAGCCCAAACTCATTCTTGTTTACTTCAAAAGTTACATTTATATTTAAATCTAAATATATACGTTGTTGAAGGAAGGAAACCCCGCAATTTCCTAGCGATTCATAAATTCGTATAAACCAAAAAGTTAGGAGTACTTAAATATCATTTTGCGCTGTGCCCTTATTACTTTTTTGTTGCTCTGTTTGCGTTGTATTTTATATCGAGGTGGTAAATATGAAGCGACAAAGCGATCAATACGTGGCAAATTCCGCCCACGAAAAGATTATCTACGCCATCACGTGCGTAGGAGACGTGCATAATTGATATTCGTCGTTTGATAGTCAAACACAGCACGTAAAAAATATCGAAAAACAATTTAATGCATATTTTATAACATTATTAATTTTAAAGTGCTTTTTATCTTACAAAATGCACACGCAGGGAATTTTAATGAACCAAAAGGAGAATCACAAGAGTATCGTCAGTGCCAGGCACAAAAACGTTCTACTACGTATTATGGAATAGATCTACTTATTTTGGCATCGAACTCATTTAGAGTTCAGTCTAGCAATATGCAGAGTGCAGAAATGAAGCAGACGCGCTTTTATTTAATCAGTTTAATCAGCTTCCAAACTTACGGGACCAAATTAGTAATTAAATTAAGCGTGACTAAAGAAATTTAGGCGCAGAGTCTCTCACGGTTATAGAACGGAGTAAAAATGTGTTTATTTAGTGCTTTTTAAGGTAAACGTCATCGTTAATTACGTTCCGTTGTAGTTTCAGATAACGATAATGAAGATACAATATGTCATCAACCTGCCACGGGGACCATAGCGACCGGCGATTGCGTACAAACAAAGCGATGGTGAATTTCGGATCGAATGAGTGCTTCGAATCGCACGCAGTGTTGTTAGACGATCACATCCTGGAAGCGCCAGAAGAATTCCGATGCGTTTCGAACGGATTCGCCCGCGGTCGCGATAAAGACAATGAAACCGAAAGGGATGTTAGCGCGGAGTGCAAGTGCCGCGTCGCGTCAGGGAACCGTGACCATCAGAATATACAGGATGTGACGTGCGGGTGCACAGCGCAGGAAATGATTTTCGAGCGGAGCAAGCGTGAGAATGACGAAAACGATGACGACCGAGCGAATATGGGAAAGACGCTCGCAACAATAAACTTAATTAGCAATTGTAATGGTGGTGTGAGCAGTGATGATGCCAGGGACGCCATAGGTATGTTTACAACATTATTGTTGTGGTTTACTGGTTGAGAACTTGATGGATGGACTTTTATAAGCTTTTATATGTTCGATTGTAAGTTTCCAACATTTTCCGCGTAGGCAACCAAATTTACATTAAATTCTACACAGTATTTGAAGGATTTGTTACAAACTAGTACAAGTAGGGATTTATTCAAGTCCACCCTACAAGTTTACAAGTATCCAGGCATGTGTCAAGGTTGAGGGTTTGTGAGGGATTTCAAAGGATGCATGTATGTATTCTAAAAGGCAAATGTTGTTCTGCCGCAGATAAAATGAAGATGGAAGCGATGAACGACAGGAATAGATCAAACTCATGCACGTTCGCAAATAAATTCGCTGACGGTGGCCATATTGATGAGCACGGTGGCGTGGGCGCGTGCGAAACGGACAGCGTGAGCGCGTCAAATGGCAGCGAGGCCGCGTGCGGCGTGCGCGAGACTGAAACGCCATCGATCGCGAACGGCGTCGTGGTGTGCGCAACGGCACCAGGGTGCAGTCGCGTCGCGGACGCCCCGGCCATCGTTTGCTGCGATCGCGAGTCGCCGCGCTCGGACGTCCACCTGGAGGATAGTGAAAGTGAGCCAGCAGCGACAAGTCAGCGTCGCGAATGGACGCGCCAGCAGGACCACGACCCCGCGGTGCCGGCCATACTACGGCATATTTCTAGCATCGCCGCGCACGTCGATTACGCGCCCAGCGACCTCAGCTTGGAGCTCATCAATACGAAAAACGAATTGAACAAGCTCAAGGAGCATGTCCAAGCGTGGGCCGCCAGCGAGCTGCCGCTCTCCAGCAAGGAATTGAATAAACGAGCGGCGGACGGCCGACTGCGACATTTGGGAGAAAAACTGCTGACAAAAGCAGTTGGTAGTGACCAGCAGGACGAAATACAGGACAAAAAACAGGTGGTCGACGACTATGACGCTAATCAGAACTTGGTAGGGTTGTCGTCGGAAAGCAATGAGATTTATAGCGAGTTTGATGCGTCAAAGTACGCCACGTACGCCAGTCTCGCCGACGGAGATTATTTTGTAGTCTATGACGAATTGGAAGAAGGCGACGTTGAGGACGATGCAGGCCATACTATGAAGAGCATGATGGGTACGGACGGCGAGCGCAAGCAGCATAACCCTGACAGGGACAACCTCAGGTCCTTGCTGAAGAAACCTGGCCGGGGCAAGGATAAAAAGAACCGCGTCGTTTTTAAAGAAGACAAAAACGAATTCTTCGACGCGGATTATATTATACTCATTCGGGAGGATTGTGATTATGATGAAGAAGATGACGATGGTGTCTGTACATGCAACCAGCATGAAATGGTCAGACTTACGTGTTGTGAACCCAATTGCAATTGCAACGTGTACGAGTTTGATCCGACGCCGCAGAGTCCGAAATTTGCGCCACCATTGGAGTTTGTGGATGCAGTTACACTCAGCCCGCCTGATGGGTATAAGGACATGGAGTTGGGTGAGCAGCAACTTTTGGCCTTGCAGCAGATGGCGGCCAGGAGGGCTCAACAACTTGCTCCAATGGCGCCTGTATGCAGAGAGTGTAGTCAAACTCATTGTGAAGATGGTAAGTGCAACAGTAAGTTCATTTTTCATTATTATTGTTGTTGTGTAAATTTAAGAAATGTGAATAGACGTAGATGTGAATATGTTTTTAGTTATTTCTTAGTGCGGAAAAGGGTAGATTTTATTTTATTTGAAAAGATGACATAATGGAATATGAGATGCATGTCAGCTTCTTTTCAAACCGGAATATAGAAAGGAAGGAACTTAGCTTTTCATTTAAACTTTCATCATACTTACAAATTAATTTCCAGAGTATCGTAAGACCCAAGATGTTCGGAATCATTTTCTTGAGAACTATTCGCCGAGAAAAGCTTTTTTCAAGTTTGGTTTAAAAACAATTCTTTATATAAATTACTTTAATTTTAAACGAGACAGTGCATTTTTTTCTTTGCTGCGCTTCTTACGTTTCGTCTCGCAACGCGAGAGTTGAAGTTAATAGTTATTTGCTAATTAAACGTAAACCAATTAACGTAGCTCAATGATTTCTTATAATATGTATTAAGTTCTGGATTTAATTATATAAGAAGTATTTATTATTGATAACTATAATATTGGAACAGCCAAAGTGCAAAATCTAGGTATTTTATTGATTAATACATTAAATCATAATTTTATTTATTTATAATTTTATACAGTGAGATTTTAAATATAACTACTAAATGATTATTGGGAAAATCACAAGTTTATCACAAAGAATTGTCATTTAATTAATGAATACCCAGAAATATTGAAATTTTACGGCAAGTTTGGGCAATAAAAGCCTTGATTAATCTATTATGCATCGTTGCTATGGCAACAGTACATAAATTGTAGTGCAGCACTACCATTCGATACTTGTAACCCGACTCATAACTATTGTACATTGTACATGCGAATATGAGTTTGTTTGTTTATATGTGACGCTTTCATGCAAAAACCAGTGAAGCAATTTTGATTAATTTTGGTATGGAGGTAGTTTTGGTTGAGGAAAATAAACAAGGGTATCTTTTGTTGTAAAATATAACTTGAGGGGTGTGAAATAAGGCATGAAAATTGGTATGGAAATTTAAGTATAGCTATAGTTATATTGATTAGAATTAATCAAGGTGTCGCTAAAGTGCATCATTATCATTTTTATTATATCTTTTGTCGTAGTCGGCTCATAATAGGTGTAAGAAACAGGATAGTACATAATTAGTTAGGCTACTTATTTTTTTTTTAATCAAATTCTACTTTAATGAAGTTGCGGATAAAAGCTATTTATTACAAAACTATCAAACTATCAATGCAAATGTTTGTCAACTTGATGTGGATAGCCTGATATGTTTATTTAGACAAACATCTACATCCACTCCCGATAACCATTAATTAATTCATTAATTATATTAATTGAGTGCCTTCTGAGTAGTATCCATTTCAAAATTATTTAAATCTTTCCATCTCGGTATAAAACTATTGATATTTCAATTACAATTTAAAACTCAACTTGATGAGACAAGCAAACATCAACAATTACACTATTTATAAACAATGATTACAAATGATACCTTCTAGTGTATCACTGACTACAAAAAATTGATCATTTGGAACGTAGTTCATTGCAGTGTGTGAAGTCAAATAGATTAAGCAATGTAACCGTGTACAGTTACAAATTTAATCAATTTGATAAAGTAGGTGCATTAACAGCGCGTATATGAAATCACAACTTTAAAGCTCGAACTAAACTAAAAGTTAAATTTCACCGTCGAAGCTGAATTTATGGCGCCAGCATATGTAGAAATACATATAATGTATTTTGCTCGCGTGCGATACTCAGCCAACTTTAGTTCTATTCGAGAATTGGTCGGCACAACTTGTATTACTTTCGCTCCGGCAAAACTGCTGCCGACTTAATTAAAAACGACCGCCTCACGAACTACGTTTACCGGAATTGCTGGATTTACTATCATCGCTTTGCAAAAGTTGAAAATCCAGTGAGTGAAATACTAAATAAATGACTTACGCGATGTAATTAACACATTTTAAGTGAAAATAAATATTTACAATGGCAGGAAAATGTTTGAGGTGAGCTGGGTCAACTTTTTCAAAAATATTTTAAATTAAAAGGTTCTTGGTATGTATTATATAGGTTCTCATATAAAGCAAAGTCGAGTTAGTTATAGCATTTATAACTTAAGAATGGTTGGACAGGTTTTAGTGATTTATGATTTGTTGGATTCGCTTCTTACCCAAATAGTAGAATAACTAATAAAATATCAAAATTTATTACTTAAAGATTGCTAAATAAGGGATGAAAATTTGTATAAAGATTCAACCATTTATAGCTAAATAATTAAATACGAGATGGTGCTAAAGTACAAAATTAGCTTTTCGCATTTTTAAAGAATAGAATTGCGAATTTAATTTATGGAATTGATATATATTAGGTGTAGAACAAGAAAGAAAAAAGTGATTACATCTATAATTTAAAAATCTGTTGGTAAGCGCATAACTCAACAACGCCTAAACCAATTTGGCCAGTGCTTTATTTTAAATGTTCATTAAAGTCCAAGGATGGCTTTTACGGCGAGAAAATTTTGAATAATTGCCGGAAAAACCATAAAGACTGCCCTTTTCTATAGGATAAAAGTTGGCATTGAGATACAAGCATAGTTATAGTTAAATAGTTGAATCCGAGATGGCGCGCTGAAGTGCATTATTAGCAATTCTTTATATAATTAATTTCTTTAAAATAAAATTGCGAATCTTATTGACAGAATTGACGCATACTACTCGTATGTCTAGAACAAGAAGGTAAAAACGAATTACATTTTTATTAAACACTAGCGGGACGAAGTCGCTGGCAAAAACTAGCAGGTTTATAATTTTGACATGAGAAGTTTTTGAGGTTAGTAAAAAAATGGCAGATAATATAATAGATGGCGTTGATTTGCCGAATGTAAACAACACGTCGAAGTGATGAATTTGACGCTTGAACTTTCTAGCGATAAAACTCCGCCTAAGCATTTATCAAGGTTAGTAAACTTTAGCTTTTGGAGAAGAAACGCACCCACATTGCGGATTGGAACCTTCGGGGGCACGAAATTGATTAATTAAATCTCATATTCTTCGCGCACAAACAATGCGACTCGCAGAGTTAATTAAAAGTGAATATTTAAATTACGCGCAGTATGAGAAATCAAGTTTACGGTTTCGTTAGCAGAGCGTAATGATGAGGTTTTCGCGGAGTGCGAGCTTAGGTATATTCATTAATGAAATAAATATATATATATAATAAATCTAAAGAATGAAGAAAACGAAATTGCATCAATTTCCATATTTAGTTTGCGTGTGCTTTGGAAGCATGCGAGTGGCAAATTCACAGACAATAACGAGATACAATGCTTGGCTGCCAAGTAATTATCGAGAGTTAACGACTTTTTCTTCAAGATCAAACATAAATATCTATTATATTATACTCGTATGTGTATTATTATACTGTGTGATTATTTTTTCATTTTATACAAGAATGTTGAATTAATATCTGAATGGTAGTTATTCACACTAGTAAATGATTAAAGTTAAATGAATGACACATGTAAACAAGATAAAAGTGAAAATATTATAGTAACTTTTAGTGAAACAAACGTTTGATTGTTTGAATGCAATTTGTTGAAGGCTATTTTATAATAAAAAAAATCTATAATATAAAAGTGAATCTCAAAATCTGTTGGTAAGCGCATAATTCAACAACGCCTAGACCATTTTGACCAATTCTTTTTTTTAATGTTCGTTCAAGTCCAAGAATGGTTTTTACGGCGAGAAAAATTCGAATAATTGACGGGAAAACCCTAAAGACATTCCTTTTCTATAGGATAAAAGTTGGCATTGAGACTCAATCATAGTTATAGTTAAATAGTTGAATCCGAGATGTGCATTATTAGCAATTCTTTTTATAATTAATTTCTTTAAAATAAAATTGTGAATCTTATTGATAGAATTGACTCATACTATGTCTAGAACCAGGACGAAGACGCGGGCGAAAGCTAGTGTTATAATAAAAATAAAGAAATGCAGCAATTCATTTGTCAAAATATGTTTTTGGATGAAGTTGTTCTCAATTTTTTGAACTAAATGGTTAAAACTGTAAATGTGTTATCAATGTGTTTACAGTTATGAATGTTGATATGTCAATGGCTTACTTTACCTATAACTGCAATGTTAGGTAATAATTAATGTTTTTTAGAATTATAATTCCAATTATATTTGCACCACTGATTTGCACGTAAACACATTAAATAATGAAAGTTTCAACCTAATGAACGAAATGGTTGCCAGGCAACGAATTTACAACTTCTCCAATAAATTCACTCTCGATAATTAATTTGTAATTATTTTGTATCGAATTCGTACTCAAATCGATTTCGTTTTGTCATGTAAACGTGGCAATTTACAGATTAATGAATAAATTAATTGTTGTTTCTACCTGCCACCGCCACTGGGTGGTTAAATGTCATGTGTGTAATGGCATTGCACTGCGGCATGGTATCGTATTTGTGTTACTAATGTAGGTATACTTTGCGTATTACCAATATTAGTTTATTGAAAATACAAACGCTTAATGCTTAATCAAATGCCAATTTTAACGAGTTTAACGCCAATAACATTAATTCCATTGCCCCAATTTAATGTTACAAGGTAATATTATATTTACGAGGGTTTATCAAAGTGCGAAGCAGTTATCTGGTGCATATGCAGGGTTGGAGTTTACTTTTACATTTTATTTTTAGAGAAATTTACATTAGAGACAAGTAGCGACACCTGCGGTTCACTTTTCTTGAAATTCTATACCAATAATATGTTCAAAATGCTGTGAGACAAAAATTGTCGCAAAAATATTTTAAAATACAAAGAAAAAATAAAATATTCATGAAAAAAATTTTCTTCTTCTTTGGATAAGGTTATGTCGTATCGGTTTATAGTTTGACAGCTTATACAGAAAATAATACAATACTGGATTTTACTATCGAATTAGATGAATGAAATCATTACTTAAAATCAGTTTTATTCTTTATTTTATCTTAAGAATAAAACTTAATTAAATTCAGTTAATTAATTTATTTAAAGCGGCATTCATTTATGAGAAGGTACGCAGGTGGTTGGGAAAGCTCGTAATTCATAAACTAATTTGTACCCAAAGTGTAATACAAATGATGAATAAAATCGCTATAAAATTTTACACCGCAATAAATTAAATATGAATATGTAGCACCAGTTGTGTAAATGTCAGTCAAATGTCCAATCAAGTCAAATCGTTACGCCACATTCGTTTGCACCCATTCCCATCCAAATTTCAGCACGCTTTGAACATCACCATGTCACAACCGTTGTTCGGTGAAGGCACCAATGTGTACAAGTTCCCCTCACAACAGCATCTTCCGGTGAAATTCGGCCCGTACACACTGTGGCTTCAGGAGAACAAAAACCGCGAGGTATTCGACACCACGAGCACAAGACTCGTCAGCCACCCGCACCAAAGCGAAGACTGCACCAACAACGCCTGCTGGCCGGATGTCAGCTACACATATCATCCGCAAGCGCAAGAATTCGCCCTGCGAGGCTTCACCGAAACAGCGCGGCCACCACAACAGAGCGGAACTATCAACACGTTGCAGTATCAAATAGCACTCAAAGAACTAGAGAGGCAATGCCTCGAAACTATGCTGTTACGCGAGCAGATGCTTAAGAATCCGTACACGTTGAAATTCACGGATAATACCAGCACATTAACAGACACAGCGACGATTTGTGATTGCGAAGCGCCCAAACACATGGATGTTGCAACCACCGCGGAAGGTGTTAAGGAATTGGTTGAGATGGGTGCACAAACGGATTTTGTACAATTTAGAAACGATCAGACAGATAGTGATAACGAGGGTCCGAGTAGTCCGAGTGAAACTGATACGAGTGATTGTGAATCTCTTACTGATATGGAGAAATCAGAGGCGTCTGATGATATGGTTACCAGCGAAACAGAGCACAAAAAACCCAGCCGCAAATCGTGTCTGAAAACGGGCAAACGCACGACGAAACGACGCATTCGATTTTCGCAGTAACGAATTTTCCTGGAAGCATCATAGCAATATACATATTTTTCGAATCTATTTTTATTCTTATTTCAATGGGGTAAAATGGTGAATATTTTGCCATCGCGCGTGAAATTTTATTTGCTGCATGCGGAAATGTTTATTTCCTTCACATTCTGCACCCTCCATAATTTCAATTACTTCATTGCGCGCCGGGGAAAAATTCTATTTCACGCCTGGCGCGCCAAAGGATGTCGCGGTCTGCATCATCTGCAGTTCGTCTGCAAGTCGATGCGACGGGTTAACCGCTCGCTTGGCACAGACGCCGGAGGTGGAGGCAGCAAAACCGTATTATCGTTGATGATTTCACAACATACCAGCCGGCCCCCAGCCGTCTCGACGCGTATTGATCTACCTTCTCTCGCAAAAAGCGCGCACTTGGCGGGCTCTTCTATGAAGTTTGCGCTTACCAGCGGCTTTTCGGCGCGCGCGTGTGAGAAAAAAACACCGCGAATATTTATGGAAATAGTTACGTTGGCTTTCACTTTCTCTCGAAGCTTGGAAACACATTGGCGGAGTGGCTTTTGTTTGCAACAAATACATTAAATAAATTGCTGGCTTTAAACCTGCGATTCAGATGCTTTGCTCTAACCAAAATAAAGTGCACGTTGGGGAATTTTATACGTTTAAGTTTGAAAGTTTTCGGTTTTTTTTAAATTAATGGCTAATTAACCACAATGGAAATTGTAGACGTAAATATATTACCTACCAAAGGAGGAAATTCACATTCAGAATTATGAAAAAATGCATTTATAGGTTATGTCTTTAGTTTATTAACCTCATTGTCGCGCCATACACTTAAAAAACTACGCCAAACACCCAAAAACAGCAAAAACTCAATTGACGGCGTTCTGGCAAAGATAAGCTAAGTTTTTAGTGCTTCTAAAATCGCAAAACTTATCTACATGTATTTTTAGCCTTTTTTGCTTTTAACCTGTTTTTATTCAAGCTCTTAACATCTCAACTATTAAGACATTTACTTTCATATCACTTTCATTAATTCATTTGTTTTGATCAACTCTTTCATTTGACAATAACAATATAAAATCAACGCAAACGAAAGTAGAAAGTTGTAAAGTTTGCAGAATAATTTATTTAAACAATTTGTTTTACACATTAATAAATTCACCATTACTCAATTTACCCTTCTGTAATTCTGGTATGAATATGTAACAGAATTAACTCACTGGAATTTTAAGGGTTGATAAAAGCCTTGACTGTGAGTGAAGTGAGATGAGGTTTCTCTGAGAAAATCGATGTCAGACGAACGGACAAACAGACGCATGAGTGGTTTTAATCCCATGTGCTGACAGTACCCCAAAAACTGTTAGACAAGTTTAATTTAATTGAAAATTATTTGTTTGGTTAGATTAGGTTAGGTTTTAAGAGTGAATTAGTTTATTTTTGGTTTATTTTACTTTACTTATTTTTGCAGGTGAATATTCTGAGGAAGAACCACAATCTGACCAAGAAACTGAGAAAACTGATCAAAGCCAGCAAACAACCCCAACAACACCTCCTCCCGATGAAGGTAGCTTCCATTAAAAATGAATAAAGTCCCTGCTGATTTGACAATGCAATAACGTTTTTCAGATTCTCCAGATAGGCAGAAATTATCCCGTTCTAAATGTACGCCCCAAGCGGATAAACGCTGCGAAGTGGAAATGAATGATGATAGCATCGATTCCACCGACAGTGCAAACATACCCCCCGGTGGATCCCCAATAAGTGGCATTCTTAAAGGTGGCCGTTTGTGGAAACAGACCTCGGATGTTACCGTCGCGCGTCCAGCACCGCCGGTCGAACCCAAGGAACCTCCACAACAGGTTGGTGCAATGCTTATGCTCCCCTTTATGTACTCCAGTAGTTTATCGCCCCAAATTACGACCGCATGATAATTAAATTTACAGCCCGATGTTGCCATTACATCGGACGACGAGAGCGGCGGCAAACGATCGGTGCGTTTCATCGAATCAGACGACGGCCCTGGCGTGGACCAAGTCGACTCCAGCGATGCGAAAGCTGATGATCAAAAGCACTCCGCGTCGCCGGAATCCACCGAGATGACGCTCACCTTCAAGCTAGGCAAACACATACTCATCTCTAACAACAGCCTCAAGCCAAATTCGGCAGTGCGGCAGTTGTTCCCTTGCACTAAGCCCCATGGTGATAAAACCGGCGAAGAAAACTCGCAGTATCTCGTCACTTCCGATTCGCTTAAGGCGTTCGACGAGGCGAAGAAATTAAAACTGCCGCAAATCGAGGCGGACGAATCGATCAAACGAGTGATTGAACGCAACACGCTTCGGCGCTCGCTCATTCGCTACGAGCCGCGTGCGAAGAAGAATGTTCAAAAGACTGACAATTCACTCGTTGAACGAATCAAACAATTAACATGTGATGTAGACGATCCGCTGCCGGACGACGAGTTGGCGCGTGCTTCGCCCGCTGGCGAGGAAGCGAAGAGCTCCCCAGAGCTGTCTATGCTCAAGGCTACCGATAAGAGCTTTTCCCCAGCGTCGTCCTCGTCGTCCAACTCATCCGCTTCCGCCACGTACAAGAGACTGACAGATCTCTTTGCTAAGAAGGATCGGCCCGACATTCAAGAGATTGACGGCGGGACGACACGACCGCAGGCTCCTGATTTGGGCGGCCCGCAGGAGTTTATCGATCCGCATAACTCGATGGCCAAGCTGCACGCTGTCACGAACGATAACAGAAAACAATTTCTTGCCACATTGGGGCCATTGTCGGCGTGCGTTGGTGGGACTGTGCACGCGGAGGACTATTATTATCAGACCGCGGGCGATCGCATGTCTATGGCCAGTTCCATTGGCACCGAGTACAGTTTGGAGGATATTGAAGAGGGATTAAAGAAAGATGAGGAGTCTAAGCGGACACCACCGGATGTTTTAGCGGGCACTCCATCTGCTTCCGAGTCTGGCGATGAATTGGCTATGTTTGTGCAACAGGATGCTACTAGAATTGAACGAATTAAGAAAAAGTAAGTATTAACCTATAATTAATAGCAGCTTTGTTGAAATAGGTGTTTAGAAATTCTATTCCCTGCAACTAAAATTCATGACCTACTAAAGCGTAAAGAGTAACTAACCTGTGCGAGCCTAAAATAAATTAAACCCGTTAATTTTTAATCACTTCCCGTTGCTCATCTGGAGAGTGTCAGTATGATAATAGGCAATATCCTTTGCAGATACCAGCAGGACGACGAAGAGGACGAGCATGACGATTACGGCTTCAATCGCCGTCCGAGCGTGCGCGGTATTAAGCCAAGGTTCGGCACCACTACGGAGATAATGCAACAGATCCAACAGCAAATTCAACCACCCACTACGACCAGCACCCTTCCGCGTAACGCGTCCGTCGCTTGGCCTTACTACTCCGAAACGAATTTAAGCGGTGTCGACAACAAGCGAAATATTAACAACCAAGCGCCTAATTATCAATACGCCCAGTATAGGCCTACAACACTCGTCGATGAAAACGCCTATCAAAATTGCGCCAACCAACAGCAACAACAACCTCAGCAACCACCGCAACAGCAACCGCGCTGTCCGCAGGTGACGTACCGTTCGAACATGAATGTGTACACATCATCACCGATAATGCGTATTGGCGGTGGTTGCACAGACTATTATCAATCGCTGCCGCGTAACCGAAATGGCCGACCTGCATCGCCGCCCCCACAGGAGGTAACCAAAGGCCTCCATCAGATGATGTATATCCCTTATAATCATATCGAGGGCATCCAAGGCGCCTACTATGACGCCACCTACGCATGCGTCAACAACCAGAATCAAATCAACAAGCGGTACATCGACAGCAGTTATCAGGAATTGTACGCCACTGCAGGTAAACCGAGGGCGCCTTACACGATCACTTCAAGATCCGAAAGTCCTGCGTATTCCACGGCGCGATCAACGCAAACACCGCAAACTTGCACTTATTATCCGCGTTATCGTCCGCCGAATGGCATCGCATGGATCGACGGACTCTATAAACCAACTGCTGGTAATCGATACCCGCGTATGCATTCTTCCAACGCCGTCGACAACATTTCATTGACAGACTCGGATAGTCAACATAGTAGTCAGCTGCCCAACGGTTTCAAGGACTGCTCGATGCCTAACTCGCCTACGAAGCCAAAGTTTATAGAGCGTGGCGTGCCTGAGGGAGCGGCGAGCGTGTCCTCTCAAGACGGGCAGAATCTTACATCGCCTACATCACCGCAGAATCCGCCAGGTGCGCCGCCCACTTCAAAACCGCTTTTCTACGCTATGAACGTCTGACCAATTACAACGCAAACAAGGGAATTTTTTAAAGAGTAACCAAACTACACTTGCTATGTAGTTGTCGTTGCCAAATCCTGCATCGGGGCAGAACTAATGATAACAATAGAAACTGCGTGCTGCTCTCTCAATGATATTGTTCGACACATGACATTTACGGTATAAATTATATATGAACTTGGAACTTCTGTAGATACTTCCGCTTTAGGACTCATTACAAGATATAGATGATGATTTAGATGAAATACAATGATATACAAGATAGATTTTTATGGATATTTAATAGGCATATATATATTTTTAAATGTAAATTGTATAAAAAGTACTAACGATAAACTAAATGGTTAGTAGTCATTGTTGCCAAATATGAGATTCCATTACCAAAGTATTACTATACATAAAAGATGTAAACTAATATTAATTTAGTTCTTGTTTTGTTTGGAGAATATCCATAGTGAATCTAAGTGAATTTATTAACTGACCAAATTGACGATGGGGATGATTATGCGTTGTGCGCAGTGAGAATACTGTCTCTCAAGAAGCAAAAAAATAACCGAAGCGTTATTTTACCGATATGTAAGCCAAACTAATAGATTTAATCTAGTCAAGGTTATAATAGATTAATTTTTGTCAAATTAATAACATATTAAAGATCACGATGTGAAAGTAATATTGTAGCGAGCTAGCAGTAGTACTTAATGTGCATCTACTATTTATCAAACTATTTATCAAACAAAAGAAATGTTATACACAACACAACACACTTAAATTTGTTAAATTGAAGTGAAGCGGAGTTAGTCAATACTCAGAACTTGCAGTGACTCAAAGGAATTTATATATTGGAATTTGATGACTGTCTTCGCTTCATGGAAAATAAATTGGCGCATTTAAATTATATAACAGTGAAACAATTGAGTGCCATTCGTTTCGTTTGCCAATAATCAAAAGAAATCATGTTTTCCACGCGCAGAATTTTCGATTACGAATACTTTGAAGTGATTCAAACAATACTTGATAAAACTTTGTTGCTCAGCTGAAAGCGAGAATTGATAAAATTAAAAAGAATTTTATATAAACCCCTCTTTGAAAAAGAAATGAAAAGAAAGGGACTCTAATGACTAAACACGTTGGAATACTTGCAGTGAAAAGTATTATTAAGATAATATTATATAATAATAGCATATTTATGATATTATTTGTTGATGTAATTAATCTATATTATATTCCACGGTTTTAACAAAAGATGACAAACAAAAAAAGAAACAACAGAAACATATTTACAAACCATGCTTTGCAAGAAGTGGTGTGTTTGATACTACTAGTAATTTTTATTACTGACAAATATTGAAATCAAATTGAAACGAAAAGCGTACACGACGTGGCGACGACGAGTATCATACTGGGAGCGTCGTCCGCCGAAACGTCGCGGTGAATATTTCGCAGTGAAATGCAATGAATAAATGAAATTCAGTAATGCGAGTGTTTTTATTCACAACTCACGCCAACCGTTTTTTATTTCCGGTGTTAGAGCGCACTGCGTAGTGATTCACTAACTTCATTACATGCCGTGTTAAGGTGAGTATCATATCTCTGTGTACGCGGTACAGATAAGCGATAAGATAACAAAGTTCCAGTTTACCATTGCAGGAAATCGAATCAGTCGTATGTGAATACTGTTCGGTAATAGTAGCGAATATTTATTAAACCCATTTAGTACCTATAGTGTGCATAGAATCCAATTCAAAATGGGGGTGAACTATTTGACCAGCGTACCCGGATTGATTAAATTAGTGGAAGAGGTATATTAATATTAAATTTAAGCTGTTCTTTAGATTGGTGTATATTATTGATGTTTTTCTTTTTATGCAGGTTTTTAACTTTATTGGATTTATGTGCATCGCTTGTACTAATGGTGTATCTGCTAAAGGAGACGCGTTTCTCGCTGCATCTATAGGTGCGTTTATCATCACCGCCATTTTCTTGGTCATCTATGTGTTGGATATACAGGAACGAGTGGGAATTCCGTGGATTAAAATTCAGTTCTTTTATTGTGTCATCTGGGGTCTGTTTTATTTGATTACGGCTGCGTTAGTTATCGACCTGGGATCGGGCTACGTGGATTCGTACGTTGCTGGTGGAGTAAGTTACTACTTATTTATCAGTTTACTTAGTCTCCCTGTTTTACTGCCTACCCAGTAAAATATCATTCTTCTAAATTTAACCGTAATATTAACGTAGAAAATTTGTCGCGGGCAATATTTGCAATAATTCCATTTGTTCAAATAAGTATATTTAGTGTATTTTAGCATATTTAGGAAATAAATCTATGCATTTAAAGAAGGTCAAAGTTAGTTATAACTCAAGAACGGTTGCACGGATTTTTGATGTTGATTTTATATTTATAATCTTCGAAATTTGCGCGTACACTACTGGAAAATGTAGGCTTTGATTTGTTTGACTGGTGACGCATTTCATATGGTCTTGTGCGGCTCCGTAGGCAAATGCGCAGGTGCAAGCTCCACCTCGTAGATAATACCCGTTGGTAAAGTACTTTATTCACGGCTTTGGCCGTCCGTACTTAAAATATCACTTTTTGCGTCTAACAACCGTGCAAAAACTGGCACTGGTGGAAATAGAAAACTAAATATATGTTGCCTACGATTAATAATTGCGTTTGTTTTCAATTTCAGGTATTCGGTTTGTTTGCCACAACGACGTACTTTATAGACGCATTTTTCAAATACCAAAAGGAACAGTAATTTAATTTTTGTTTACGTTAATGGTAATTTTTATATGCATTTTGTACTTACTTCAATAATAGACTATATCCAATAAAACAGTGTTCGAACGTTCGGAGGAAGTGGCTTTTTCATAAGGAACACATAAGGTCAAACTTATTTGCAGAAGTAATATGAAACGTGTGGCAAATTATCAATGTACACATCGTGCTCAATTACACATTACCAGAAGTATAAGCGTACATTAAGCGTAATTGGAAACTACTGTATTATTACACATGTAATTGAATTACTATCAATACAGTTTCATAATATATTGTATAATGTCAGTTATAAATGAGGTTATGTTATATTATTCTCTAAATTCATAAATTGATAAATATTGAACTTTATAAATAATTATTGAGTAAAATTAAGAAAAACATTTTACATTTTTGCATATTATGAAAGTGTTATTTAATATTAACAATTGATACCTACTAAAAATAGACATGTTGATTATATAAACACTATGTACACATTGTTGTATACTCTAGGTCTCTGGGTGCATGAAGTCAATAAAATCAACACATGAGCACATTTAAATTGGCTGATCCGTGATTTCCGCCCGAGCGTAATAACGAGAGCGAATCTTGCGCGAGCACGCATGGCCGCGTAGTCAGAGCATTAAGCTCGCAAAGATAACATTTTCATAACATACGCCCCTTAGGGGTATAGTTTATAAATAAACCCCAAATGTGGTAATACTGCGTTAACCACCATGACGTATTCCGGAAGTAATGTTGCCGACATCGGCCTCGCCATGCAGAAATTCGGTGTGTACGACTACATGGTGTTCCTCGCAATGTTATCCCTTTGCATTGTGATTGGACTGTATTTTGCTTACAAAGGCAAAAAACACACCGCACAGGACTACCTGGTGGGAGGGCGAGCGATGAATACGTTGCCGGTGGCAATGTCCTTGATTGCGAGGTGAAAATATACATTTTATATCTATATTTTTATATTTTAACCAAGCGTAAACGATAATTTTTGAATGCACAGCTGGGTAAGCGGAATTTCTTTGTTGGGCATTCCGACGGAGAACTATGTGTATGGCATGCAGTATGTATATATCTGCGTTGGGGTAATTCTGTGTGCCATTATTGCCCAGACTGTGTATCTACCTGTGTTTCACAACTTACAAATTACGTCAACGTATGAGGTAATTTTTGTATTACACGCATTATTTGCATGCGATTACAACCGATTACAATATTGATTCATAAACGGTGTGATTGATAAGTTTTTGGGAAATTTTAGTATTTGGAGCGTCGATTTGATAAAAAAGTGAGAATCTTTGGAAGTGTTCTATTTACCATTGGCTTGGTAATTTCTTATCTGATATTTGCTTCGTTTTTATCTACAGCGATATACTTTTATAGATTGTATGGCTTCCCGTGGTGATTTATGTTCCTGCTTTGGCTTTCAATCAAGGTATTGTTACAAAAAAGTCTTCACTTTAATATTTGCATAATGTCTATGGATTTTTATGCAAATAAGAGCAAAAATTAGTTTTCTTTCACTTATGGACAAATTATGTTGATACTTGAAGTGATTAATAACTAAAATAATTATTTTATTTTATTGTTTTATAGGTTATACAATAGTGATGTTTTGCTTAAGCAACACACAATACATGTTGCAATACGAAAACATTTTTTTTAGTTTTTAATTTTATATAACAGATATTTATTTTATATGATTAATAGTAACTGGCGTCAATGTGCACTTGATCACACCTGTCGTATGCATCATTTGTATATTTTACACTTCAATCGTAAGTACCTACATCAATTTTCGTTCAGTCATTCATAGCCACTTGACTACAACGCATGCCTCAACGTGCACCGGTTCACTGATAAGCAGTTACTTAAACACAATAGAAACATTGTAATTGTAATTATCTCACTTAATATGGAATATAGATTTAAAAAAAATTAAATTACTTCAATTAGGGAGGGATTAAAGCAGTGGTATGGACAGACGTCATTCAAACAATCATAATGATCGGTGCGATGCTTTTGGTCGCGATCAAAGGCACCATGGACATCGGAGGATTTGGTCTTGTCCTTGACCGAAACCTACAGAGCAATCGGATTGAATTACCAAAGTATTTACAACATTTTGCGGTTTTATTTTATTTTCACGATTTTGTATATCAGTTTAGATATAAATCCTCTGTCAAGACACACGTTATGGACTCTTGCTATGGGTGGTTCCTTCCACATTCTCCAATCAAGCATCGTTAATCAAAACATGATTCAACGCTACTTGTCACTACCAACTTTAAAAGACGTTAATACAGCCCTGTGGATATTTGTCGTCGGACTATGTTTCATCGTATGTCTGGGATGCTACAGCGGTCTGCTTATCTACGCGACGTTTTACAATTGCGATCCACTCACCACGATGGTAAAAATCTCAATTACAAATCCTTGCCGGTGTGTGGGTCAGGGTGTCAAAATCGTCCGTTTGTAATTTATTAGCTTGCGCGAGAAAAGGACCAGCTGCTGCCACTGTTGGTGATGGAGGTCCTTGGCAATTATCCCGGACTGCCTGGATTATTCATTGCTGGGATTTTCAGCGCGGCTTTGAGGTAGGAGCCGGATTAATTAAAAGGGTTGCGTGGGTGTGGGTGCTGTCAAGGCAAACAAGATCACTACTTCTACGAATACGCTTAGTCAAGGTTTTATTTATATTTTTACATTTTGCCCCAGCTCATTATCCACAGGACTTAATTCAATGGCAGCTGTGGTATTAGAAGACTTCTATAAAACATGCTTCAAGAAGAAATTGACCGATGAACAGACTTACATTTTGATGAAATCCAGTGTTGTTGTTTTGGGCGTCATTTGTGTGGTATTAGTATTTTTGGTTGAGAAAATGGGCGCCGTACTACAGGTAAACCATAATAATAAATCAATTGTTATGAGCTGTGAATAAATATTCTTTAATGTATTTAGTTGACAGCTAGTATAGGAGCCATTTCAGCCGGGCCATGTTTAAGTCTTTTCACAATGGGAATATTATTGCCATGGATTGGTGCGAAAGTAATAAATTACTGCTTGCATCGATTAATGGATCATTACAAATGTATGTCATTTGTTATTTCAGGCGGCATTAATTGGTAGTGTGAGTGGTCTTGGTCTGATGAGTTGGCTCTGTCTGAGCGCTCAAGCAGCGATCGCGTCCGGGGATATTTATTTCCCCGAAAAATCAGTGTCGACGGAAGGATGTCATTATCATTTCACTCCGAAATTGTCCAGAAGCATGCACTTTAACAATACAATGAATGCAAACGTATTACACACCGAGTAAGCAATTGCCGACAAAAGTCTATTATTACCAACTGAAAATCTATTTTTAGCGAAACATTTATGCTGTATAGATTATCGTATTTATGGTATACGTTTGTTGGAGCTGTTGTGTCCATTGTTATCGCGATATTGATGACTTTGTTAGTGACGAAAATTCAGGATCCTGCTGATGTGGATCCGCAACTTCTGGCGCCGTTTATACGACGTTTCGTTTCGAATAGAAAGTATCCTAATCAGCCAAGGGATGGAATTATTTATGCATATGAGGTGGAAGTTAAATATTTACGTAAATGAAATCTGAAAGCTAATTCGTTGATAATTTTAGACTACAACTGCGACTATTAATCGACGAAATGCGAAGGAAGCAGATCAAGACGCCGGAGCGTAATGAATGTGATTATTATTTTATTTATCTCGTTATTTATTTAGTGAAATGAAAGAAAACGCTCGAAATTAAAATTAATCTATGTAGAAAATGTTGCTGCTAAATATTAAATATTGAAGGTTATTGAAAGTCAAAAAGTTAGGTTAAGAATTGAGCAGAATATTCACACGTAATTTACATGCCAATGCTAATTTTCACAAAAAATCAGTTAATTTTGCAATATCCTTAGTTTGGAATAAAAATACCAAGTCGATATAATTCCTTTGGATGTAGTTATTTCCTTTAAAATCATATGTGCAGCGTCATCTATATCCAAACAGTAACACTACTAAACTCAAATATTTGTGGTATTCCCCCTGTAAATTCGATCGATGCGCGCGATGCTTGAAACACGCTTTTAACGTAAGCATTCAAGGAACTTCCACCAGCCGGCGTGCGACTCACATTGTTCACGTGACCGAGATCTACACTCACATAATGAAAATTCGACCGTGCTTCTCGTATCCATCCAACAAGTCAGAATCAGTCAGAAATCAGCAGTTCGCTGCCGGGCGCACTGTGTTGTGTATGTGTGATCTACTTTCGTTGCGGGCGACGAAAAACTACGCTAATACTAATTAAAAAAAGCTTTCTTTACGTTTGAACTCATCACTAGTAAATCAGTGCAATAAAACCATCAAAGTGTAAACTATTTCAGGTGAATATTTAGTGTATCCGAGATATTTTAGGTCGAATACATGCCCCAAAAATCAATAATCTTGTCGGAGCAGGAAACATACGTGCTCCAAGTTGAAACAAAAATCATTTCGTGGTCGTTTTTATTATAATGATTAAATTCTGAATGGTGTTATATACACATTCGACTCTGCAAATTTATTTGACCTTCGTGTGCGTAGCATGTTCACTTACGTTTCAAATTGTTCATAATTTGTTTATCACGCATATTTCGATTAGATACTTTACATACATATTTTAATAGTGTCTACTTTTAACTATCAATAAAATAAATTTTAATATCGTCATTTGTATCAAGTTTATTGCCATGTGCCGTCTGAGATTTATAAAAATTCCCATCTAATCGTTTTTATTGATAAGCGTTGGCGGTTGACAATAATAATTATTAAACGTTGTAAGTCGTAAGTGATAAGAAAGTCGCGCTCATGTTGTCACTGACCACTAGCCTACTTACATAATAGTTTTTTTTTTACTTACTGGCAAGTGTTACAAAAACACGTATTTTATCCACGCTGATCACAACTAGATAAAAAGTTTTGCAACAATTTGATAAATTCAATATGCTTCGTTTACAGATTACAGTCATCAACTGAAACTACGAATTTAACTTCAAGCTTCTCAAATCAATGGGTGACAATAAGCAATTCTCGTAAGTTGAAAAAAAAAACTGTTGTGTATTGTCACGTGTAACTGAACTATGTAATTATTTCAATAATTTGTATAATTGCTCACACAAGGTAAATTTATACACAAAATTTTAAAGTTAAAGTTATTGTTCAGTAAAATAATTTCAAATATACCTTTAGGTAATGTAATATTCCAACGATTTATTTAAGTTTAATTTTAAATATGTGGACGTTAAGTTTAAAATCAACAGAAATATTATAGTTTTACTGAAAAGCATGTGAGTGCTGTCCCCACCCGGACGTTACAATTGAAATGACTTTGAAATAGCTACCAATTACCTGAAAGCAAATGTTATGCGTGATATTTTTATTTTTTTCATTCAAGTTTCAAGATGTTTTTAACGCAAACAGCTTTACTTTCTTGAATGGAAGAAAACAAATCCAATAAATAAAAGATTAAACTTGTTTACCTACTTGTTTTTATCTTATTTCTTTTTCTTTTCAGTTTACTACCAAAGATTATAAACGGTGGCATCGCCGGCATCATCGGCGTGTCTTGTGTTTTTCCTCTTGATTTGGTAAAAACCCGATTGCAAAATCAACAAATTGGACCAAATGGCGAACGAATGTACAAATCCATGTAAGTATAAGACAGTGAAGAATATATTAAAAGTAAGTTCGTTGATACCAAGCGTATGCTGACTAGAAACATGATATTATGTAATTTTGGCTCTGCTTTGTGTACTTACGAGATTATCACAATCCTGTGAGATGTAAGATTCATACTTACAATATGTGGAATTATTAAAGGAGTGTGTGTAATATATGTATAGGTATACACAACTCATCTGAACTTGCCAATGATTATATAAATAGACCCGGTTGCCGTGCCTTTATGAGCGTGGCGTGATCAAAATATTTGTTTTTCTATTCTGTTTACATGCTGTTTTTATAAATATTATATGATATTGTGTTTGTCCCCAGGTTTGATTGCTTTAAAAAGACCTACAAGGCCGAAGGATACTTCGGCATGTACAGAGGCTCCGCCGTGAATATTTTATTGATAACGCCGGAGAAAGCTATTAAATTGGCTGCTAATGATTTCTTCAGGCATCATTTAACAACCTCCAATGGGTAATGTACATCAATATGAAGAAAATATTTTATATTAATTTAAAGTTTGTGTTTTTAGTAAATTGCCGATAAGTCGCCAAATGGCGGCAGGTGGTTTGGCGGGTTTGTGTCAGATCATAATCACTACTCCCATGGAGTTGTTGAAGATTCAAATGCAGGATGCTGGTAGAGTTGCTGCTGCTGCAGCTGCTGGTAAGCATATCAACTTGTTTTAATCGTCTCTTTGTTGAATGGAGTAATTTATGTGAAAATGTTTCTTGCAGCTGGAAAGAAAGTTGAGAAAACGTCCGCAACGAAATTAACTGTCCAACTACTCAAGAAGCATGGTATTTTGGGATTGTACAAAGGGACCGCTGCTACTGCACTACGTGATGTATCATTTTCGGTTGTCTATTTCCCATTATTTGCTACTTTGAATGATTTGGGTCCAAGAAAAGAAGGATCTGGTAAGTATTTACAAACTGTTTAGTGTAGACATTTGAAATTTACATTACGTTTGATGGTTGTAGATGAAGCAGTATTTTGGTGCTCATTCTTGTCTGGCTGTGTGGCTGGTTCCACAGCAGCTCTATTTGTCAATCCATTTGATGTGGTGAAGACTCGACTGCAAGCACTTACAAAGGCTGAAGGTGAAAGATCCTACAATGGAATCATGGACGCCATTATGTAAGTGGTTTTTATTTTTAAATTCATTAACATTAATTTTTGTTTTGAATTACAGTAAAACAATGAAATACGAAGGACCTACAGCATTCTTCAAAGGCGGCGCTTGTCGTATGATCGTGATTGCACCATTGTTTGGCATCGCACAAACAATCTACTATCTTGGGGTCGCCGAAACTATGCTAGGCATAAAAAAATAAGGCAGCACACACAGAGATCAAAATGTATTTAACTGCCCACGAATTCCATGATGTTGTTGTTAATTAATTATCGTTGTCAATACTAGCCTATCACTGTTGGTACATACGTAAATGTTTAATAATGTACACAAATTTTATTCCAATGATAGCCAAAGAATGACCGCATACAACTGATAAATGGATTGCACATATCTTTGGACGTGAATATCATTAGGAATGGCTTTTTATCATGTGTTTGTCATAGATCTTAAATGTTTCTTTTATAAAATATTTTTAAGTTTGCTTGAGCTTCCATGTACATAGTAAATACTCTATTTGATTCCATGAAATGCAGCCTCGAAAACGAGGAACTTAGTATTGATATCAAAATATTATTGTGCTGGTTACACACATTTGATTCACATGTACATGTTGTGTTATGTTACTATTTATTTGAAATATTGTGATAATTAGAGAATGCATACTATGACTATGACGGACTTAAATATGACAATACTAAAAGGATGTAAAAATGGACACGGAGATTGGCCATCATACGAAATGTTAACATGTCAATTTCTTGCTGGCAGAGTCTATTTTAATCAATGTTATGAAGTGTAGAAGATTCATTAGTATAAATAAAATTAGAATTATTAAAAGTAAACTATTTGTTATCACCTGTTTCAACAACGTTAAGTACTGCCATTAAATGTTTTGTTAATGTGTTAAAACGATAGTTTAAACATAAATTCTACCTCTCCATTTTGACCATTGTTGTAGACTAACAGTAATTTGACAGGTTGATTGTATGTAATTTAAAGGAATGAAACTAATATTTCGTAAAACTCGTAAATTACGATTTTTAGTATGTTTTTACGATTTTTTCACGTGGTGATGCAACAGTTTTTCTTTCAGAGTTAACAAAGTTGCAAGTTAATCTGTCGGCACGAATGGTGAAAAACAATATTCTTAAAAGTAATTTACATCATTTTTTAAGAGGGTAGTCTGATAATATAAATTAGTAGATTTGATTGTTCTATAAAATCATCAATAAATGATGAAGGTTTGACAAGGAATTTAATATTGATAGGAAAAGCGAAAGGAGTAAAATTACCCGACAATGATTATTTTTAAAATTTAGGATTAAATTTAGATTTAAAGGGAAGATCTTGTCGTGGCATGAATTTCTTAAAAATACGCCAATACGATAACAAAATATGTTCCAGTAATTCAATGGCGTTTTTTTTCATACTTCTATTACTTCTAAATATGGTTCATGTGGGTCATGGTATAAAAATTAATGTTATAATTTGAAATCTATTAATAAGACATACATTCACATTGTATTTCTAACTAGATGGATTATTTGCAAACACTGCGGTGATCCAAATATGAAATATTAAAAATATTCACTTGTATCCACAAGTGTAACAATAGTAAAAGTAAATTATTGGTTGCTATATTGTTGAACGACGTTAAATGCTGTCATTAAATGTATGTGAATTTGTCAAACGGTACTTTAAAGGTAAAGTCATTCAGTTTTTTTATTTATTTTGAACAAATTTGTTAGTTGAAATGAGTGATCCTAATTTTTCGTAAATTTGTTAACTTCTTCATATTTCTATAACTATTAATTCTACTGTTTTAGATTGTTACCGAGAGTTGTCAACGGAGCTATTGCAGCGACCATTGGAGCTGCGGCTGTTTTTCCTTTGGATTTGGTAAAAACTAGATTACAAAACCAACATGTCGGCCCAAATGGTGAAAAACAATACTCGTCCATGTAATTTTCAACGGTTTTAATTTGGAAGCACATGCTCTAATAATTTATATTGCTAGGTTTGATTGTTTCAAGAAAACATTACAACATGAAGGAGTTCGCGGATTATACAGCGGTTTAGCAATAAATCTGTCGTTGGTCGGAATAGAAAAAGGCCTTAAATTGTCGGCCAATGATTATTTTCGATATTATTTAAGCTCAAAGGATAAGTAATTTAATTGAAGTCAATTGTTAGAACTTGTATATTATATCTTTGCTTTACAGGCGTTTGTCCCTTTCAAGACAAGCCCTCGCAGGTGCTGGCGCAGGTGTAATACAAACATTAGTGTCATGTCCCATGGAACTACTCAAGATTCAACTCCAAGATGCCGGGCGTGTAGCAATTGAAGCAAGAAAATGTGAAATTACAAAAATTATTTCAGTGCAATTATTAAATTAATATTTCGTTTTTAGCTGGTAAAGCGGTGGAAAAGTTATCAGGACTTGGCGTTGCAGCAAAATTGTTTAGAGAAAAAGGCATTTTTGGGTTGTACAGAGGCATTGTTGCTACAGCCTACAGAGATATAACATTTGCATTTATTTATTTTCCTATGTACTCATACATTCATGATTTGGGGCCCACTGATCCGGATGGTAATATCTTATTGTCTCAAGATAACAATTCATTCAATGTGAAACATGAGCGTAATTTCTTACAGGTGAAGCAAAATTATACTGGCATTTGATATGTGGCCTTTTGTCGGGGGCAGCCTCTGCGTGGATTTGCACGCCTTTTGATGTGATCAAGACTCGTTTCCAGGCAATTGCTAAGAGTGAAGGGCAAAAGCAATACAAAGGACTTTGGCATTGTTTTACGTAGGTATAGTATATTATTCACGACATCATATAATTCAATATTTTATTAGGGACACATGGCAAACTGAAGGGATTACAGCATTATTCAAGGGCGGTGGATGTCGAATCATTGTGATTGCGCCTTTATATGCAATAGCTCAAGCTGTGTACTACTTTGGAATAGCAGAAGCTATATTGGGTATAGATAGACAAAAAAGTGTAAAGTAAATTTGAATGTACGATATCACGAAAATAATATTTTTGAATTGAGTTGAAGAGTTTCTTTTTTCTTTATTACTGATTTCAAGAATAATTTTTTTTTACAAAAAATGGTTGATGCTCTGCTTAAAATCAGATATTTCGATAACAAAAGCTATTAAAAGGTGTTCCGTGATCAAGGTTTGGTTTGCACAGAAACCGAATAAATGTCTTATCCTACGCATATAAAACAAAGTCGCGTTTGTTACAGCATTTATAATTCAAGAACAGCTGGACAGTTTTTAATGATCAATGATTTGTTGAATCCATCTCTGCCTCGAATAGCAGAATAACTAGTAAAATATAAAAACATATAACTTAACATGTGTTAAATAAGACAAATTTGGGAACAAAAACTATTTTATAATACTCATATTCTATGCAAGTATGAAGTACAAGAACTTTAATGGCAGCCATATTGATATCCTTTACAACTGCCATTGAAAATGACAAATAATGACATCTCTAACTTCACAATTTAAATTATAGGCCATGAGTGATCAATTTCTGTATGGTTTGGTTATTGATATACTAAATTTAATACATAATTAATAATTAATCATTTTTAGATTAATACCACGTATTGTAAATAGTGCTATCGCTGGTATCATCGCTTCACTGTTGGTCTATCCTATCGACTTGGTAAAAACGCGCTTTCAAACTCAACTAATCACTCCAGACGGACAACAAAAATATACATCTTTGTAAGTTTATTTTGTTAGACTCAAGAATGAAATCAAATTGAATTTCAAATTAATTTTAGAACGAATGCTTTGGTAAAAATTCATAAACACGAAGGATTTATTGGATTGTATCGCGGATTATCGGTGAATGTATTACTAGTGACACCTGAATTGGTTGTTCAAATCACCGGAAACGACTGTTTTAGACATCTCTTCCAACCACCGAAAGGGTATAATCTTAAAAATTTTATTTATTATTTTATATATTTGTATGTTGTGTATCTAAAATTCAAATCAGGGAAGACAACATGTATTGGCAAGGAATGGCCGCCGCTTGTACAGGTGTATTAGCAACCCTCATTACTTCGCCAATGGAGTTATTCAAAATACAACTGCAAAACGAAGGACTCAAGTTAAAAGAAACTAATAGTAAACATTGAAACAGAATAGTGCCAATGTTCTTATTTAATATTTTTAGATATTTCTACGAAGCACTCGTTGACTGCTAGGATAGTGTTACGAAAAATAATCAAGGAAAATGGAATTTTAGGGATTTTCAAAGGAATCGTGCCTTGTGCATTGAGAGATATACCTTTTGCCGTTATTTATTTTCCCTTATTTGCGTTCCTGTATGATAAGGGTCCTAAAAGTTCCAACGGTACCAATATCTACAAAAATGTGAACAACATCCTTACCGGTTACATTTTACAGACGAAGCTACCTCTAGCTGGTCTCTCTTTTCAGGCATCATGTCAGGAGCAGCTAGTGCATTTCTCCTAACACCGGCTGATGTTGTAAAAACCCGTATCCAAACACTGAATTCCGGAGTGCAATATGACGGCGTTGTTGATTGTTTCAAGTATACACCAATAACAAAATTCATTGCGGCATTTCACTAATTGCTCTATTGTAGAAAAATTTATCGCAATGAAGGATTCTTTTCATTTTTTCGAGGAGCCGGTTGCCGAGTGTTAGTCATAGCTCCACTTTTTGGATTCACCGAAATGATTTATTACTTCGGCGTTGCTGAAACACTCTTTAACTTACCAACACAAACATTTGTGCGGCATAAATAGTAATATATGTTGTAAAGAAATTTAAAACTAGTCGGTAATTTAATATCTTACACACCTGAAGCCCCACCGTGACTTAACTCTACGGATATGTTAAGATTCAACTACTTTCTGGTCAGTGACATAATGGACATAACAGAGAAAAGTGTTCTGCTTGCAAAAAGCAACAATGATCAAGTGAAGAAACATCGCACCTTTACTTCTGGTTTGTCATCGTTATTTGCAATTATTTGCATTGTTGATGTGTTTGGAGTATTTCCAATCGTAGCACTTCCAAAGAGCATCATTGATTGTGGTTGGTACTAAAACAAAATAGTCTTAGAAGAGTAAAATATATTATTATAACGTACCTATTAAAACGGTGGTATATTAAATTATTATTTAAGGAATATATGGAATTGTTGTAATATGTGTCGTCAGCACTTTGCAGATTTACACTGCATCATTACTGGGAAGATGCTGGTTGATCGCAGAACAAATAGATCCGGATGTTGAATCGAAAAGTCGTTATCCCTACTCTGCGTTAGCCGAGTTAACATTTGGGAAACGTTTTTCAAAAGTGGTTACATTCTTTTTAGACATTACAATTTTTACAGGAGGTATTCCAAATTTATTAGTTGGTAAGGCGGAAATTACTCTTTCAAAAAGATTTTCACAATTAAAAATGTTCACCTTTTTCAGCTTCTCAAACGTTGCAATTACTTGGACGTCGGGTATCTGAGAATCACTTGGATTTGTCCTTTTGTTATTGGATTATTGTCATAGGCACATTGTTATGCCCATTACTATGGCTTGGAAGTCCAAAGGACATGAAGTCAGTTCACTGACCTATAAGCCAGCAATTTATATTAAACTCGATGATTCCAGGTTGTTGTGCACCTTGTCAGTCACTTTTGTTTTAGGTACTTTTATCTTAGTAATAACTTCAATGTTATTTGATAATAGAATCATAAGTAATGACTCCACTAATCCTGGAATTAATCGATCGATTTGGACGAATATGTTAACAGCGTATGGCATTATCACATTTCAGTTTGATATTCATCCGACAATATTAACAATCCACGTTGATATGGATGAAAAGAAAAAGATCACAAAAGTTATAATTGTGGGATTTTTAGGTAATACCTAAATATTAAGGTAATACCTAAAATTTTTAATTAAAGTTACTTCTAGCGTCGTTAAGTATGTTTGCAATTTCTACATCCATCGCATATTGGCGATATGGTACAGGAGCTAAGCCAAGTTTGCTCGGATCACTTCCCAGCTCGATCGCATTACATTTTGCTGCCTTGCTGGTCGCATTGCAACTTTGTTTAACACTAGCCGTGAGCAATAGTGCATTATATCAACACCTAGAAGATTGCCTTGGAATTTCCAGAGGTAATTTAAAACACATCTCAATCAATTAGTTTCAAAACAAAATGCATTCATTGTTTAAGAATTTAATCATCGCCGATGTATTTTACGAACTGCACTGAGTGCAATTGCAATACTAATCGCTGAAGCAGTACCACAATTCGATATTGTAATGGCTCTGATTGGTGGCACATTCATCGGGCCGTTAGTATTCGTGTTGCCGCCATTGTTCTACATTCGCATCAGGTTATTGAAGCGAAAACACGAGGGAGAATTACAACTGGCTGTATTTAATAACATCGTTTACAATTCAACAACTCCTTCAATAGCGTCGACCAGCTCGCAACCTGCGTCAGACAATTTAATGATACAATCACCACGATCACCAAACGATACCCATCCGGATCAAAATTACTTCCAAACCAATTTACAAACAACGCTCGCGTTACTAGTGATCCTCTTCGGATTATGCTTCACGATTGGGGCGACCTATCTAAACATCTCAAATGTAATCGCATTCACAAGCTTCTCACAACCCTGCATTTATAATTTAACTCTTTTATCACCATTTTAAATTACAATTACAACATACACACGTCTTCGGTAGCTACGTTATGCAAGTAATAAAGTTAATAATATAATAAAAGTACAAACATTAAACATCAGTCATTGTTTCTTTTTGTATGTGTGTGTGTGGTGTAGATAACATAAATATTTAAAAATCAAAGAAGAAGAAGCCCAATTGTGGGTGGTGGGGACGTTGTGGGAAGAGTACCCGGTTGACGGTGTGGACAACGCCGTTAGTGGCCATACCGTCGCACTTTGTGACAGAAGCACGACCGATGCGTACCTGGCGCGACCCGCTGCGAGAAACCTGTTGATGCTGACCAGCCATAGTCGAGACAACACTATTGAAGCCCCAAGTTTGGGGACCGACGCCCGCGCAGCATAAAACCTCTGTAAAATTCCATATTGTTGTAAACCAGTTTACAACCTGCATTTTTATTAAGTCATTTTACCTGTTAGCACGTGATTCTTAAGAACCAAGTTGGCTTTCTCCTTATCTTCGAGTAGAGTCTTCATATCTTCGTCGTTAACGTTCTTGAACGCTTCGTTATCTGGCGCCACGAATGAAATTGATCGTTTGGTGTCCTTCAGTATCTCTACCAATTCGGTGTCCTTCATGACCTTGCGCAGAGTGCTGTAGTTGTCATCATTTTCGATAACATCCATGATGGTCTGGTTTACTGGCATGAGGATGCGGTCGACTTCGTGGATAACGGATCCGCACGACTTCTCGTCGAAATTGGTCAAGCGTGCGCAATTGACGGTTGCTCTATTTACGATATTGGCAAATAATGGCAACTGTGGGCACACGGATAATCGATCAATCGTGACATCAACAACCTCCTTAATTATCACAAAAACCTACCGTGGAATATAAATTAACTCGCAAGCGTTGATCTTCGGCAAGAGTGTTCAAGAAAACGTTGTTCTCCATTTCGCATGTCTCGAGTTTACCATCAATCACGTGGGCCTTGATGAATTCACGCATTTTTCCTTATCGTCAGCGATTTCCTCCATGTACTTTTTCGCTTCGGGAGTTCCGAGTGCTTCGTCACTCGGAGCGAAAACCGTAGCATTCTCGAAAGCATTCATTTCTTCTTGGAATTGCGCGTCTTCAATCAACTTCTGGAACTTGGTCATGTTGTTGTTCTTCAAGGCGTCGTTCAAGTAGAGCGCTGATAAGAAGATTACAAAATCATTAATGTCTATGACTGACGTATGCGATGTAAGACAAACCTGTTTCGGGGATCATAATGGTATCAATCAAGTGAATGACACCATTAGTGGCCATAATGTCTGCCTTCTCAATGTTGGCGTTCCCTTCAATGACCAATTTGTTATCATCCTTGCGCTCCATCTCGAGTACTTCGCCGGCGAGATTGTGTGTCGTCGCATTACCGATGATTGCGGATGAACAGATTGTATTGCCAACGATGTGATGACGCAAAATGCTACCGGCACAACCTTTACCACCCAAAAGTTTTTCTCTTGTAGCAGGGTCCAACTTTTCAAAGGCTTCGTCTGTTGGAGCAAAGACAGTGTAATGTCCGTCATCTTTGAAAAGTGTGTCCAGGTCAGTGTTTTCCAAAACTATGATTACAATAAACATTTAATATAAATAGTTTATTACAGTTTTATAAAGCAAACCTTTCTTAAAACTGGTTAGTTTCGGATGTTCTTCAACGATAAGTGGGATACTGTTGACAGCTGGTTGCATAACTCCGTCAAGCACGTGCACAATGCCGTTCTTTGCCAGGTTGTTGCTTTTCTTAATTCGCACGCAGTTTGCCGTGACCATTTTCTCGAACGACCTAGTCGGATAAACGTTGATCCTAATCGACTTGTTGTCGTTTTCGGTGGTAATTAATTCCTCATTAGACAAATCGTTAAGATCGACAAAGCCAGGCACAAAATGGTTGCGCACTAGTTCCGGTGTAGAGATGGCGTCCCGCCGGCGACGTAAAGTTTCAACGCGATTCTAAAAAAAGATAATAGCTCATCAAACAGGCACAAAAAAAAAATCAATCAACGCGCAAATTACCATGTCGGTCATTTTATCGTCAAAGTCTTCAATAGCCTGGTCAGTGGGCAGGAAGACGGTAAAGTTGCCGTTATCGATTTCATCTCGCATGCCCGCCATCGATACCATCTCCATGAACGACTTGCCCTCCAGTTGCTCGATTGTTTCCGCCAATAATTTGAGCTCTAATTGTTTGTTGCAACCGGCGGAGCCTTCGCCGCGCACAAAGCCGTAACAGCACTTGTAGCGAACGGTAAATGTCTTCACGACGCCGTGATTGTTAATCCTGCAAGAGCAATACAAAGTCGCGTGAGTACCGCGTGTGCGATTGTTAAATTTCGATCGTCACCTACTTCGTGACACATTCGTATTTCGTCGGCGTCTGATGGCAATTCGAGAGACTGATGGACGTCGAAAAGAAATTGGGCACTTCCTCGGTCTCGTTCTTTTGGTTCTCGATGGCGTGCTCGTCGTCGTCGTCATCATCCGTGCTCTCTTCGCGTTCAATGCACACGTTTGACCTGGAGCACATTAAATCTAACTCGTTAGCAGTTAGCTCACCAGCGATAATGCAATATAATGCTACGCTTAAGTTAATAAAGCATTATAAACAATAAAATCAGGTTGAGATTACACTATAAAAACCGCGAAACAGAACGACATAAGAAAAAAGTTCTAATGACCTATTGTTTTAATTTAACATAGCAGTTTCGAAACCAATCTGAAATTAGTATTATCATAAAAGTGACAATTTATTTATTTACGCGAATAAGGTCAAGTTCATTTATCGACTTATTTCTCTATTTGTATTGCTGAATCAGCCGCAAATAAAGTACAACCTGCATTATTAGTGTCATGCTCACGAAAGATTTAGAAAACTACTTTCTACTGACACCATAAAATAATTTCATATTCTTAACGTTGCCACGAGCGAGCGTGTATCATCACAGTGCATACATGATTGTACCTTTCGCATTTCTTTGTTAGTCGCTCGTGAATCTAATTCGAAAAGAAACTTTGACGCGCGAAGCCGCAAAAACATTTGATGGCATTTAGGAATAGGTTAAGATATTTTCGTCGCACGTATCTATGTTACCACGAAAAAAAGTTTAAATGTTAAAATAATAAATCGTTCAGAAATAGGCGACACGAATTTCTTTCCTGTGTGCTTAATTGCCGCGAGTGTGATATAACGTTGGAATTAGGAGAAAATTAATTAGAGAATCAAATAAGTGCATGGCGTAGTGCAACCTAAATGGCCAATTAGTTCAGTTTCAGAACTTTCTACCTACCAAACGCAACTTGCCTAAATGCCTAAACGAATCAGGAATCATACCGCAATGTTAATTTTCACGCCGCCGCTAATCCACCAAACGGTACAAACAATTAACAACTCCGTTTTGTGAGTTCAATGTGTCCGAAACATATTTGTACAAATTTCATGCTAAAATTCAATATTATTCATTGTGCTTTGTGTTGCTCATATATTATTGTTTGTTTTGAATATGTATGAATTATTTAACATTCATCATTATTCGTGATTGTTTCTAGTGAGATCTCAGAGTGATACCGAATAAATTAGAGATTAATCTACACGATTCGCAGTGATTGTTGAAAACAAGATAATCGCGTCCTGAATGACAAATCGAATCAAATAATTTCCAGAATCGTGATGTTTTCAGATTCTATTCATACCGTAAACATGTAATTTTCATCTAATTGATCAAGATTGAATTGTAATTATAATTATAGTTAATGAAATCACTCACCCCTTCCACCATGGTTGATAGTCGCCCATGGACGGACCAAAAAAGCTGCCGAAACCAAACAAGCCGCCTGAATTGGGCCTCCTTGGAAGACCACCATGGCTGCCTATTCCAAAACCGAAATCTGAACCCAAACCGGGTATACCGGCAGGATTGGCAAACCCATCAACAGCGTCTACGTCCAAAACGCCACCGGGTAAAACTCCATCATCAAAACTTGGTTTGCTAGGTGGCCCTCTGCTCAGTTTCTTTGGATCTTTATAATCTGGTGATAAAGGTTCTCTGCTCTCTGCCGATTCTAAATCTTCACCGGAGCGATACTGTGCGCGCCAGTTAAACGACGGACTGTAAACAGACGGATCGTAAATGGGGTACGGGTTGTATGGGTCGTAGGGACCACTAAAAGAAGAAAGCGTGCTCTGTATAAAACCATCAGAAAAGTGATAACTACAAACTAAACAAACTACAATACTACAAGTATATATAAATAATAATAATAAGTAAAAATAGAGAAATAATAAAACATTCACTGTGTCAATGAGAATTATTTCGCTTCACATGCGCCAAAAACTCAAGCCATCGCAACTTTATTACAACTTATTGAAAATAAAGTGTGGCAACAAAATGTTAATTCAAAGTAGGCCTGCATGCTGCATGCATTGCGCCGAAGATCTTGACTAACAAGTGGGAACTGTGGTTTTCTCACATCAAATTGCACAATTCACGCGGTTTAATTGTGCTTCGTCATGATAATGACAACTCTTTTCAGACACCGTTGGTTGGAAACATTCAAAAAATAAACTAAAGCCAGGGCGAACACATCGAGCCGTAAATTGTACAGTGCAAGGTCAACATTATCCACAAAACAAATTGTTACGATAATAAATAAGATTAACATCATCAAAACATTCAACTTAAGCAGATGATAAAATAAAAAATAAACTTCATTTTATTTTAACAAGTACATAAAAAATAAAGTGACCTCCTTTTATTTAGAACGTTATTTTAAATTTTTACGACCGTTTTAAGATGAATTAGATACGTGAATAAAGTGTAGTTGATGTTTTATTATTTTGCAGATGCGTGGTGAACGTTATTTATAGAAACGCGTTGAAAAATGCAAAATCAGTGTAAAGTTGACTCATCTAAATGATTTAATTACGTTTTTTTATGCTAACGAATAAAAACACAACATTGTGCGAATAATTAACATTCTAGTCTCATTTTCCGATTCGCAGATGAACATAATTAGTGCGCATTTCAAACTTGTTAGCGGAATCGTCGCGCTTCACATTCGAATCGCATCTTCATCTTTATCCTCGCTATAATTATCGCGGCATTCTAAAGTGGCTGCGATGAGTTTAACATGATGAATTAAAACCGTACGATAGGCGACAACAATCGTGCATTGTTTAATTTACCATCACAGGAATAGTACGTTAAAAAGTCGTTTGCAAGATAAAACGACTGCAATGTCGAACGCGATAAACTTCGACTCTGACTTCGACGTTCGGAGAATATTCCGATTTCGCTAAGTAAATTAAATAATTAGCGCGTATTAGATACGAGCTGAATATATAACGTTGTAATTGATGCGATTGCTACAGTTAGAGCTAATCTTTTAGGACATGATTAAAATTTATGTAAGAATGTAAGGAAGTTGAGAATTAATTTGATAATTTAAGATTTTACACGAATATCGCAAATTGGAATTGTTTTAAACTGTAAATAAGTTAACAAGTTAATAAAGAAACAAAATAACCTTGCTTCTAGAAACAACAGAAATTTAGCGCTATTATTTACACGTTCTTTGACAAGCGACAAGAGTAGACAATGGAATATAGAAGCGACAAGTTCGAAACTAATTAGTTACGGTTTTTAGACGTGTGCGAATTCCGTGCATGTTAGAAATACAAAGACAAGCAGTGGGATTCAATTGTTTCAATCGTTTGTTGTGGTTTTTGCGCTTAAAACATTTACAAACTATCTACAGAAGTGTTTAAGTGGGTACTTATTTACCTGAAAAAGTCCGCATTAACACCCAAGACCAAAAGGGCGCTTACAACCAAACAGGTCTTCGACATGATGTAAACGCCGGTAACAAAACTAAAACTGAAACTGGAAACTCGCTGCGCTGCTAAGTCGTTTGGTAAAAGTGTCCGCCGCGAACTGTCAGTGAAATAATGATGTTCCTCATTTATATGAAGCCTTCCTGCGCGCCGAGTGGGGGACCCGCCACACTCTTCTGGCTTCATCATCCGAGTCCCGTTAATCCTTTTCTAACATCTTTTGTTTCGCTTGTACCTCCTCATAAAATTGCCTTTTTTTGTTCTTGACGCTCATCGTGCGTGGTGGAAAAATGTGTTGATAAGAAGAAAAAAACAACAACAGGTATATGTAAATATAGTACATTGAAATAATCGGATGCGGGCCGTCTGACTTCTGTATATGTCGATTATGCTTGGTAAATGTTTGGTGTTAGAAACAAAACAAAGTTAATTGTGTGAGTGTGCATTGGCGTCACGCTACACTTGAGCCAAAACAATAAAAGGTAACGCGCGTCGCCATTTGCATTATATAATTCAGCTTGATCTTGTTCGGCGTGGACGGACTTCAAATGGAATCAATTAAATTGGCCTCGACCTTCAATGTCCGTGAAACGTTGAGGTTTTCAAACCAAACCGATAATTTAATTCATTATTTCGATACCTATTCCATTCTAGAACTCAAACACCACTGGGTCTAAACTATAGAATTCTAGAAGTTTCCAGTCGGATAATTACAATATGATTAATATTTATAACAACACTGATAAGCTTTTAGTGCTCTACGGACTGAATCATAGTGTCGTATCGACTTACATTTCGCAGAATTGTTTTTATAATTTAATTAGCATGAAAAGAAAGTTTACATTCAATCTGTTTACAAATATTAATTCCAGTCGTAGTATGTTATTATCAGTTCTTCGAACTTTTTAATCATCTGCTCGAGATTTTCAATGTGTACCTTCAACCAGCCATCAAAGTATTAGTGAATGATGAATATTATGACTGTTTAGCAACAGTGGCAAGTGCGACAACAGACCCTATTCACTAAAGCAATTGCAACAAATTGTTTGACATCCGTATTAATTCAGTATACGCTAGATGTGTTTAAACAACATTGCAATAATGGATTATGTTCCATTCACTGTTCCTTGATTACCACGAATAAAAAAGTTCCAAAGATTTATTTAGAAACTTGTTAATTTCGTTTTTTTTCTACCATCAATTAACCTAATATTAGCGGATTATCAGATGATTCTGTCAAGATGAGCTTAAACTCGTTAGGTCGCCGTTTGAATGTAATTAATTGTGTTGCAATAACAACTTCCGGTATTAATGCAAATCAGTGTTAATGAATTTTACATGTATTAAGCTGTTTTTATGATATAAACAGTCAGCGCCATTTTAGTTCTGTTATTCTCATTTGATTACGTTCATTATATCATATTATATTATTATTTAATAATTTGGTTTATAAACAACTTGAATGAAATAAATCGACAAGGTAAAGTAGTGCGTCAACCTATTTGAATTGCCTGGATTACAATGGCTACACCTTATTTCTTTTGTTTTCTGGCGAGTGACTCGAACTCATCAAAGGATGACTCATAAGTAAGACTATGTACTGCTGTCCAGACGAGTGAAACGAATAGGATATGCGGTTAAGAAGCAAGACGCGTCGCTTAAGCCTGAAGACCAAGTAAGTATCGCAAATTATATAGGATCCAGTACATACTCATAGTAACACAAATTCTAGCAAATTATTTATACTTCGTTTTGGTTTCAAATGATATTATGCTATTAAATGTGTATTTACGTTGTATGTAATAAGAAACGTTGTTGATTTGAATGGTTGATTTTGTTAAGGTGTAAAGTACAAGTGTTTATAAATATCAAACAAGCGTTAATTTCTCAAAGTTCCCACTAATGGACACTACAGTGGCGTAGCTACAAAGATTAATTCTGCTTAGATGCAATATAAAAGAAAATTTCAAATTTGGAACAAGTCTCTTTTTATTATTATCCTTGTTTGGCACTTCAAGACTTTCTTCCCTTGCACTTATACTCGTTTCTTCTTAGTCCCTGTTAAACCGCTCGCCTTCATCCCCTCCACGTCATCATAATTACTGATGTAATGAGTTCTCCTTTGTAACGCAAATCATGTTTTTATATTCAAACAAGTAAATTAATACCGCCCTATTTTCACAAAAATTACTCTCGAACACTGTATTGACTTGTGAAAAAAAAATCTGCATGGTAGCTACGCCACTGGATACATAGAGTATTTGACGAGTAAACACAAACTACCTACGTTTTGGAATTTTCCTGCAACTTTCGTAGCACTCTTACAAGTGATCATGTGAAAGACTTTTGATAAATTTAAATAGCACCACAAGAAAAATAATAAATTGATGACCACTCAAACTAATAAACAAAAAAATCACGAATCATCATATTAAACATCATAAGTACAAATTACTTATAATTCATAATTTAAGTACTTTTAATAATTCAAGAAGACCATAATTCAATCATGTAAAAATGAGTTTCTACCTAAGATATAAAAAATGGGAGCATTTTTATTTGGCAAAGAAGTCGTGATGAGAACCAATCTTTTGGCCGATGGATAAAACTAGCACAATTTTTTTAATATACCGAATGGTTGAAAAACAACAAAAAAACTAATTTAATCGAATCCAATCAATTTCTTTTAAGTGGAAGATTTCCTGTTTGTCATATTAACTAATAATTTTAAAACAAACCTTTAAATTTTATTTGGTAAATACTTTAGAAAAATATTGTACTCAATGTTTAACATATAGTCTTCAATTACCATGATTGATGTCTATCGGCAACGTATATATAAAATAAATGCATTTTTGATTATTCTGCAATACGATAGTTGTTCCTGCATGCGTAGCTTATTACAATTTGTTTCCAACACTCGTCAATGTATCGTAAATAGCCTGAGCTACATATTCAACATTAGCCGACGTCAATCCGCACATCGAAATTCTGCCGGACTTCAACATATAAATATGATGCTTCTCAATCATGTATCTAGACTGAATTTCTAAAAAACATTACATTCCATTATATTTTAGTTCAATATTAATCTAATTTTTCTTAATTCTTACCATTAAGTCCGGTGTAAGAGAACATACCAATTTGGGTAGTGATATGCTCCCAAGTACCAGGCGCGCCAAGGCGTTCCAAAGCTGAGCGTAACAATTTGCGCATCTCAATAATACGACCAGACATTGTTTTAACATTGTCTCTCCTAGAAAATTACAAGAGCAATGAAATTATTTTATGAGCATGAAGAAATATATTGTTTTTTTACCATTCATTGTATAAATCGTTATTGTTTAGAACGTAAGCAACAATCCTTGCGCCATGGCTTGGTGGATTGGAGTACATCGCTCTCACAATAATGCTCATTTGACTTTTGATCATTGGGGCATCTTCAATTCTCTTAGGCACCACAATTAAGTTACCAGTTCTTTCGTCTTAAGAAAAAATTAAAATAAGTTAGGCGCTAGTAGGCAACCAAAATTACAAACAACAAAGGCATAGTTAAAACTTCGATTAAAAAAGGTTTAGAAACTCACTGTAAAGACCAAAGTTCTTAGAAAAGACTGTGCGCAAAATATTTCAAATCCACGATCAAGGAAATATCTCACAGCCCATGCATCCCTGTCCAAATCTCCAGAGGCAAATCCTTGGTAGGCGGAGTCAAAGAATGGGAAAAGTTTCCTGCTTTCGCAAATATCGGCAATCTGTTTCCATTGCTCATGAGTTGGATCACATCCCGTTGGATTATGAGCGCAGGCATGCAGAACAACAACAGAATCTTCAGGGGCATTCTCCAAATCTTCTACTAAGCCATCCCAATCAATTCCACGTTTCTCAGCCGACCAATATCTATACCTTCTCGTTTCAAACCCAGCTTGATTGAAAAGCAAAATGTGGTTTTCTATAATAATAAAAATAATTTGTGTGTGCTGTGCTGAACATTTAAATATCATAAATTATTACCCCATGATGGGTCTGATACATAAACAACTTTGTAGTCTAAGACTCTGCGCAAAAATTCGGCACCAACACGGAGCGCACCAGTACCGGAAAGTGTTTGTACACCAAACGCCTAAAAATAAACAATTATGTAATGTCACAGCTATCAATTACATGCCATGATCACATGATGTCAAATCAGATGTTTGCCAAAATTTCAAAATGTGTTTACACCCAGTTATCAGCAAAACTTATTGTTGATTTCAACATAATAATGCAATTGAAATATGTGGTTTGAGTGGATCATGTGAACACTTGATGATATATGTTAAGAGTGCATTTCACAAGTACCCTTTGTTGTAGATAAGCCTCAGATTTTTCTCCTAGCAGCATTTTCACTGAGTGACAACAGAATTTGTCCAGACCAAGCATTGGGAAATACTCTTTGTTCAGAGTTTCATCAGCAGCCAGATTTTTCTCTGCTAAGCGTACCACTGGCAATACCCATGGTTGACCAACCTCAGTACGATAGGCTGAATGAATAAATAATAACATCAAATATATCACAAAATCTAAATTAAGCAATAAGATAAACTTACCACCAGCACCTAAACTGACTTTCTTCTCAAATGGATCATCCTGATAAGCTTTGTTGAGGTGGAACACCTCAATAGCTGGGGCCATTTCTACTTTGGAGAATCGTCCGCTCATTTTCGCACGGTAAAGTTTGTTCAACTCGTAGCAACAGACTGCGAAACAATAACGTTTGAAAGTTCGCTCGAATATTCGAAAGCGAAACAAGTCGAACGATAAGTGGTGATGCAACTGATAATTAAACCGAAGCAAAATATAGATGCCTTTTAATTCTCGTATCAGAATCTAACGTTTACGTATGCATAATCAGTTTAACCTTTGAAATATTAAGAAGGTCGAAAAATATTAAAAATACAGGATGTTTCAAAACATTACAGTAAATTTTAAAACCATAAATTGCGTTAAAAAATGTTCGTTATTGTTACGAATTTTGTACAAATATTTAAATTATTCATGTTTAGTTATAATGATTGGTAACGTTTGGAATTTGAAATAGTTTTGTGAATAGCCTATGAGAGTTAATTTTAAAGATAGCCTTCAAGAAAGTATTTAAAAGATAATTATAAAAATGTGATAGGTACTATGTTAATTTTACGTAATAAATGATAACGCAGCCAATTTGTAGATAATTGTACTTCAAAATTACAAGCAATACAAATCACAGTCACACTTTAATGAAAGTGACTGAAGTATCCTACACGCTTGTATCTGCAATAACAGACAAGGCGGCAATTTCAAATTACGGCCATACATGATCATTCCACTACACTTGTTCCCAGCCAGTTGCTGCTCTCAGTTGATTTTGCGAGCGCCCACGCCGCCTACGCGCATTTCATCGAGTAAATACGGTGAACAGAGATGGAACAGAGACGTATTGCGAAATAAAGGTGATATGTCTATGTCAGGCAATGTTTACCTCTTAAAACAACATTGCACTGTCTATCAATTGGGGAGACGATAGATATATAAGTAAAGTCTCTAAAATGAGTAAAAATGAATCAGATCATTCGACGCAAAATGAAACCGATAGTGTACATAGCCATCCTTAGTGTTTTTGGAAGTTTTGGTACATAATCATCACTTGCAGGTTAAGTATTACTATAATAATAGAACTTAAATTCCAGGAATTATTTTGGTCTACCTCCGATACATAATCGCTGATGGGAATGACATATACGAGGGCGTTATTAGTAGTAACAAACTAGATAGTCAATTAATTGACAATGACTTCCGAATACATGACTTGGAAGTTAAGTTGCAGACACTGGTTGCTAGGGTTCCCAAAAAATATGCACCTGTTAAATTTCTCAATTATTTAGAACGCAAACGAATTTTGGTATGAATTATTTTTATACATAAAATGTTATGAAATCTAATGTTTATTTAAATATTACTTATTTTATCTATTTGTAGATAACTGGTGGAGCTGGTTTTGTTGGATCTCACCTAGTTGATACATTAATGTTTGAAGGACATGAAGTTATTGTAGTAGACAATTTCTTCACAGGTCGCAAGCGTAATGTTGAACAATGGATAGGCCATGAAAACTTTGAACTGATACATCATGACATTGTCAATCCAGTATACATAGAAGTGGATGAAATTTACCATTTAGCGAGTCCCGCAAGCCCGCGGCATTACATGTCTAATCCAGTAAAAACCATAAAAACAAACACTCTAGGAACTATTAATATCCTAGGTATATGTGTTTGTAACTATGGCATAAAGCTATACAATTTTAACTGATAACATTTATAGGATTGGCACGTCGCGTGCACGCAAAGGTTTTAATCGCTAGCACGTCCGAGGTCTACGGTGATCCTGATATTCACCCGCAGCCTGAAACATACTGGGGCCATGTCAATCCCATCGGTCCACGTGCATGCTACGATGAAGGCAAGCGTGTGGCGGAAACATTATCTTATGCCTATGCCAAACAGGAGCGGATGGATGTACGTGTTGCGAGGATATTTAACACGTATGGGCCTCGTATGGTCATGAATGATGGTCGGGTGGTGTCAAATTTTATCCTGCAAGCACTGCAGAATGATGTTATTACTGTATGTCATCTTTCTAAATATTTAGTTGCTTTGTTTGTAAGCTGATAATGTTGCAGGTGTACGGGTCAGGTAAACAAACACGATCGTTTCAATACGTAAGCGATTTGGTTGATGGACTGATTGCTTTAATGGCGTCTAATTATACTCAGCCAATTAATTTGGGAAATCCTGTTGAACATACAATTAACGGTATAGATATAAAACACAATGAGAATTGGGTTGTTTCCTAATGAATGGTTTTTTTTAGAATTTGCAACAATTATTAAAGATTTAGTTGGGGGACGAAGTAAAATTAGCCACTTGCCAGAAGTCGAGGATGACCCGCAGAGGCGGCGTCCCGATATAACCAGAGCCAAAACATATTTAAATTGGGAGCCAAAGGTGGAACTCAGCGTCGGTTTGCAGAAAACTGTCGATTATTTCAAGAGGGAGCTGAAAAAGTTTAACTATTCGGAAAATAACAAGTTCGTTCCGGACAAACCTACAACGTAATCACTTAAGTTATTGATATTGTACTATTTGTGATAATGGAGATGTCTCCTACTCTTAGGTCAATAAAAGTATTGAACTAAAGCGGTTATTTGGTTTGTAATATGTATTTTAAATTAATCGAAATAAATTGAAAGTTCACAAGTGGTGTATATTTAGTTGCCTATAAACGATTTATTTTTATAATTCTTATTTCTTTTAACTATTTGCTCTTATATCTGCACATATTGCGATAGTTGTAGTGCACTAAAGATGCTTAAAATATTGCTGCAACGGTGTAAACGTAAAATATTGTGCACATAATAAATTTTTCCCTCTTCAACTTCTTTTTTCTTTGGGGGGATATAAGTCCTCGGTAGTATAGTGGTCAGTATCCCCGCCTGTCACGCGGGAGACCGGGTTCGATTCCCCGCCGGGGAGGCATTTTTGTTTTAGACAGAATTGTTAAAAACATTATTTTGCAAAAATTCTGTAAGTCATTAAAATTATATGTCCAACTCGCCCTGACCTAACTATGCTATTTAATAATTAAAGACCACTGAGCTTTCTCTCATAGTACCTATCTGATGTTATAATCAATTTATCAAATCCTAAAGGTTGATAAGAGAAAATATAGGGGAGCTGGTGATCTAAACTATCAATTACACATCTCATCTACCCAGTTTATTTTCAATATAGTTATCATCAAAATTATAAATGATTTGAACAAGCGATTCCTGAAGATATTAATAACTTGATAATTAATCGGTAGTTCAAACCCCCAGATTACCAATTTTTTTCTTTTCTTAATTTAATTGAATAGAGGAGAAAGCCATAAAACACTACATAAAAACATTCAAAAATTCCTATTCTATCGCTTTTCGATAATGTCTTGCCACAAAATGATTACATAAACAATCCACATACGTATTATTTATAACACTGTTTACTGTTGTTAGGCAGTTAAACAAGAAATGCACTCAAGAAATATTCTCGTTGATAGGTTTTCATTTAATGATTTATGCATTCTTCTTTTCGTATAAAAAGGAAACTTGAAAAAATATTAGCATCATTTCTTTCAAACATATATTCATATTCAGTTCAAGTGAAGTAATAATATTAAAATGAAAACCGTTGGAAAATTATACATGTCCAAAACTAGTCCGGCTGTGCGCTCGGTTTTATTCACGGTAAAAGCACTTGGAATATCACTGGAATACATCAATTTAGACATGAAACAAGGAGAACATTTAAAACCAGACTTTATCAAAGTAAGATAAACATGATTCATACATAAAATCAATATTAATATGTATATTTCTCACAGATAAATCCTCAACACACTGTGCCAACATATGTGGATGATGACGGCACAATTGTTTGGGATAGTCATGCAATCATGTCATTTCTAGTCGAAAAACACTCCAACCCCAATGAAGCAAACACTTTGTATCCGGCCAACTTGGCCCAACGTGCAGTTATCAATCAACGCCTGTTTTTTGAAGCCAGTGTTGTGTATCCAACTTTACGCGGGATTGTTGTATGTTTAAAAAACATAAAAAAAACATATAATCACCAAATTTAATTTACTTTTCTTTTAGCTACCGCTGGTGCAACAAAAACTTAAAACACCATCAACAGAAGCGCTGCAAGAAGCTCAAACGGTTTATGATTTCTTAGAAGTTTTCCTTGCTGATCACAAGTTTTTAGCCGGACAAAATTTAACTATAGCGGACTTCAGTATCATCACTACTTTGACAGCGTTGGATTACTTCGTGCCGATAGATGAAGCAAAACATCCGAAAGTTGCAAAATGGGTCAATAGTTGCAAAGAATTGCCTTATTATAACGAGGCTAATGAGGGACTACAGCAGTTTAAGGAGTTTATTCAAGGTTTAACTGGAGCATCTTGAGATCTTTCCAAGTTTAATACGACGTAGAAGAATCATTACTTAATTTCAATTGTAGATGCCAAAAATAAATGTAAAATGTATTAAATAATTACTGTATTTATATAGGCAACTTCTTATACTGTTCCATTAAAATAGTTTTTGCCATCGCTGTAAATATAAAGAAGTAAAAATTATCGGTGACTTTTTTATCAATCCATCATAAAAATTTATGTTATTTTACCGGGTAATAAAAAGGCTTCCAGCTTAAATATTGATTTTGAAGAAGAAAATCAACTAAAACGGAAAACAATTGCAAAAAAATATGCGCACCCTGTGCAACTGTATGAATATGTGTGCGAACTGCGTTCGACTGCACTGTTTTCCAGATGCCCTATTAACCCACTTTCAGAATATGACGTCAGTCCCAGCTGCATACAATTTCCATCATTTCCGAGATTTCCACATTGCACATTTCCCACAAAGTGCGTTTATATCTTTTCGGTTATCTGCATCCACTAAATGCAAACCATTCCCATCCGAGTGTTTTTATGCTGGCACTTAGTATGTAAATTGTAAACAACATACGGATATGATTATTTACAGAAACTATATATTTTCAATTCTTGTATATTACATATGATGTGAACTGTTACTCTTTTACACGTGTCTATGCTTCATCTTTGACTAGAGAAACAACTGTATCGTATTATAAAATGTACTAACCAAATTGAATAGGATTTGGACACGCAATTCGAAGGAGAATCCACAAATATAAACCACAAATCAATCAATATGCACCAAAGGCACTTTTAAATATTACCTTGTTTTAATTTCAAAAACATAGACGACGAGGAATGTTACGTTGTAAATTGTAAATCATCAACGTTTATCAAATCTTATAAAACGCAGTCAGAACCAACCGAATCTAAGTCGAATTTCATTGGTTTATATACATCGTACAATAAATGCAATTATAATATATTGGCAGCAGATTATTCTGGAAATACTATACCATTCTTAGAATTATATATGTATCTAATTTAATACAATTATCACACATTCGTTTCACCATCGTCGTGGACTAATAAATACTCTCTATCGTAAGTGACATTCATGAATCGTAATCATTTTGAAACATACATAAACGTTTATGTCTAGAAATGTACTCATATATTTTTAGTCGACTATCTTTATGAAAAGTAGAATATATATTATATGGCGTCGGACACCATATGATATCATTTTGATTCTCGTTGCACGCCGCTGCTTGTTGCTTGTTTCAATTTTGGTGTATCTCTTCTCTTATTACTCTTACACATCTAATCTCACATTATATCAATTTGTACACAAACGAGACGCTTGAAGAAATGCCGATCAACAAAGTCAAAAGTATTTTACAATGTTGTGTCATTATTGAATTCAAAATTGAAATGAAATCAAGTGTATTGTGATCGACATTCTTCGCCAAAAACGCAGTTTAATTTAAAAAACGTTTAAAAAGAATTGAGCACGTGAATGAACAGCTGGGTTACATTTGAATACAATTTCATTTTGTACGTTCACAACTGTAGATATTTTGATTTTGTGTGTTTTAGTTTTGTTCGCTTGAGCTCAGAGTTTGCTTAAAAAGCGCTACCATAGAGAAAATGACCACATTGTCAAAACGAATTAAGTACCAAATACATACGTAATTATTGTCAATAAATTATAGAAACGAGCGCGGGCGGCGAAACGGTTCATCGTTTCGTCGGAATCTCCGTTTGGCTGTCATCCTCGCTCTCCGTGAGGACGGCCATGTTTGTATCTGGCAGAATGGTCAAATGGGTAGCATCCGACTGAAGCGTGCTACATTCTCCCGGAGCACCGCCGGGTTCCTTCTTCTGATGTAGAGATTCAACAAAATCCTATTGAGAGAATAAATTTTATCCTCGCCACAATTTATAGATTACTAGGAACAAACCTTGCTTATCACATCACCGTGGGCCATCCGCACTTGATAGAGATACCTGTACTTATTCTGGCGCATTTCGGCCCTGTCAATTCGTGACCTCGGGTGATTTCCACCCGGTCTGGGTTTCTTACGTCCTGCGGCGACTGTAAACACAAAGTTAACAAAACACGTTTGCAATACGAATATACAACATTACCATCTTCATGATACGTGCCACGTCCAGTGATGGCGCACTGAATAATCAACCCCATCACGACCAAAGCTGGCCAAATTCCAAGCAGGATCCATGAGTACCAACATGGCGGTGGGACTGCCGGACGTAATGAAACTCTGTCCCATATCCAGGCCACGGTCGCCAATCGCTCAACGAAATAGTCTATCGACGCTGACACAATTGCTCCGCCATAGATACTTGTGCCCAGTATTGTCAATCCTAACAAATGTATATTTAAACACTTAATAGGTACTAACTCTATGATGGAATAAGTGTTGAATTACCTTTTCTAAAATATAAATTAAAAATAGCTACGACTAAAGCACTCAGCAGTAGAACACCGACGCAAACCCAGACGGAGCCACGTGGTGACGTCTCCATGATGTGGTCAGCGCCGATCAGAGCGCCCAACCCCAGCAGGAGGCCAGTGTGCAGGCCTTCCATGAAAAGCCCCACGTATTGGACTAGCATCGTGATGAGACCGAAAAGTATACCGGCGAATATCGCAATACCTGCGTTGCCATATGGCGGCAGTAGCTCGCCTTGCAGGCAGATCAAGTATACGATGCTCGAGGCAAATATGAATCCTGTGAGAAACATTACCGTCTTGAAGCAACGATAACCTGCAAAATGTGTTTTATTCGTTTTTAGTTGTGCATGTTTAGATAAAATGTAAGTATATGTTAAGCTGTCGGTGTAAGTTGTTGGAAAACCGCGCGGAAACTCTTTATGCACGTCAGTCGACTGCGTGTGCGTTAAAGTTTCACAACTGCAACGCGAAAAGGGGTCAGCGTATCATGCATAAGTCATCAGTGCTCTAAATAATTTACGTCGACGAACACGCAAAGCGATGGGGTTGTTTCGCGTCCACGAGCGTTTCAACTCGCTGCGAAATGGGTTTTTCCGATTATCGAGCGTTTAAACATACTCGATTGTCATATTCAAGACTGTTTACAAACAGTTTACGAGCGTTATGTTGATGGCTTTATCAGAAATATTTTTTTGTCTAGACTAAAAAAATAACAATTACGTAACCTCAATCTGAGTCTACCAAAGCAACCAAATCAATTAAAAACTTTTAAACTTCTCATCAAAACTTTAAATTGCTAAATTACCAAAGTAATTACATTCAATTATTTACGCCGAAATAAGTACATTAATTATGGAGGCAATCAATTGGCCCAAAACAAGATTAGGCATTACACGTGTGTGTGATCAATATTCAATGCGGAGATAAACGAATTTAATTGTGACAACGTGGAAATTCGCATTGGGTGTGGCTTTCAGCAGGCGGCTGTCTGATCGATTACTGAACGCCGCGCGTCCACCGGCGGCATGTGTATCCGCCGCCGCCGCCGACGCCGTCGTTGATCAAACCGTTAACGATAGAAGCCGTGTCATGTATGCGCACGATAACTCGTCACTTTGCTTATCACACGCTCCATCACCGCCGCCATCATCCCCGATTGAACACAATAATTACGCCATCGACGTGTGGGACGGCGGCGGATGGGTGTATTAAATTTTCGCACGAACGCGTTGGAGCATAAAGACGTTTGCACGCAGCGTACCACAGAATGTGTAGAGTATGCCGAAGATGATGTACACCGAGCAGACGACGGCTGTGACTACGTCGTAGTTGGTGTCCACGTGACATTGTTCCACCTTGGGACCGTCAGGCGCTCGCAGACCGGGGATGACCCGCAGCGTGCTGTTGTTTCTTGGAGGCACCAGGGAGTCTGGTTGAGCGCCACTCGCCATTGTGATCCTGCAATAACAAGATATACTCATTTATTCAAAGTTTAATGTACTCAAAGCGAATAGATAATAACTTTGGTTATATTTCTCTCATTTCTCTAAGTTAAATGAGGTTATGTTTATAAATGTCAAAACTGCGCGGTCAACATGTCAATGTCAAATTACAATAATATTAGATTAGATAACTCACTTACTTAAGACACTTACAACACGGTTTGAAAAATAACTTGCGGTTGAATGCTTGCTTAATCGGCACTGACCATGGTTATCCGCTTACCGTCGAAAGGGTGATTTCGTATGACACACCTGTCGAAGGTACTTCCGGTAAGTACATTTTTGTTTTCATTCACAAAAAGTGCGTGTCTACGGGCGCACAGAAAAAAAGCGGTTATATTTTGTCGACAATAACTAATTTTTAATTGTAGTTTTGAATGCCTGCTGCTCGTAAAATACAGCTGGAGACATATTTACGAGTATGTTGCTAATGGCAAATAGCACATGGAAAAGCATAGCAAATTTCTCAGCTTTCAGAGGCAAAGGCTTTTTGATACCAGTTTTATTTCCAACAATTTAAGGTATAAAAATATTTATATAAACTTTTAATAATAAAAAATAGATGGAATTTATTTTACTAAAGGTTTAATACTATGTTAATATATTCGACCTTCAAACTGGATTTTGTCTATTGAATGGCATTTAATAGGCCACAATTCACACTTTTTAAACGACCATCTACATAACTTATTTTATCTCTTTAAATGAACGCAATTTTTTTAATTCTTTCATTTTAGGTAAAAAATGTGACATTGGGGTCTCCAAAATGCGATAAGCTTATCTTAAATAAAAATGTTTTAAAATGCATAGAATTCCGCAAATGTCAATGATTATTTCGAAGTCTTCGTTAAAAACCTGTCTAAAAATAAATTTCTTTTATGGAATGTAAAATTATCAGTATTATTTTCAAATTGCGAACAAAAACTCCATTCATTTGCTTAGTAAAAAAGCGAAAAGTTTGACTTTCACCTTTTAATAAAACGTCTTAGACACAAAAAGCCTTCAAAATTGAAGTAAATAAAGAAGGAAGCGATAAATTTCTAATTCAAAATCTGTATAATTTAATTAAACATAAAATTAAGTAGATGATAAATTCAATTTAATTTGATTGGATTTTATTTTGTTTCTGTTGAAAGCTTAGAAGATATTGAAATTTTAATTTCGTTAAAGTAGCGTTCTCGACTAGTTTAATTAACGTCAGGTAAACATTACTACCCTATAAAATGTATAAAACCAAACCCACGATTGTTCACAACGTGCACCGCTGGGAAATTTAATTAATTGTAGCATTATCACGAATACGCAAAGTCTCACAGCGTGTTTGATGTGCAAAGAGCTTCTTCAAAATAATGCATAAATATACCTACATTGGAAGCATTAACTATTAAAATTTTAAAATCGATTTAAAAATGCATTATTTAAAAATTAATATCGGCTTGAAACCCGGTAAAAACACGTCCAAGCTAAAGAGTACTAGAAGCAAACAAAGCAACGCCAGTTTGTTTGTTTGTTCGGTTGCCTACCAACCATTATGTCACTAGGCAACCGCTGCATCCTAGCAAACATACACATTAAAATGAACCTAAATTATAGACTTGAAAATATAATGTATGCAATTACATATGCAAGTCACTTTAAAATTTTATTCAGATACTAGCTTTTGTCCCCGACTTCGTCCTGGTAGTGTTTAATAAAAATGTAATTCGTTTTTACTCTCTTGTTCTAGACATGGTATGTGTCAATACTATGAATAAGATTCGCAATTTCATTTTGAAGGAATTAATTATATAAAGAATTGCTAATAATGCACTTCAGCGCTCCATCTCGGATTCAACTATTTAAGTATAACTATGATTGAATCTCACTGCCAACTTTTATTTTATAGAAAAATGCTACCTTTGGAGTTTTCCCGGCAATTATTCAAAATTTTCTCGGCGTAAAAACCATCCTTGGACTTAAACGAACATTAAAAAAAGAATTGGGCAAATTGGTCTAGGCGTTGTTGAGTTATACGCTTACCAACATATGTTGCGATTAATTTTTATATTATAGATGGCTATTTGATATACCTAAGTCTATTCTTATAACCAAAGTATTTAACCTTAAATTTTACCTTTTTGTATATAATAAAAACGATTTCTTCAGTACGAGAAAAATCAAAATCCAATTTCACTTCAGACTCTGTACATCCATTACAAATGGCTATATACTTTTTCCATGCTCTGTACTGTTAAATTTGCTATTAAATTATTTGTGAATCCATGTTTCTTTGCACGCTGCGCGATTATAATTTCAATTGAATGTTGTACGTCGATTCGCAGCAATAAAACGCGCCTTAACTCCGTGAAAAACTTTTATACTGTTCGACGCTCAAAGCGGCCCACTTTACTGGGTTAATTACCTCTATTGTAGTAAATTAAATCCTCAATTGAATAGCAATCAAGCTTAAAAACTATCCGCATCATGCAAACTATGCCAAACTCTAATACAATAAAAATTTAAACTCAGTGAGTGAATGAGTTAAGGACTAAAAGCAAACAAATGATAAATGTATCTATAACATTGGTAAATTCAATTAATTACAAATACAAACAACAACTTTGATATGTTTGTCTTCGAATAAACAGTAGAATACTGCATTACCTGCACTTGCCAACTTAATGACTGATGAGTTGAAAACTACATAGTCAAACTACTTTCTAAGAGACGCCTAATTAACGTTGATCGCTAACGAAGTAAACTGACCTACAAACTTGAATTAAAACCACGCTGAATGATGCGGTAGTAATGTTAATAAATAAATACAATTGATTGATGAAAAGATAATGAGAAAGTGAACACACTCTACAATTGAGAATTTAGAATTCTAATTTAGTCAGTTTATAAGCAAGAATGTTTGTTGTTGTATGCAACATAAACTTTTGCTATTACCAAAGTAATAGATGAAACCTGCTGACTCTGACTCTGGGGTGCAATAATATAATATGTATCAATTATTCGGTGGAGAGCAACGCTCGAGAAATGTACTTTTGGCAGACGCCCTTTTTTTGGTAGTCTGCATTGCGCACCAGACGGTTTTTTGTTTGACGACGCGTCGTGTTCATTGAGAATCGAGTGAACTCAAAAAGCTCAAAGTTCAAATCTGGTGCAGACAGGTATTACTAAATTTTATACGCACACAGGCTTATTGTTAAATAGGTTATACGATTCAACGGAGTTAATATTTATTTATTGACTTGTAAAAGCGTTTTGAATGAGTCTTCGAATTCAATTTCAGATAAGAGTACACATGTTATGCGAGGTGGATTATGATAGATGTATTGTATCCATTGTATTTATAGCGCTTGGAAGAGGTCCTAAAATGTGACATTTGGAAAAAATTAGAGACGTGGTTATAAATTAATTCGTCAGGAGACATAAAATTGCTTATTATAATTCAACAAAATAAAATAAGTGCAATTTTACAGCGAAATTGCTTTAAAGTACAATTTAATAAAAAACATATTTTTTTTAGTTAAGATGTGTAATTTCTGTCTAGTGTTTATTTAATCAACCTCCAAATTTGCTAATAAATATATATTTGAACACTATTTAATCATAATATTATCAAAAACGTGACGTAATATTACCTGACCTCGAAAAGTAGAGGTTTCGTCATTTTGTGAGCAACATAAAATAATCATCTTCCCGAAAAACATAGTGACTAATACATATGCTTATAGGTAATATATTTATTCTGGGAATGACATTGAGACCCAATATTCCACCCCTGTGGGTGGTAAATGTTAAACCACGTGATACCTACCACGCTATGCTCACATTACATGACAATTTTGTATGTGGTGTTGCATACTTTTAGCGGAAATAAAGAATAAGTTATGTTTTTACTATCAAAAATTCATTCCAAAAATTAACGAAACGTTTGCAAGTCATTATATTCAAAATGTATTTCGTGTTCTATAATATAAATATGAATCGCAAAATCCGTTGGTAAGCGCAAAACTCAACAATGCCTAGACCAATTTGGCCAATTCCATTTTTACAATGTTTGTTAATGTCCAAGGATGGTTTTTACGCCGAGAAAAATTCGAATAACTGCCGGAAACCCTAAAGACAGCCCTTTTCTATAGGATAAAAGTTGTCATTGAGATTCAATCATATTTATAGTTAAATCGTTTAATCTGAGATGGCGCGTTGGAGTGCCATATTAGCAATTCTTTATATAATTAATTTCTTTAAAATAAAATTGCGAATCTTATTGATAGAATTGACACATAGGTACTATGTCTAGAACAAAAGAGTAAAAACGAATTACATTTTTATTAAACACTACCGGGACGAAGTCGCGGTCAAAAACTAGTATAAAATAATAATATCTAAAATTGAAAAAAAAAACAAATGTTTCACTATAATTACATTATTATTTTATATGTATACGCATATTAGTTCTTTGAACTCATAGTCCGTTGATATAATTTATAAGCATTGGGCAATTTTCCAAAGTTGTATCATAAAGGAAGATGGAAGCTGTACTTTAACTCACATTAAGCTGTCTATACAACAAATCAATTATATCTCATCCTCATCACGTAAAAAGCCGCTCGCGAACTCTTTGAAACACTTAACTGCACATTGATCTTCCACCTTGCGAGTTAGAATCGCTGGCGGCAGAATGATATGCGTTAATGACCACCATGCATACATCTAGCATTCATGTGTATTCCGTGTAGAGCTTTGCGTTTCAGAGAAAACAATTAAATCGTTCAACGACCTTCACACGTCGGGTATATGAGGAACATTGAAAGTCCATTCACAGCGGTTTTCTACTCGAAACATGCGTGCGGTTCTGTCTTTTTCTTGGTCACGGCTGCGCTAGAACTAGCCAACTTTGAACTAACTTCCTCCAAGTAGGTATAGGATTTCTTCTATTTGCTACGCTCTGGCAGAGCATCTATGTGGATGCATTGACAAAGGGCAGACACATTGTTTAAAGACAAACAGTGTTAAGAGTAAGGTGTTTATTTGACGCGTGGGTAAATAAGCAAATGCGAGAGTATAAGTACTTACAATTAAGCGATGAGCATACGTTGCGCAGCATATTAATTGAAGCTCATTAAACAACTGAACTGTGTTAATAACGTATTTTTATTACTTTACAGACTGTATTTATTTGTCAATGCATTAAATTAAAGTGTTAACTGTTTGGTTTAGTATTTACTTTTTATAGTGCATTTTAAGTAATGCTATAAATGCAAGTGGAAGTTACGCTTTCACGCAAAATCCACTAATCAAGTAAAATCGAAGTTAGTTAATTTTACAAAAAATACAGTTGCGAAGTGTAAATTAAGGAATGAATGCTAAAGTAGAGATTCAATGATAGTTATAGTTATAAAATTCCATCCGAGACAACTTTAGCACGAGTTAAAGTATATTTTTATCATTTATCATTTGTTTAGAATAAACTAGAGAATTTTAATGACTCAATTAACGCATAATTGTTAGTTAGGCAATTTTTGAATAAAATTTAGGAGGGTGAAAGCCCTGGAAAAAGCTAGTATGAAATACTGAAATAGGAAAGTGGACGACTCAGACATGACTGAACACTGTGCTCTCTACGTGCTACCCTTTTATGCCTGCGGGCGACCAGCAAAAAGTGGTGGGGGACCTCCACTCCCCACTCCTTCTTTCCGGCTATCACACAAATAAAAGTCACCCCGACTGTCGGTAGTAATGCGTATCCGAAATGCATGTAAATTTAATGTAAAAAAATATAGTGCCTGATTTAATAGGATATGTTACTAACAACAAGAAACAAATACAGTAGAATCCGTTTATTATGACTCCGCTTATATTGACCAACCGGTTATTATGACGTACCTACACTACCAAGTTTGGTTTTCATATAAAATTCTGTATAAAAAAAGTCGGATATAATGACTTCGCTTACAGTGACATGTCGCTTATTATGACCCATTTTTAACAGATTATGTCCGGTTATATTGACCAACATGATTCTTTACACCTCCGGTAATGTTCGTTGATACCCGACGACGTTCGACACGTGGCGAACTTTTTATATTTATTGCTACATTTCTTTTATGATTGTCAAATTACTTTTATGTATTTACTATCGGAAAGACCAAATGCTTAAATAATAAATATAAGCATTCGGACAGCAGTACCTTGACCACGACTTAATCCGTATTTTCCATTAATCCGAATTTGGCGTGGGTCATTCGACAATCTCAATGCTTTTTAAAAAACAAGAACCGCATTAAGCAATCGTTCAATTCAAATGTTTTGAAACCGAAGAGGCTTCGAAAATCACAAGAAAATTAATTAAATGAAAAAACAAAAGCAGAAAAAAATTACAGATTACTTGAAGTAAAAAATACACTTGTATGTGTTATAATGTGCTGATTACGTGCAATTTTGATTTTGATTTAATATGTACATATTTACATAAAAAAGGGATTTCATTTCACAAAACGCTTTGTATGACGTCCGCTTATTATGACGTGTTTGTCAATTCCCTTCGATGTCATTATAACCGGACTCTACTGTAGTAAAATAGTAATATTTGATTACAATTTGTAACGTTAATAGTCAAGAAGCAGTAAACTTAATTCCCTACATAAGCAAACCGTAATCTTACTTGATTGCATAAATTACCCACAGATACTTAAGCTATTTTCGTTCATTAGATATATTTGAGCAATTGATAAAAGTGCAAATACAAACAGTTAGAGCAATTTCAGCATTGGTCATCGAAGGCAAACCGTAAATATCCAATTTCCTCGAGGTAGGTATAACTCTTGTGTCATGCGTCGTCGCTAGTATGTGCACAGGTACACACTATAAATATATATAAATTCCAAAGTGCCGATGCCGCCACGCAGCGTCGCGCCGCTTCGTATTAAATTGCGCCAGTGACTACGAACAAACGCGACGAGCACCGTGAATAATTTTCTTCCGCACGGATGTTTCGTGTCGCCGCGCTGCAACTGTACCTTCTCGGGCGGCGTGCCTCGCCTAACGGACTCATAAGCGATGTTTGTTTAATTTCAGGCGGGCATTGCGCGCGAATCAAATATACAATTAAGCGTTCGTATACCTTTACATTTATAATAAGTATATATAATGATTTGCATATTAAATATTTAAAGCGAAGAACGTCAAACAAATACAAATAAAAGAAATTAAATGCTCTTTATGCATATTAAAAGGTATTCAAACAGGAAAAGAAATAGAAATAAAATGTGTAGAATGGCAAAAATTAAAATTTTAAATAAAACAACTTTTACTTGTCTTAATGAGCAAGTAATGCTATTTTTATAATAATTTTTGCACGTCAGACTTAATTAAATAAAAATTTAAAAGAAAATTAAAACTAGAAAAGCTCTATAAACAATAAATTATCATATATAGGCTTTTTCATAACATTATTTAACTTGCTACATTAATATTGATTCATCAAAATTCATCAAAAGTTGTATTTTTTATTTTAAAGTTATCACGCTTCCAGCTATTTTTTTATCGTTGAATCAATATGCTTAGTGTACCTATTCACTAGTCACAGATGCTTAAAACCGATGACAAAGCCGGAAGCTTGTCGCCATTTATATTAGTCAAATTTACGTAATATTCAAACAGACCTTTAAAATCCTCAACAAAAAAGCATACTAAAACGGATGCAATGTTGAAACCTTAATAAACACAATTTTTTTATGAAACCACTATATAAAAACAGATACCTATTTACTTTTCTTTTCCTAAATAAAAACTACAATAATTTCAAAATAAAAAAATACGAAAAAACGCTGCGTGTCGGACGTGAGTCGGTTAGTTTTGGTCAAAGGATGTCGATGCGTACAGCACCTCAAGCGATACAAACGAAACTGAACTTTCTCTCTGGAAATATTGTTCCATTTCACGTTTATTGAAAGCAATAATAAACACTATGAAAAGAAAATGTTCTACTGCACTCCAAACGCTCATTTGTGTGATTGTAAGTAAGTAGTACGAGGTCTAGTGCAACAATTACACCAGCAACTTGTTTCTTCGTTAATCAAACAAATAATGATTGTTTCTGTTTTGCACAATATTTACATACATAGTAAATAATACAAGATGTTAATATTGAGTGGTAAATTCATTGAAATCATAATATGACGTCATGTATTAAATTTGATTACAATTCAAATAGCTAACGTTTATTTTGTAAATGAATATTGATTTGAATAAAATTGAATGTAGGAGTAGTGTAATAACAGTTGAAGATGGTGGGTTCTTTCATTGCGTGTACAGACGAAGCGGAAATTCGTTGATATTCATGTATAAATAATTGACTCAATTCCATTGCCATTATCATCGTTGGTGAGCGCATGCAATATACACACGTCGAAATCGCGCGCGACAAACAAAGTAAACACAATGCAATGCGTAGAGAAGAGGCTTTACGGTTTGAAGCTAGACATTGGTCGATGGATTGATTGGCGATTCGAAGGACAAAGCCAAAACAAAACAAATTCAAACAGTGATGTAATCACATTATCAAAGTAATCAAGAAATTATGACATAAGTAAAAGATTTATAAATATATTCGTCAACTACGTTTAAAATTATATTTTTTAACATTTGCAAAAAAACAGTTTTTTGTCATTGATTACATTAAGTAAACAATGGTTATCTTTTATATTGACATAACCTCAAAAACTTGAATTTTGTAACCTAAAAATAATTTAGCAATATTGTAATGTATTATAGGTATTTACATTTTTTTATCTTTCCACTATTTTCTCACCCTTCTACGAGTCTAAACCCGCCAAAAATGGTATTTACTATATAATAAACAATTTATTATTAATTTTAAAATATTAACTCAAAGATACTAATCGTTTGTGTGTTGTAAAGCGTAAAAAATCAATTTTTAAATAAACTTAACACAAGCAGGTATGTAATTTAAATCAATAGTATCGTTACCTTGAGCAGCTCGTTTTCTGGTCACAATTCAACACACATCAGAGTCTGCGATAACACTCCGTGAACAAAACATTTGTGTACATCACTCTGAACGTAGGTCGGGCATCGTCCCTCGCGAAGTTTATTTGTTCCCTGTTGTGCAAGCGATTGAGATTGTAGCCGAATTGCGATGAGCGAAGAACGGACGAGGAGGTGCGCGCCGAATGAAGAGCGCGCGCCGCGAACGCGAGTTGCGAACTGGCCAGCTCGCCGAGCCTGCCGCGCTCCGCTCCTGCTGTTGTCGCAGCAACGTGATGCGCGCGCGCTGCTCTCCACGCAACACATGCAACAACAATAAATTGAGCGCAATTGAAACCGCTTCGGGGCTTTGTCGTTCGCGCCGTCGCCATGACGGTTTCCATACCTTCGGTTTCCCCGGTTACCAAGCAACTACGGCTTGATTAACAGTCTTCGGATGGAATACGCAGTCGAGTGTACAAAGACTATGTATGTTGTGAAAGAAGATGTTTCAACTTGGTAAGAATTAGGTATAGCTGTGTCGGTTATATGTTTGTTTTTGTTGTGACTATTTTATAAATTTTTTAATCATAGGGTTATTATGTATCCAGACATGCAATAATGATGTATTTTTCAAGAAACAACTTCGCAATGATGTTGATAACCATCTTTATTTTTTATATTTTAATCTTCTTTAAATTCTTGTTTGTTTAATGAAAATTTTGAACACGTCAAACGAAAGTTAGTTTAATATCAATATTTGCAAACTAAAATGCACATTTTTACACATACTTTATACGTATTACTTGTTTATACCTTTAAACCCTTTATCAATAAATGTTGTCTTAGTTCAAATATTATAAAGATAAAATGTTTGAAAAACAAGGAAATTCATGCAATTGACGGAGCACCGCTTTTTTGAAGCACATCGAAAGATTCGTGCAACGTGCCTCCATCATCTAATGAATCACCTGTTAAACCATGAAGTACAAGTAAACAATTTTTTTTATTATATCAAACGATACAAATTTACCGAGAAATTTTTATTTTCTAGCCACGTTGACTTCAATTAATAATATATTTTGTGTTTAAAAAACCTGGCGCTTTATAGGTGAAAGTAGAAAAACAAATATTAAATCATATCATCATATTAAATCGATGTAATCATTTTTCACTGTTAAATAGCTTAACTCCATCAAATCATGGCAAATAATTACTACAAAATAAACTTTATGACATCATTGTCATTGTCGATTCTGGTATAATTATGCGAATCAAAAATAATTCACTGGGATTGCGTTCTTCATCGAATTAAACAAATTATTAGACTGTGTAGACTTTTGTTATTAAGAAAGTTACTGATTTAATGTCTTAAGTCACGATATATACATTTCGTATCCAATTTTATCATAAATATACGTTTTCACAAACACGATGAATTCCAAGGTTTGAAATGATATTAATTAACGAATGCAACTTAACCATTCTTGACCTTTTATGTCAAGATCCATTTCGATTAAATTTAGGTTAACCAATTTTAATCGCATTTAAGAAGACGTTTAAAGACTCGACTATAACCGCCAAAATTGTTTTATCTAAACTTTGGCAAACCTTTCTGCAAATTCCAAAGATAAAGTTTTTTAAGAATATTATCAGTACTTACTAAACTTTCCTTCCGAGCAAACAAGGCTTAAGTGAATATAAATAGTAATTATCAAATAAATCATACATAAAACGTTCTTGAAACATAGTTGTTGATGTTGATTTTGATTAGCAACTAACTAGAACTTTGAATTTCTGGTCTTGTTCAATTCCGGGCTCAAAAATAGAGATAACTATTGGAAAAACGCCAGTTGAACATGAAATTCGAGGTCAAAGTCATGTTACAGATCACATAAATTTTACTTTTTATAAAGCCCTATATAATATACCTACTATACTATTTAAGATAATTTTATTTATATCATATAAACTCTAAGATAGAGGAATAACCTTAGCAAATCTTAGCAGAATGTTACAATGACAAGGCTCTTCTGTTTACTTACAATGTGTCAAACTTTTACTTTAAATATTTGAATAGGATTGCAGGGTGGGTTGCGTTATAAAGTTAAATACACTGGTTAGCGCCAAAGGTAGCATAATGCGGAATTTGTACGAACTAACCCTCAAACCGGGCAGATTATACAAAAATTTTACTTCGTGAGATCAGTGATTAAAATAACGAGTTGCACAATGTTTATCAAACACATTTTAAACACGATTAGAAATATATTCTGAGAATTAACAATTGAACTTACACTACATTAATGTAAGGTCGTTGAAAGTAAATAAAGATTTTGCGGTTTCTGCTACTGGTACCACTTTACTCGGCTCAGCGCTCTACTGTCATAACTTTACTGCCTGTACTGTGTACTGGCCTCTCTAATTTCACTAACCTAAACATTCGCACCCAGTCGCCCGAACTCAAAGTTCCGGCGGTTCCGCAACAACACTAATATCAATTTAATGCCATCAAGGTGCTATATCAAAGTGGAAAAATGTAAGTACGACAAATAGGATTCAATCAAAATCTAGCCACGTCCATTTCATCGAAACATATGATTCACCTGTCAAGATAAACTAACCCAACAAAAGCCTAATGTAGTTTCGAACATTTTCAGCTTTTAAAACCCCTCTTCGTGCGTTTTTTAGAGAATGGCGAACATCTCCAAGAGGATATTAGTTGAAACCAAAAACTTATCAAAGGATCCGCCACCTGGTATCAGCGCATATCCAGATGAAGACAACTGTAGATACTTCCATGTAATAATGACTGGACCTAGTGGATCTCCCTATGAGGGAGGACTCTTTCAATTGGAACTATTCCTACCAGAAAACTATCCGTTAAATCCCCCAAACGTGCGCTTCCTCACAAAGATATACCATCCAAACATTGATAAGTTGGGTCGTATATGCCTGGACATTCTGAAAGATCAATGGAGTCCAGCATTACAAATCAGAACTGTTCTGTTATCAATTCAAGCACTCCTAGGCAGTCCAAATCCAGATGATCCGCTCGCAAATGATGTCGCGAAGATGTGGAAAACGAACGAGGCTGAAGCAATCATGAAGGCTCGCGAATGGACGAGGGAGTACGCCGTCATTGAAGAATCCCACTGAAAATATGTGTCTCTTTTATCATATCAACATTTTTATAATGGTATAGTTTCAAAGAGGTCATAAATTAGTTGTTGGTCTAAAAGAAGGGCACAGGACATGCATTCTTTTAGAATGACTTCTCAATTTCCTTTAAGTATACATAGCAGATATGATATATATTTATATCTTGGAGATATATTCATCATACACTTTGATTTGATTGACTTTTTACTTTAATGGCGCATTTTGTTTGCATTCACTTCTATCTCCCAATGACAATGATGAGTCTTGAAAAGGAGAACTCATTTTTGGAAATTTGTGTCTGTGTGTTTTAGCCATGATTTTCCACAAGAATTCCAATTGTACATAATAGTATTTTTAAGTTTCTCATGATCAAATTCCAGTGACCAACATTTTTTAATTTTATTTTCTTTATGTTATTATAATTGCTATAATTATATTACAATTTATTTATAGAGAAGAATCACGTAGTTTAATTAAATCGTTAATGAAACTCGCGCACGTTTGATTCCTGCCTGCACTTTTCCTAGATAAAGAAGGCAAATATGGGATATTGGATATCCATACTATTTTTGTCTACGACATATGTTCTAACTATTCTTGAATCTTTTAATCATCTTTGAAATAAACTGATTGGAAGACGTATTTTGACGATATTTTTACTTCATGAAGAGACGGTAGTTAAACAATACTAAAAGTACAACTTAAGTCATAAACATAATGAAATATTTGAAACAAACTACTGCTAGATAATGACCATAGCTCGATTTCACAGATTTGGTCAAACAAGCAACAAGTTTTCAGTTTTGTGAAATCAATATTGACATCATAAGCAACGCCAAGAGTAAAGGCATGAAAATTCCAAACTGAAATTGATTTTCTTAGTAACAACCATCATTTTTGAAAATATCTTTGAAAATATCTAAAAATATCTTATTCATTGTAAGTAATATATATTTGCGAACCTATTGCATGTCTTTACCAAAAGAATAATTAAACAATTTATCAAACTGTACACAATTATTTACCATCTTAATGAATTTGTATTTGTACATTTTTGTACAATCAAATTATACAGTTCAGTGCCTATAAAAATATTTAAAATCAAATAGATTATAGGATCGATTTGTGCCATTAAGTGAAAAGATTTCCACATGGAAGAGTTGATTGCACCGGAACTTCACTTCTTTATCTCTTTGTCAGGTCTTGCACCAGATTTTGAATAATATGCATCCAAAAACAAGGAGCCAAATACAATCATTGCAGCTACCCATTGTCTAGTGATCAATGTGTTGCCAAAGAAGACCACCGACGCTAACACTGTTACAAATTTTCTAGTGGTGGTTACAATAGCTACAGGCAGAGGTCCAAATTGAGCAACCTAAAATTTAATGATGTACAAAAATATAAAATACATGTGAAGTAAAATTACCATAATGTAAATAAAATGTTGTCCAACAGCACCAGCTATAGACAACATACCAATGTTGAATAACACTACAGGATGCCTTTTTGCAAAAGCAACAAATGAGAGACCATCACCTGTGAACACTAGTGCAAGTACCACGTAAATACAAGACCAAAAGTTCATATTCAGCATCATTTGTTCACCAGTGGGTTTTGCTGGTTTAGCTCTCATCACTTCCTACAATTTTCTCATTATTATATTAGTTCATAATGTTTATATAGAGTGTTAATATTAACCTGCATGCCTCCTGTAAGGCCATCCATTGTAAGTGACATGATCAGTAACAACTCTCCGAACCCAAATGAAGATTCATTTGATTTTATATTTGCTTGGTCTTTGTACATAAATAACACTACTCCAATCACAACAAGAAGAACAAAAAAGTATTTCTTCAGTGTATAGGATTTCTTGCCAATGAGAACACCTAATAACATAACTGGAATGGGTTTGGCAGATTTTCCTATGACCTAAAATATAATTTATTAAGATGTATATATGAAATAATTACATTTTATAGTTACATACTTGTGTTGGATATGGTACCCATTGTAATGCCATATTCGAACAGACCATGCCTAATAAATAAGTCAAAGAAGTAGCTCCATACAACTTTGTGAGACCATTGCTTCTATCTTCAGGGTCTCCTTTGATCAAAACAGCACCTTTTGCAAACAGATAGCTGACAAAGCATTGTCCAAACACCAAAGCCAATGAAAAGGTGAATTTTTCATTCACCTCAGTGATGGTTCCATCGTCCTGCACTACTTCTACAGGATATTTGCCCTTAGTGACCTTTTCCTGCAGTATGCCGAAGTAAAAATAGGAGACGAAAATGCCCAAGGCACAGAATATAAACTTTGTGTTGCTGTTCATGCTGCAGCTAAAATAAAATACGATCTTTAAGTGACAACATGTATTTATGAGTCCGTATTGTAAATAGTTCTCATTTGTTTGTGACACACATCGCGCGACGCTGTATTTAAAACATCCACGAAGTCCACTGTGACTGACAGTGTGGCAAGTGGCAGTGACCGCGAGGCGCTTGTACACACGTCAATGTTTTTCATTGGTTGAATTGATCACATGCGGTTTATGAGAACAGGTGTGCACAGGTGAAAATGTGAATTGTAGTGACATCTACTGGGAAAATTGTAGAATATCATTATAAACATCATAGATGGCGGAACATTAAATTTGTTTTAGTTAAAAGAAAGCATTATAACCATTGTTAATAATTACTTCTAACTTTTAACTTATCTTTTTGGAACATATTTATTACTCTATTTCAATTGTTACAATGTTGAAAAATAATTTCTACAGTTCCACGACACAATGCACAATACCCATTTTTCCGAATTATATAATCCCAAAAAGCAAATTTCATTGTGCAATTGGAAATTATATCAGTTACGGGTCAAAGTGCAGAGTTCGAAGTGATATTAACGACAGTCGAAGAACGTTAATTCCCAAAACATTTTTGCTTTAAATTGCATATAACTATAGAACACCAATCAATTTTTTTTATTACAACATACCTCTCCAATGCAAATCAGAAATAAGGGGAAGATTGTTTGAAATGCACGCTGGACTAAATTACCTCAATTTGAACATTAACTTACAATACCTTTCCACTTTTCCACGGCAGAAACAAACCATTAAACTCTGAAGTATAGATGAACTAAACTTTTAAATTTATCGATGTGTCAGTCCAGCTTCCACTTCGCCTGCTATTTTTGGTGTAATTAAATAAAATGCATAAGGCTGTGTTTAATCAAACTGGAATATCTTCGAATATGGGAATTGTACAGCAATGTCAAATATAGCAAAGATAAATCACTTTTTGAGTTTGGGAACATAGTAGCTTATAATATTTAGGAAATGTAAAGCAAAAATGAAATGTTTTCCGAATTGTTGTTTTACACCTCAATCATACAATACATAATTTCCTGAATTATATAATCATTAAAAATAGATATCAAATAAGCCACAGTTAATAAATTATTTATATTCATAGGTGGATAGGTACAATGGAAATCAATCAAATAAATTCAAAGCAGTGAAACACTACAAGAAACTAAGTAATACTACAAATTATTAAAATATTTTAAGCATTAAAATTATTATTGAAACTTCATTGTATAGACTGACTAATTTTCCTTAATAAGTAAATAAACATCACTTGCAAATTATAAACTAGTACAAAAAAATGTCTTCATTTATCGCGTTTTTTCTTCTTCTTCAAATACATTACAACTAGCTATTTGTTGAATATGAAGCATGGTGTTAATATTAAAAATATTTGTTACTTTTTTAATAAAAATAGATCCCTATGAACTCTTCTTTGTATAAATGTATATAGCCTTGTGATATCAAAACACAAACAATCAATTATTCCAATGTCAAAACCATCATTACTTCTTTACATCGACCGCAATAAATGTAAATGTGGCATTGGAGTAAAATCAATAGTGTCCTTGATATTCAGCTTACACTTCAATACATACATACAGTGCTTTAATTGAAGCTTAAACAGTGCTTCCGACAGTTCGTAACCACATATAACAAATAACACAAACAGCGCACACCGAAATGAATTATTACTATTTGGAACATTGCATTATTTCAAATATCCGACTAAGAAAGACATTCGTGAGACAAATTAATAAAATAATTATAAACTAGGTAATTACTCATATTTATCACTGAAATTAATTTCTTGCTATTATATAGGTACATATGGTATATCATATTTAAAATTTACTTGAATATAAATCGTTGAAAATAGTCATACTTGAATTATTACATCAGTGGTAAATTTTGTTATCCAAGTAATCATATGGCCGTTTACCTTTCAAGTCTTTACATTCATATATAGAGGAAGAAATGTTCACATATTGTTGTAGCAAATTGAAAATCTCCATGTGACCCTTCTCAGCAGCTCGATGTAATGCTGTCTTGCCATCAGAGTCTTGTAGTTCAACATTGGCCCCTTTTAAGAGCAAATATTGCGTTACTTTAAACTGACCTAAAAACAAACAAAAAATTAACCTAGCTTTTAACATAACCTTACCTAATCCGATAAAAAAAATATTTACCTGCAGTACAAGCTCTATGTAATGCAGTAGCCACACCTGCCTTAGTTGTTGCATTAATACAAGCGCCATGTTCACACAATAACTTGCACACCTCCAAATGTCCATTTCGTGCTGCATAGTGCAGTGCAGTATATCCACTCTTATCAGTTTGATTTGGGTGTGTCCCTTTAGCAATTAACTGTTCTATTCTTTTTACATCACCAGTTTGTGCCGCACTCCAAATACCACGTTCGAACTCAAGTTCATCAAGTGTCTGATGAACATTGGAGCTACCACCCACCTGACAAGTACAAGAATGCCGATGACAATTTGCCATGATGATGATGTTTATCTAGTGTAAATTGAAGGTGTCTTTTATTGCTGGATGTGTCGGATAGGATCTACGATGAATTTAGATGTCACGTTGCATGGTCCAGACGACTTCAGCTTCGCCAGTGGATGTAATCACCTTGTAGCCGAGCTCGCTGAGCGCGTTAATCACGTCGACGGGGCCTGCCTTCAGCAGGACGCCGTTGATCACTTCCTTGCGCCAATTGTCGAAGCGTTTTGACAGCGCGTTCGCCTCTACTTCGGTGAGGCCGAAAACGGCACTATCGCCAGCGTGCACGGACGCCTTCACCGCGACGTACGCATGCATTCCGGACGACATCAGAATGGACGCTGGGATTTCCATTTGGAATAGAATTAGATTACACGCACTTATTTCATACACTGGGTTCAAACTCGTTAATGTTCGGATTAATTCGTGCGAATTAATCCGTTGATTGCAAAACTATTGCAGGTTGTTTACGTTTCGAATTTTTTCTATTTTCGAACTTTATAGTTTTATTCAGCAAGATTTTCTGAACTAGTTGCTTCTAGTTTTGCTGCTGTTGTTGCTTTAGCGGTTTCGACTGGTTCAGGCTCGGAGAATTCCTTGCGCATTGTCCACATGTACTCGTTGTAATCTTGCTTAACGCCGGTGGAGGAAGAGGCGACCACCTTGTAGCCAAGTACTTCGAGTGCGGTGAGTATGACGCACGGATGATGCATAAACACGATGGTGGAAACGTCGCAGTACCCGCCACAAGCGAATCTACTCAACTGATCGAGGTCTTCCGACTTCAGACCGGAGACGAGTACTCGCCATGGATGTCGCTCGTTGTGGCTGTAGTTGTACGACGCCAAGTTACCGCGCACCAGTATGTACGGCATTGAGCGTGGATTTTGTGGTTTATCGCGCACAGCAAACAGACCAATCACTCGATACGTTGATAACGCACACGGAAACCCTCACATTATCGAGTGAGCGTTTGGGGAATGGAATGATGTAAATGCGTCTTTAGTTTGGATTTATCGAACGCGAATTGCAAATTTGTTATCTGCGTTTTTAGTTTTAAATTTTAATTAGCGTATTGATTCGGAAACAGGTGTGCACTGCTTTGGGAGGGACACCGTGCAGCTGTCAACGCAAACAAAACAACACCCACATGTAATTACACGACTTTTACCTGTGGAAAAACTTATGCAACCCGATTTGCTCAAACAAACATTTGAAAGTTGTGCGTAATTGAGTAAATGGTTCACAATTACCCAATATGTACTAAAAGTCATAGCTGACATTGCCAAGCAGTGCTTTCAATATTTTGATTTTATAATTATCCTTGTGCATCGCAATGCTTTTTTACTTGAGTATAAGTTGTTACTCTGTAATGTGGGTTGCCTACGGCTTATATAGTTTTGAAAATAAACATTTAACGATTGAAGATTTTATTTACTACTGAATGGTGAAATTCTCTATTAATAACCTTTTCTATAAATTAACTTTTGGGCAAACTTTACTTTTAACTATGACTCGTATTGGAATTATATTTCAACGATTAAGTGAACTAATAAAATATGAAATTGTTTATACTTATGTACTTTGATCAAATTGCCTAAACAATAAAATGCAGACTCTCGACCGATTTGGCCTGATGGAGGTAGCTTCCGACTTGAAATAATATGAATTAATGAATATTTAGACGATTTTTATTAACTAAAATGATATAGGTAATTAATTTCAAGAGTAAATTACTAAAGAAGTAAAATTTGAAGATTTTTATGATGTTTTGTAGTGTATAGATTTGATACAATTTTAAACAAAATATATGATTTTAAGACAAGTATAAACATTTATTGACTACTTATGTAGTGTATTATGTTTATTTATTGCTAAATTAATAAATATTTGCATTAAAATTGCAAAATTCAGTTAATTTATTTTGAATTAATACATTCTAGCGACATCTACATTTGAAGTTTTGAGTTATATGTAAAAATTGCTATTCGTTTAGACAGGGTGGTGCATGCGTAGTTGCGTGTATGTGTGACACATGTGCACTGCTATTTAAGTGCGTACCCATACCCGGACTCATAGCTAATCACTCACTGCCTCATGTGCACGCCACGCGTTTTGATACACTTTGTAAATACAAGAGAAGAAAGAAAGAAAGAGAGAAGAAAATTCTTCAGGTACCCAAAAGTTTCTGCAGATGGCGCAATAATGCATGTTTTCGCTAAAAATATTCCTGCGGGTTAAAGTCAACGTGCCCAGTTGTTGTGTAGCCGGCACGCAACTCTTACTTCGTGTGGTAAGTGCTAATACTTAAATGGATATTCGTGTTTCGTGTTGTAAAATCGTTATATTGCGTTATATTTCTGAAATATTTATTTATTATAATTTTACGTGATTTTTGGATTTTACAATTTGTATTTGAGTTGACATGTTTCGCCCAGAGGGCATCTTCATAAACTGAATTTAGTAGGGTGTTTTGTGTTATCGTGTATGTGGGAATGTGTAGTTTGTTAAGTGGTTTAAAAATTGTGTCGTGTATTGAGTGTGTCTGTTCGTTTAGCAATTGGTGTTTGATTTTGTGTTTGTATATCTGAATGTGTTCTTTAATATTTAAAAATTTATCTGTGGATGATTTTAATATTGTAAGTGTATTATCTATTGTGTTGTGTTGGTGATTGTGTTGTAAGATGTGTTTTGCATAGTGTGAGTGGTATGTGTGTGGATTTTTAATTGCGTTTGTGTGTTCTTGGTATCTGATTTTCATGTTCCTGTTAGTTTTTCCTATATATATTCTATTGCATGTGTTACAAGTGATTTTATAGATGCCGCTGTTATTGTATTTGTTTGTGTTTAGTGTTGTGTGCGTTTGTAGTTTGTTGAATAGTTTTTGATTTGTTTTATAGGCAATTCTATGGTTTTTGAATATTTTTGTGATGTTATATGTATCTTTGTCTATGTAGTGGAATGTTTGGAATTTGGTGGGTGTGTTTGTGTTGTCTATGGTTGTGTTTGTGTTGTGTTTTGTTGTGGATTTGTTGTGATTTTGTTTTATGATTTTATTGTATATTTTGTTTACGTGCGTTTGTGTGTATCCGTTTTCTATTGCTATTTTAATTATTTTATTGTATTCAGTGTTGTATTTAATTTCGTCTAGTGGTGTGTTTATTAATCTGTTGAAACTGAATCTAAAGAAGGCATTTTTGTGTTGTAGTGGATGATGTGATGTGGCGTGGATTATGTTGTTTGTATCTGTGGGTTTTCTGTAAATGTTAAAATTGAATTCTGTTTTGTGTTTTGTTATGTTTATGTCTAAAAAGTTAATGCTGTTATTTTGATATACAAAACATAATTAACAACACACATAACAACCTAACATTTACCACTGAAACAGAACAAAAGACGTGTTTTAGTCGCTAAGTATTTATCGCGTGTGTAATCAATGTAATCAATGTTTTGTGTGTTCATTAGTTTCGCGTGTATCTGGTATCGCTTGCCGACGGACGCCAGTCGGCCATGTTGTGTGATTGTAAATAATATTTTAGAGTTGTGCGAACCATTATTGTCTTCAGCAGAACACGACGAGCGACTGTTCTACTTCGTAAATATTATTATTTAAATAATTATGGCAAATAAGACCATTTTTAAGGCAAAGTTTGGGTTCCTCCCGAACTCGGATTAATTTCAAGATTGTCCGAAATTGAATAACTAATGTTTTGTTTCTTGTTTATTTCAGTATCTACTCGTATTTGATTTACGGTGTTCGATACACTGGTGAGTGAAATTTTTCATCGTTCATAGTAGGTATCTATTTTTCGATTCTACGGTTTTCCAGCAATTAGAGAATGAATTTTATTACTTTCATTTGTGAATACGTAATCCATTGTATATTTTGAGATATTTATTTATAAAATTCTAGGTGATTTTATTGGATTTACAATTTTATATGTTGAGTTAACATGTTTCGCCCCAAGGGCATCTTCATAAACTGCCCAGTTTGCGTTGAATTTTATAAATAAATATCTCAAAATAGAGAATGAATATCTTAAACTTCTTTTGTGGAAATTTCGGTCAAGCTTTCCGCAGAAAATTTGGAAATGGGAATTCAAACTTTTGTATTACGGATGTTTAGAGCTATGTTACCATAAAAAGTCCTTCTGAGCATTTTATTTCTGAAAAATTTTACTCTTGAAGTAATAGTTTTCCCGCAATTTGATAAAATGTAAACACATTTTTCACAGAAAAATTAAATTTGGAAATTTTAAGTTTATATTTCTGATGTTGTTGTTGAAGGTCTCTCTGAGCATTTTATTTTAATAAAATTGTACTCTTGAACTAATAGTTTTCCCGCAATTTGATCAAATGTGAAGTCACATTTTCCACAGAAAAATTAAATTTGGAAATTTAAAGTTTTTATTTCCGAAGTTGTTGCAGAAGGTCTCCCTGAGCATTTTATTTTAATAAAAGTTTACTCTTGGACTTATAGTTTTTCTGCAATTTGATCCAATCTGATTTGGAAATTTACAGTTTTTATTTTGAATGTACCTGTAAGAAGTGATCCTGAACATTTTATTTAAATCAAATTTTACTGCTGGACTCACAGTTTTCCCTCAATTTGATCAAATGTGAACTCACATTTTCCACAGAAAAATTAAATTTGAAAATTATAAGTATTTATTTTGGATGTTGCTATAAACCGTTCTCCTGATCATTTTATTTTAGTAAAATTTTACTGTTGGACTCATAGTTTACCCGTAATTTGGTCAAATGTCATAATAATTTTCAGCCGAAAACTTTCAGTTGAAATTTATAATTTTTTCTACTGCAGTTGCAACAACACGTTTTTACGAGCCTTTTATTTTAATATAAATTGTCTTTAGAATTCAGTTGGATTTGTTCATTGCTAAAATATAAACCTAAATAGAATAGCAATACATGTTCAAATGAAATATCACTTAAATATTTGCTTAAATTATTACTTAAATATTATATTTTTCTTGTAGCATAAGAAATAATAATTGAATTATTGGAATTTTATAGTTTTTTTTTAAATTTTATTAATCTAAATTCCGGGACTACTATATGTAGCATTCATAGATGGCACCAAAATGTACTAAAAATCATAAAATCGAGTTATACGTCGGCTGCGTTCTTGATCCCCTGGCTGCTTATGACTTAGTGTTTGGGCATTTTACTTTTGAAACATAGATTTTTTTGTAACACCCTGTATAATAATTTCCCGTAGTGAATTTGTCAAAGGTGGGAAAAATATATGTCATCCCACTTAAACTTAGGATTTTCCTCTAAAATATTGTCGTTTTCTTTTTATATCACCCTGAATATTATTTTCCTTTGATATTTCACTGTGGTTTTAGAGATATATTTCCTTACTTGAACTTTACATTTTCTCTTAAAATTTTACTATATAGTTTCTTGGAACACCCTGTATAATAGTTTTCCATGATTGCCGTGAAAATTATGCAAAATTTGTTAGTATTATGTATATTCTTTGTTATTTTTTACCCTTGGTACTTGTCTGCTCGTATAACTAGATTCAAAATGGCGGGGTATATATTGTTTAGTATATAAAGAAATGTTAAAAGTGACTGTGCCTCCTATGATTTGGGTGTGCCCCTTATCTCATTTTCAATTTTTTTATTTGTGGCACCCTGTATAATCGTTTTCCTTCACATCCCTGAAAATTTTGCTTTGACTTATTAGAATTTAACTTCTGGCACTTCGAATTTTCTTTTTGTAACACCCTGTATTTCGTTTCCCATACGTCGGGTGAAAAACGAGCAATATTTGTGGTATTTGAATGTTTTTCTCTTTGCACTTTTTTTCCTTTTGTAACACTCTGTATATTTGTTTCCATTTTAATGACGTAGATATAGAGCTATTTGCTAATTTCATTATCCCGGTAGAACTGTACGAAGTGGTACTTGTTTACGAGTATATGTGCGCAGCTAAGCAGGTCGTAAGTCCTGTTTTAATATGGCGACATGTATTTTGATGACAGGTAAAACCTAAACTTGTATTCTATTGTTAATAAAGAAATAGTAAAATATATTGGCTTCTTTGATTTGTGTGTACCCCTTCTATCATTTCAGGAACAGTTCCCCCTCTCAGGCGATGATTCCCACTATAAAAATGGTTAAGGTATCCTGTGTGATTTGTGTACTCCATCTTTCATTTCAGGTGCAGGTCAGAACTTGTATGAATATTTTAAAGGACAAGGACAAGGTCCTTATAAGGTCTTGTACAAATATTTCTAAGTTTGAAGTCGCCTCAAGAGAGGGGACACTTATAAGGATTGTCCTTATAAGGAGTTCCCTCTATCGGGGGGTGATCCCCCACCATAAAAATTGTTGATATGCCTGAGTATTTCGGGGATGAAGCGCAGAGACATCGCAGCTGTAGGATGGGCCGGGAGCAATGGACGCACCGAAGCAGTGGGACTGTCAACGACACGCCGCCAAAAAATTTAAAAATCTGAACCACTCCTGTTCTTTTTCTTTTATCTTCTTCTCCTCTTCTCTCTGTTCTCTTTTATTCGCTCTTCTACTTCTTTACTTACTTAGGTACTACTTCTTACTTCTCTTATTACCTTCACTTGTATTTCAATTTCTCATATATTTCGTTCCAATTCATATATGCAACCCAAATTACACCTGTTATTTTTATATTTGAGAAAAATGCCTTCTACAGCTGGGGTTCAATCCGTGTCTACTAGCATGCTAGCAGGTGCACATACCCACTCCACCACGGAGTGCTTTTATCATCGTTATTTGATTCTTCTATTTATAATTCTACTTTATCCAACTTTGTAAAAACACAGCACAAACAACAGCTATATATTGTACACACTCGACGCACTTATTATTATTCGGAATACGATTTAATTTTGAATCAATCCTGCAAACGGCAAAGGGGAAACCAGAAAGAAATATGAAGACGTATAAAATATTATATTAGGTTTTATTAGCAACACTAAAAACTACATCCATTTTTTAAAAATCAAAAATCAAAATTAATTAAACATAATTCCAAATTATTATTAAGTATGTTTGGACACGCAGGTTATTTACACATAGGTTAGCACGAGTGCAATGTAATTCCACAAGCGAAAAACAATCACCGACGGCCGACGGAACATCACACGCGCATAGGTGAACCACCGATAACTCCGCGATTGATGAACATACAACGGAACATTCCGCAATTTATCTAATTATGATTTGAAGAACGAAAACTAGTCGCAATGAAAACGCGCGATTCACTCGACAACCGATATGGAACTGCGTATGCCTTGAGTTGCACACAGCAGACAGCAACTGCACGAGGTCACTATCGCTGTTGAGATACGCACGCTGAAAGCAATAAAAAACTTGTTTACATTCATTCATATGCGAGTATTCTAGCCCACCTAAGAATACTTTGCAATACTGCAACAAAACATGTATTATTTTATGGAGAATTGTCCGTAGATTATAACTCAGCGATTCCTTCCTTTCTAACTATTTTAGTTTACGAGAGATTCGCTAAATAAATTATCAAAAATTGAAAATTTGGAAAATTCTGTATCAGATAAAATAAAAATAATTTTATTTTGTGAGGTGAAAGGTCCAAAAACGGACCAACTGTGCTATAAATAGCCATTTTTCGTTTTTTGCTTGATTAGATTAGATAGACAAGAACGCATTTCAAATTCTTAATCTACGGAAAATTTTCTATATAATAAGCAAGCAAGTTAAAAGGAAAATTTATCACATGAAAAAATAATTTATAAAAATAAAAAAAATGGTTGTTTGTAAAGTAGGTTTACGATCGAGATGTTTACGTGATAACGTCTTATTGGTGATATAAGTTTTTGTGAAGTAAGGAATTAATGAAGATAACAATTTTTTCAAATTTTAAATTACGTAAAATCACGTAAATTTATCTGTTTCCAATCTGGGTAATTCTGTTCAGGATAGGACGATGATAGGAAAAGTAAGAAATAAAAGGAAGGGTTTCAGCTGTTATGTGCCTTGCAAAAGTCAGGTCGATGGTTGTTCCTTTTAATGTAGTAGACTTTGAAACATCTGACAAGTTTTCAAGATTGAACGTTTCTTTCATGAATCTGAGGAATGAGTCATCTGTCTTAACGTTTTTGTTGAAATCACCACACAGAAGAATGGGTATATTAGAATCAACTTGAAGGAACGGGGTCACGTACTGGGTGTTGTGAATGTACGGACCGAGTGCTTGCCAGAGTAACATTCCGACGTTTTGCGTACTAGCTCCTGGATGAACGTATATAGCGCCGAGCACAAACTTGAAGGTGGTATCTGCAGTAAAGCAAGTAACTTCAGCCAAGCACACATCTCCTGAGGTTTTGATGTGACAAGCTGAGTCTGTAATCGCAATTTCAACCACTTTCGCTGTAGATGGCGATGATAATCTGCAATAGATTGCAACTCCTCCAGCTGCGTTGGTGTCTGAATCAGTTCGATTATTATTCCTGGATATGCACTTATAATTGTTAATCGGAATTGGTGGACAATTGTCTCGCATCCACGTTTCAGTCAGAACTAAATAGTCGGATCTTAGTATGACTGTATCTGTTTCTAAATCCTCAACGTGGGCGCTTAAACTTTGACAATTGATGTTTGTTATAATTGTTTGTCCCAAGTCGGTAGCATCATCACAGAATTTTAGCGCTTTCTTTGTGATTGTCTGGAGATGGTGTCCACGAAGTCGGTTGTATTCATCGCGAATCTCTCTCGTAGTTTCAGAATCGTTTCCTTGTCGACCATGTTTGAAATTGAAGCAAGAATCTTTTTCTGTAATGATAAACAAGCCTTCGATACTTGTTACGCGACTCAAGGCCACATACACTAATTGCAATGGTTGCTGAGAAGAGTACTTGTATACAATGATGTCAAATGTCCCACCTTGGGACTTGTGGATTGTAATGGCACAAGCAGGCATGCAAGGAAACTGTTTCCGTTTGCACTTCACTGTTTTTGACAAAGTAATATTGACAATTTTCTTGTACACTGGTATCCAATCGACAGATAAAGTGTTTGGCTTGCTGACGACATGTGGTCGACATTTGATTTTAGCATTAACACCCGTGTTTTTGTCTGGAAATTCAAACCAAAGAGTAATGATATCGTCTTCAGCTTGTGGCGGAGTTGTGCTTGTCGATGAATTTTCATCTACGTTGACCGGTTGACGTTCGATGTGCTTCAAAACTCCAATAGCACCATTAACCAATCCATCCGAGACGTCGATGTTAGATGTTATCATGTAAGGATAACCTTCTGCTAATGGCAACATGTATGGCAATCCGTCTGTCTCTGAAACCGTCATCTTGTGAAGTTGCCCTTGACACTGGTGTCTCTCAGAATTATTTGCATATCCGAGCATAATATCTGTGGTGACTAAGTTGTGTGCGTTGTTAATTGCACTTCGGTTATAAAAATCCACTTCTTGGTTGCTGTAAAACAACCGAACGGCGTCAGGAACGTTTTCTTTGCACCAGGCTGTACTCTTGTGTCTGGATTCAATAAGTGTGATCTCATTGTCACTAAGTTTGAGTCCGTTTCCAATTTTAGTGAGGATTGAAGAAAACAGTTCATCGGTTTGTCGTACAACACGTACCAGAGGAAAGAATTTGATGGTTTGCCAAAGTGGAGATCCTCCCAGGTCGTTGCTTGAAATTTTAAAACACGGAAGGGCACGTACTGGTGGTAGCTGCCTGAAGTCTCCGCATAAGATCACATGAATGCCTCCAAATGGTTGATCGAAATTACCAGTGATCTGTTGCAGTCGATAATTGATTTTACGCAGTATAGCCGCACTCATCATGCTGATCTCGTCGATGAAAACGGCTCTTACGCCAACGAACATGTTCCTGTATGCTTGCAACGTTTCAGAAGATAGATCTTTTATGACTCGAGATGTTGTAAGACGGAACGCTGAGTGAACTGTTGTTCCACCAAGAGGAACTGCTGCTTTACCTGTACTTGCACAAGCCAAGTAGGCATTGTTAAGTGAGTTGTGATTTTCTGCTACACGTTTTCTGTACTCACGATTTCGCAGGGCCTTCTTTTCGGCAATGGTGGGTATTGCAGACGTTGACGGCAAAGCATCCTCGGTCTCCATCAGCGTACTGGATGTTGAAGGAATGTGTGCACAGGGATCCATCATGTTGAGCGTGGTGATTTCTTCAGTCTCCATCAGTAAACACTACGACAATTCATTTTTATTATCATAACATAACCTCTAAATTTCGTTTGTTTACACGTGTCTTTTTTCCATCTTTCATTACTTTTACAAGTTTATTCAAGAATGTTAATTGTTAGTAAGTAGGCTATTTTATTAACCTTTTTTTGTTGCAATTATTGTAACACTTCACTTGCACTTCAAATTTTGTTTCACTGTCTTTTGTTTCACATTCAACGAAAACTTAACCGCACGAGAAAATCTCCATTCGTTTGTATGCCGCTAGAGTGAGAGAGACGGAAGATCGGTCCACTCACTCGAACGCTATGCCTGCCTCCGCTCGTGTGGATTTCACGGAATGACTGGCAGCGCTCGAGATGAGACGGGAGATCGGTCCGTCTCTCTCTCGTTATAACGAGAGGGGGGTATACCTGCGATCGACCTCGAGAGGTCTCGTGACACAGTTTCTGAACAGTCACCCAACTAAAACGATTTTAAAGACGTTATCACGTCAAAAAATGGGCAAATACGAGTCAGTTACACCCGAGTTACTTGTACCGCAAGCTTTGTACAGTGCCCTGAATGGGAGTCACATTTACCGCTAGCCTCAAACGCAGGATACCGTCACCCCCCCCGGTGCTCTGAACACGAGTCACTAGTACTGTCACAGTGCTACGGTACGCGAATAGACAGAATTGCACATTCAAAAATAACTAGCAGAATTCAAAAAAATTAAAAAATTCTGAAGGGATCCCAAGATATGGCCATTTTACCCCGCCTTTTTTAAAAATTGCAAGAAAAAGACTAATTTTGGTGGCCATTATGAAGCAATTACGACGAAATTTCGTGGGGGTTCTGTGGTGCATTCTAAAAATACGCTCTTGCTCTATCAAAAAATAAATAAAAAGCTGAAATATGACAAAAGGTTACCAAGATATGGCCTGTTTTCCACCGCGTGTTTTGAAAATTGCAAGAAAAGGCGTAACTTTGTCGGCCATTTTGTGCCAGTTACGATCATATTTCGTAGACTTAAGCTCTACGAAAGGTGAAGTGTAAAAATGCACTCTTGCCCGATCATAAAAAAAAATAAAAGAAAAATACAGCAACGGGTTCTCGAGATGTGACCTGTTTTCAACCGCGTGTTTTCAAAAATGCAAGAAAGGGGGCAAACTTCGGCGGCCATTTTATGGCAATTACGACCGAATTTCGCTGGGGATTAAGGGGTGCATCTTCAGAATGCACTCTTGTCCTATTATAAAATAAATAAAAAGCTAAAATATGACAAAAAGGTTCCCGAGATATGGCCTGCTTTCCACCGCGGGTTTTGAAAATTGCAAGAAAAGGCCTAAATTTGGCGGCCATTTTGCGGCAGTTACGACCAATTTTCGCGGGGGTTCAGGGGTTCATTTTGTAAATGCACTCTAGTCCTATCATAAAATAAAGAAAAGACTAAAATATCACGAAGGATTCCCGAGATATGGCCTGTTTTCCACCGCTTGTTTGCAAATTTGCAAAAAAAGAAGCCTAACTTTGATGGCCATTTTGAGGCAGTTACGACCGATTTTCTCGGTGGTTCAGGGGTTTATTTTAAAAATTCACTCTTGCCCTATCATAAAATAAAGAAAAAACTAAAATATGACAAAGGGTTCCCGAGACATATTTCGGGCCATCGCCTGTTTTCCACCGTGTGTTTTGAAAAACGCGAAAAACGGGCAAACTTGTCGTTTCCTTCGTTTTCTGTATTATCCACAATTAAAATAAACAAGGCACCCTTAATTCGCGAGCTATTGCAATACGCAGGTCATAAAACATTTGACCGAATAATAACTTAATATTGTTGCATAATTACGGGTAAACTACGAGTCCAACAGTAAAAATTTACTAAAATAAAATGATCAGGAGAACGGTTTATAACAACATCCAAAATAAAAACTTATAATTTTTAAATTTAATTCTTCTGTGGAAAATGTGAGTTTACATTTGATCAAATTGAGGGATAACTGTGAGTCCACCAGTAAAATTTGATTTAAATAAAATGTTCAGGATCACTTCTTACAGGTACATTCAAAATAAAAACTTTAAATTTCTAAATTTAATTTTTCCTCACATTGGATCAAATTGCAGGAAAACTATAATTCCAGGAGTAAAATTTTATTAAAATAAAATGCTCAGGGAGACCTTCTATAACAACTTCCGAAATAAAAACTTTAAATTTACAAATTTAATTTTTCGGTGGTAAATGTGTGTTTACATTTTATCAAATTGCGGGAAAACTATTACCTCAAGAGTAAAATTTTTCAGAAATAAAATGCTCAGGAGGACCTTTTATGGTAACATAGCTCTGAACAACCGTAATACAAAAGTTTGAAATTCCATTTTCAAATTTTCTGCGGAAAGCTTGACCGAAATTTCCACAAAAAGAAGTTTAAGATATTCATTCTCTAATTGCAGGAAAACCTTAAAATAGAAAAATAGATACTATGGACGTTGAAAAATTTCACTCACCAGTGTATCGAACACCGTAAATCAAATGCGAGTAGATACTGAAATAAACAAGAAACAAAACATTAGTTATACAATTTCGGACAATGTTGAAATGAATCCGAGTTCGGGAGGAACCCAAACTTTGCCTTAAAAATGGTCTTATTTGCCATAATTTTTTAAATAATAATATTTACCAGGTAGAACAGCCGCTCGTCGTGTTCTGCTGAAGACAAAGTAGGGTAAAAGAGGGTAATGGGGGTCACTTAAGGGAGAACTCAAATATAATTTAAATTATAAACAAAATACTTATTGCAATCGCTTATAAGCATTGTTTACTTAAATACCTATTATTTGAAATAATTTTCAGTCACTTTGACAATCAATTTTGGATATTATTAAAGTTTAAAAAACAGATTTGACTCCCATTACACCGACATGCGGGTAATGGTGGTCACCCTGGGGACAATCGGAATCAAACGAAATCTAGCAGATATCGCAGACATAATATTCCGCAAAGTCCCACCCAGTGCATTTCACATGAGCCCATAGCCCACATGAAGTGCATCTGAACCACATTTAATTGTTTTTTAAATCGTTGCACATTAGACATCAGTTTTCCAAATCTTCATCCTCATCGCCCTGGCATAAGTCATCAGTGCCAATATTGGAATCATAAGTTTTGTTACTTTCCTGCAGTATCGTTTCTGCAAGAAGGCTATTGAAAAATAAGTCACATTGCTTTTTATAGGCCATTTAGAGCGGACTAAAGACAAAAACGTCCATTGGGAGTCGCATGACTCCCATTGCCCACAATTGCACTATTGTGAAAAAAAAAACAAAAAAAATATTTCTTCAAAACATTAATGTAATCTGAACTGCACATCACGATTTTGAATGTTTAACTAAGACTATATAAAAGTTTCATTCGAATATTGCAAGATATTCGACACTTATCTTCTAATTTGCGTGGACGTAAAATTAGATCAGCGGAGCTCAAAAATAAAATATTGGCGTATCTCAATGATACACGCACCGATTTGCATGATTTGTCGGGGGTGGCACTGGGGGGCCAGAACGGAGGTAGAAACGCCGTTTACGCGTTACTCGTAACTATTGTTTCGTGGATATATGGGTGACTCCCATTACCCGCTGACTCCCATTACCCTACTCTCCCCTATTAGTACTTATCGCACGAAGTGAGAGTTGCGTGCCGGCTACACAACAACTGGGCACGTTGACTTTAACCCGCAGGAATATTTGTAGCGAAAACATGCATTATTGCGCCATCTGTGGTGACTTTTGGGTACCTCAAGAAAATTCAAAGAGTATCAAAAAGTGTGGCGTGCACATGAGGCAGTGAGTAATTGGCTATGAGTCCGAGTATGGTTACGCACTTAAATAGCAGTGCACATGTGTCACACATACACGCAACTACGCATGCACCACCCTGTCTAAACAAATAGCAATTTTTACACATAACTCGAAGCTTCAAATGAAGATGTCGCTAGAATGTATAAATTCAAAATAAATTAACTGAATTTTGCAAGTTTAATGCAAATATTTATCAATTTAGCAATAAATAAACATAATACACTACATAAGTAGTCAATAAATGTATATACTTGTCTTAAAATCATATATTTTGTTTAAAATTGCATCAAATCTCTTCGAAAACAACAAAAAATCATAAAAACCTTTACATTTATTTCTGTACGAATTTACTCTTGAAATTAAATACCTATATCATTTTAGTTAATAGAAATCATCAAATATTCATTAATTTATATTATTTTCCGTCGGAAACGCAAATTTGCAAATTTTTGCGGGTTGCAGGTCCAATTCCTGCCACAGACAAGTACAACCCGACGTAGAATTTAATAATTCTACATCTCTAGATGCCCCGCTAAAATTTGTACGCCGCCTCGTTCGTGAGAAATGATTAAAAAGATGTATGTATTACGAACACGAGTGTATAAAAGAAGCAAGTAATGATAGCCTACCAATATGTTATGCGTTGCTACACTTCGACAAGGGCTGACGATGATAATAATCTGCGAAATAATTTACATTGTTAAGGAGAAGTGCGAGAACGGGTGTTATTATTTATTATATTTTAAATCGGAAGTCGACCGACGAAGCGAATCAAGTTCACATTCAAATTTAGCTCATGACTGCGATCGGAATTCGAAAGCGATTGCTAAAACAAAGAAGAGGACGAGAGTTAGAGCCAGCCCCCTTCAACTCCGTGTTGCAGAAAACGACTCAATTGTCACAGGGAGAGCGTATATTTACAGAGAAGTATAGTTGCAACGGTTGCAATATAGTTGCGTAGTTTAGCCATATGATAACAACACAAACGGTAAGCAGCTGTCGTGCAACTAAACTACCAGCGCCAGTCAGAGGTGACAGATGTGACAGGGGGCTGGTCATACATGTGAAATCAAATATAACCTTAATATTTTTGCTCAAAACCTAAAAAGTAGCAATTTCAAAACAAATGAAATGTGAAATAATTAACAATAGGACAATATAAAAAGAGTTATCAAAAGGGTAGAAATGTCAGTGATGTCGTTGACAAAATTTATTCTGTCATTTTTGTAGGGGTTAAATCTTATTATTTACTAGTTTTATTCTCTTTTTATTCCCAATAAATATGTATAATCCCAATAGATTTTCAAAATTACTAGCTCGCTATGCTTTTCATATACGATATTTGAGCCGTACGGCAAGTGGGCCAGTGAGGGTACGTTTTGCACCTAGTCCAACAGGTAAAAAACTAATATTGTATAAATAATACACTAAATCTAATTTTTGAATTAATTACATATGCTAAAAGGTGAAATGCATATTGGGGGTCTCAGAACCGCATTGTACAACTATTTCTATGCGCGTCAGAATTCCGGTCGCTTTATTTTGAGATTAGAAGACACTGATCAAAGTCGTTTGGTTCCTGGTGCTGCAGCTCAGATTCAAGATGACTTGGCATGGCTGGGTTTAAGAATTGACGAGGGGCCACAGATTGGAGGCCCACATGCACCTTATACACAGAGTGAACGTCTTCATATATATGCGTACGCGATTTTTAACTAAATATGTTTAGAGACTAAAACTTGTAATATTTTAGTAAGTATATTCATCAATTACTGAAGAGTGGTCACGCCTATTATTGTTTCTGCACGGAAAAACGCCTAGACCTTTTGCGGAAGGAAGCCATTAGAAACCGACAAATTGCCAAATATGACAATCGATGCCGTACTTTAAAGCATGATGAAGCGAACATGCGGATAAACAAGGGTGATCCATGTTGTATTAGATTTAAATTGAATGGCGATGACGATTGTGCATCTTTTGATGATTTAATCTATGGTAAGATCAAGTACGATATACGACTAAATGAAGGCGATCCGATCATTGTGAAATCAGATGGTTTTCCAACTTATCATATCGCAAATGTGATCGATGATCATTTGATGGAAATCTCGCATGTGTTGCGCGGTGTGGAGTGGCAAATTTCAACCACCAAGCATCTGATGATATACAAGTAAGATGTCAATTAGTATGATATACTTATAAACTTGATTTATCTTGATTATTTGAAGAGCTTTTGGTTGGAAACCGCCGATTTTCGGACACTTGCCTCTGCTTGTTGATGCAAACGGCAATAAACTGAGCAAACGCAATAAAGACACACGGCTAGGTCAGTACAGACAAGATGGAATATTTCCAAACGCGTTGATTAACTTTGTCACAACTTCTGGAGGTGGCTTCATTGACGACATCGATAGAGGAATTAAGCCAAAAAGTTATAATATGTCACAACTGATTCTTAGGGTTTGTATTACCTTTGTGTCTATATTGATTTATGTAGGAATTGTGTAACGTAAAATCTTTGAATACAGTTTAATATTGGCGCAATTAAGTCATCCCCTGGAAAGTTTGATTTGGATCGCCTGTTGGAGTACAATAGGCTTGAATTGGAAAACCTAGTCAAAGACGAAAATAGTCGTCTTAATCTCGTCAAATCTTTACAAGTTATGGTGAAGCAACATTTTATGGGAAAGTATGTGAATTATTAGGTTAAGTGAGGTTATGTTGGGTACAACTTACTTTCCCTGTCTAGAACCGATAACTTACTGCAACTCCACAACGAGCACGTAGATATGATTGTACGGTGGTCATTGAATCGCATTACAAAATTATCTGACTTACTGCAAGAGGAATATCAGTATTTATGGTGCATCCCGGACGTGAATATTGAAAACTTCGACGAATCGGATATCGAGATCGTGCGTTTGTTTTGCCACGCACTGGAAAACAAACAGATCTACCTTAACAAGCAAGCAATTAACAGATACCTGCAGAAATTGGCGGGAGATTACAACTACAAATTCCCAGCATTGATGAAGCTAATACGCCAAGTGCTAAGCGGATTACAGGTAATTTATAATTGTTATAATTTTACGTTTCTTTGTCATATCTGTTAATTTAATTGTTATTAGACCGGGCCTAGTGTGGCTGACATGTTGATCATTCTGGGCAAGGATAATTCGCTACTGCGACTGCGCATGTTCGTAGAAAAATCTGAGGCAAAAATGAAGCGTAGTACGTGGGGCAGCGGAAATATGAAGTAAGTCATCGCCATAGTAATACAGCGCCTTAAATTTTTGTGATCAATTAGGGTTTGTTACAAAATTTGTTTCATCCTCTTCATCCCTTAGAAAATAAAATGTTAGTTGGAAATATTACAGATTTCTATCATAATCCTTGTTTTTTTGTTCAAACTATGTATTTTCTCTTTTTTAAATTGACGAATTGACATTGATTCGAACTTCCCATTGCGTTCAAGTTTTTAACATTTCGTTCAGACGTCCAGTAAATAAAAATGCGTGCACGCAATACACCGAACTTCACGCGTGAAAATGAATTTAGTTTTTTTTTTCTTAGGCCTACTTATTACAATTTTCGATACAGTTCAAAATTCAAATTCACTAATGAAAACAGCCACGACTCATGTGGGTGCTTTGTTCTGGGAGATGTTTATTCGCACTTACATTTGTTGCCGTACATCGAAATGCGAAAGCAAACTAAAACTCTACACGTCTTTCATCAACAATGCAATGTTGTGTGATCAGGTTACTAGTAACTAAACGGACGTGCCTTATCAAGAATTCATTCATACAATAATAGCATCAAAATTATCGACTCGTTGCAGTAAACAAAAAAAAACAAATAGCGTCTAGTATATACAGAATTTTGTTTTTAATACTATTACGACTGAGTATATTCATCCTCTTTGTTTCGCATTCGCTTTCATCAGTTTTCGAAGTTATGCTAACGTAAAGTTTAAAAACACAATCGCATGAATAACAAATTTAGGCCCTAATTCCTCGGCGATACAATATTACAAGTCATAAGAAACAATCGTAAATGAGAAGTTCACCTCGACAATGAATTCTTGTTACATTGAGTGTCAACAATTTCTAAGAGCACATTCTCTCACTCTCACTCTGTTTCTCCGCGCAACACATGTTGGGCTTACGATTTCCATCAAATCTTATTGCTGATACAGTCAATCGCGAGTGCTGTCAACATAAAGTTATACAATATTAATCGAACGAAATAGTTAAATAAATTATAAGCATATTGAAAATGCCACGTTATATAGGTACTTAATCGAAACAACTGTACATTGTAACATTATTCGCATGTAAGTCTTTACATATATCATGTCGTGGGGGGCTGGGGTGAACGATGAGATGTGCGTCCATGCCATGGGCGATGAGACTGTGGTCCGAGCACACGCTACGCATCATCGTCGAAGTTACAAAAAGGACTACTGTGGCGAATGCACATTGATGATGACTGTTGGTACAAAAAATGACTCGCGCGACAGATACACTCTAGTACAAGTAGTAATAGTAGTATGCTTCTTCACTAACGATAGTTTTACAATTATATTTAGGTAATATGTATAGTCAGTTCAGTCTGCGAATTGTTTCCGTAATTGTTTGTGTTGTTGTTGCTTCGTTTTCGAGGGACGTCAATATAGGGGTTTGTATGCTGCGTGCAATTGTGTGCCGAGGAGCAATTCGTTCGTCCCGACCGAGAGGAGAAGGGGTATTGATATATCGATATATCTCCCTACAAATACATACCTCTAAATTAAAAATCATCACAAGGTTTCAATTATCATAAAAATAATAGCTTTGGTAATAATAGTAAATAGTTAGTTACAAGAGAAACGAAGTTGTGGCTTGCGCCGCGTGCGCGCAAGAAGTAGTCTAAAAGAGAGCGACACTGCGTGGTCGGAGAGCGCGGGGCCCGCGTTCCCGTTTTCCACCGCCGGGACGAGCGCGCGCGCGCACATCCGACCGGAAGCAATACTTGTTCGTTCACTCCGCACACACTCGTGTCCATGCGCGTCCTGCCGGCTGTCCACAATCACGCCGCTCGTCTTATCTCTCCATTCGAAACGAAATTCATAAAAAATCATAAATAAGGTCTTTCGCGCTTCGCGGGCGGCTTGGCGTAGAAAAACGGAAAGTAATTCATCCGGCGACGTGGTTACATAATCGCAGAGTAGTAACTAACGTAGGCGTCGTAGAATAAAGAAAAACCTAACTTAAAAACACTAGTAGAAAATAATTGAGAAAAACAGTCCATGATTGCTTTTGATCACTAAATCGGGCGGCGTCTTCGCACGCGCGCACCGTATTGGAGTCTCGCGACGCGGACGAGGGGTATATGGGTATGTGTGTGTGTGTATGTGATTTCTTATTTGGCAGTGTGACGGAGTGGGCGCGCCGGGTGAGCGTGGCCGTCTCTGTCGCCCCTTTGTCCTTTGGCCGGCGTCGCGCGTGCTGTATGCCCGCTTGGTCCGATGAGCTACTCGTCCGTCAGCTCGAACACTACGTCCTGATCCTGTTGTTGCTGCTGCGCGCTTTTCCGCAGTCTCAGCGCAGCGAGCTCCTCTGCGGTGCGCACCTTTCGGTACTCGAAGACGAGTGGGAATATGTGCTCGATCGCTGACTGCACGTCCGCAACGCAAGGTGCTGAAATGTTCACCATTACCATTAGTGAATATTCTTTAATACCGAATAAAACAATTACCTGTGACAGTGACGCTGCCCGTTGAGAAGATCTTTAATGTTGCTTTAGGCACCTTCAGTTTGTACGTAACTCCGGGGTGCAATTCGGGTTCATACCTGAAATATTATCAATAAAGTAAACAAACACTTAACGAGTTATAAGATGACGATTAATAGTAATGGTACTCACTCGGCTTCTTTGTGTCTTTCGGAAAAGGAATTAATCTTAATTCCGAACGGCATGCAGCAGGTGCCCAGCACGTTTACAACCCGATAGTTGTTGAATCGCACGTGGAATCCGAGCTTCTGAAGAGCGCGGGCGAAACGTCTGGCGGCCACCTTCGCCTGCGGCTCGCTGGTGGCGCCCGTACACGTAACCTTACCGGAGGACCAAATACTTGCTGTAGTATAGGGTCGGCGGATCTTCATCGTAATCATGCCATTCTCCTTGCGGTACTCGACGTTGGTGCCGTTGAGCGCGATCTCGCGTAAGTTCAAATGACAACTAACACTAAAACTGCACACCACATTGTTGATCACAATGTCTATCTCGGGTTCCTCGGCAGGCGGATTGTTTATTGCGACTGCCGTGGGCTCCTCATCGCACACGTCTTCCTCCATCTCCTGCTTGATTGGGCTGAGTGCACCGTCGCCACATGGGTCCACTTGAGTAGTGAAGCCGGTGAGATTAGCTAGCTCAGGCACCTGGTGCATAAGGCCGTTGCCGTTCGGCACCGCACGCCCCGACTTGATGCCGTTTTTCTGGAGCGCCGTGACTGTAGCCATATCACACCACGTACTGATGGCTGGAACAAAAGCATACCAGAACTGGATTAGTCATACTGATTCCCATACAATGCATGTCTCATCAAGTATTTCATCCCCATCCCCGGGCTGGGCAGCAAATTCGTGGAAATTTTGGTTGTTTGAGTGGTGAAAAAGCGCGGAAAATCGCACTGAGGGTAAACAGACACACTCACACGATGTGCGTGATGTGCGCGCATCGTGTGCACGGTGCACACACGGTTTCGCAACAATCGGCTGGACCGTTGTTTACACCCGAATTAACGCCGCGCGGACGCACGCATCGAATGCGGCGCTTGTGCACACTTTAATAGAACGCGAGGAGCGGCGGCAAGAGCGCGCCGCTCGCAGAGGAAGGAAGTCGCGCGGCGAGTATCCGATACGACTGGGAATCGCGAGGCAAAACGGCGCCAGCGGGCGACCACCGCCCGCCAAGACCGGTGCGTAGATAAGTCACTCACCTGCCGTTCAAAGCAATAGCACCTCAGCCGGTTCGTGGTTGAAATTGTGCGCTGCGAGCGTGGAGTTTTGTTTAAATGGATGTAATTCCATTGTTTGCAGCCATGACACACGCACCAACACCACAGCCAATACTGAACCGTGCGATCTGCGATCCGCTCGCCGCGCTCAGCCTTTGACTCGGCTGGTGGCGCTACTATCGCCAACCAAATCTTGCAACATGTTGCCAAAATTATTCGAGAACATTCAGGGTATGCATTTCTTCACCAATGTTTTTTTTCTAAATTTTTGCTAAGAAATATTCGAAATATTTGCCCAAATGTTTATTAAATTATTTATTTATTTTTTTATTAAAAATTACTAGAATTAAAATCAAATTGCGAAAAGGGTTTGTATAATTTTGAATCTAAGATAGATAAAGTTTTCGTTTCTATGACATATTTTTTTTATAAAAATGAATAACCATTTTTATATATTAAATTAGTTTAATAAAACAAAATGCGTTCCACCTACCAATTTATAAAATTCACTTGGCAATGAGGCAAGGCAAAAATGTCAGAATTGCAATACTAGATTCTTATACAAAATTATTTAAATTTTCCGTCAATCTCAATATAATTAATAACGTTAATGGTTTCTCCTGAATTAAAAAATCCCGCACAGTTCGACAATGCCTTGCGCTGTACGCAACGAACTAACGACATTTGAATGAAAACAACCAATTTATAGGTTGTAAAATGCAGTCTGCGCATTTAGTCATGCGCGAGTTACAGGAACCTGTACGAATCCGTCAACCGAAGCTGAAGCGCATTAAACAACATGGCGGAATGAAAAGCATTCCCCGGTCGTGTTTTTCTTCCCATCGTCAATGTTTTCCCAGTTTTGTGTACACATTTGAGAATCGAATTACGAGCGCGCCTCCGTCAGGATGAGTTTCTCTAGCGACGAGGTAAATTTCCTCGTCTACAGATACCTCCAGGAGTCAGGTATGTTAAATTTTCGCGCGATAACCGTTTTGCCGCGCCGGTAGCCAACTAAATTCCCACTCTAATAAATGTTGAATTTTGTTTTAGGATTCCAGCACTCCGCATACACTTTCGGTATTGAGTCGCACATTTCGCAATCTAACATAAATGGTGCTCTGGTTCCACCGGCGGCCCTTTTGAACATTCTGCAAAAAGGGCTTCAGTACACAGAAGCTGAGATAAGCTTAGCTGATGATGGAACAGAGCAGAGGATTGTAGAGAGCTTGAGTCTAATTGATGCTGTGATGCCTGATGTGGTGGCAAGCAGGCAAAATCAACAAAATGCACAGAAACAAGCCATCAAGAGTGAAGTTACAGACACCAATGGGGAGGAAGCTGTGGTTTCAACACAGAATGAAGTTATGGAGGTGGATAACTCAAATGAAATTCCTTCTTCCAAGGCTACAGTACTCAGGGGGCATGAGAGTGAAGTTTTCATTTGTGCCTGGAATCCAACCACAGATCTATTGGCCAGTGGTTCAGGGGACAGTACAGCAAGACTTTGGGATATGTCTGATAACTCTGCCAGTCCTAATCAGCTAATTCTGAGGCATTGTATTCAGAGAGGTGGCACTGAAGTGCCAAGCAACAAAGATGTCACATCATTGGACTGGAATGTAAGTCAATGCTCTGGTACTGTTTGAAATTATGTAATATAATATTATTGTTTATTTATGGCAGTGTGATGGCACATACTTGGCAACGGGCAGCTACGATGGTTATGCACGAATCTGGCATACAGACGGACGACTTGCACGAACTCTCGGCCAACACAAGGGCCCAATCTTTGCACTGAAGTGGAACAAACGCGGCAACTACATCCTCTCCGCCGGTGTTGACAAGACCACCATAATATGGGACGCTGCCAGTGGGCAGTGCACTCAGCAGTTTAGTTTCCACTCGGCGCCAGCACTTGATGTCGACTGGCAAACAAATACGAGCTTCGCCAGTTGCTCGACTGACCAGTGCATCCACGTCTGCAAGTTGACCGTCGATAAACCAATCAAGTCCTTCCAGGGTCACACCAACGAGGTGAACGCCATCAAATGGGATCCACAGGGTAACCTGCTCGCATCCTGCTCCGACGACATGACGCTCAAGATTTGGTCGATGAACCAAACCACATGCGTGCACGATCTTGCTGCGCACGCTAAAGAAATCTACACGATCAAATGGTCCCCAACGGGCCCCGGCACATCCAATCCGAATATGAACCTCATCCTCGCGTCAGCCAGTTTCGACTCCACAGTACGACTCTGGGATGTTGAGCGCGGTGCATGCATACACACCCTGCTAAAACATACCGAACCCGTATATTCGGTGGCGTTCAGTCCTGATGGTAAATTCCTCGCCAGTGGAAGCTTCGATAAATGTGTGCACATCTGGTCGACGCAAAGCGGTCAATTGGTGCACAGCTACAAAGGCACAGGCGGTATCTTTGAGGTGTGCTGGAATAGCCGCGGGGACAAAGTGGGCGCTAGCGCGTCTGATGGCAGCGTGTTTGTACTCGACTTGCGCAAGTTATAAACATTTACGGGTGCGATATTGAACACGGAACGAATTTGTATTAAGACTTATAACTATTACGCGAAGACATATTTTCTTACTCAATTTCTAGGTCTAGGACGGCGGTACACATTTCCTTACTTGTAGTTATTTTATGACGTTGTGTACAATGTACATTTTATTATACATATTTATATTAAAATCAGAGAAGATTAAGCATTAACATTAAAACGTCTTGTTAAAGCATTCAGTTGTTATTCTTCGTTCATGTCATTCGTCTTTTATACGCATACAATTGCTCGTGGTCATAATGCGTGTGGATTAATTTGTACATGTACTCAAAGAAGTACAGGAGGTTGTCATACTGTCCATTGTAGGCTTCTTTTTCTCTCGACATGTATGTTTCACCGCTATACGTTTGTAAACTCTCATCAACGAAACAACTAGCAAGTCCGCTGTACTCAGGGTGCACACCAAATGCATTAATATGCATTTCTATCACAAACTGATGAATTGCTTCAATTGTGGCTAAATACCAACGCGGGCTGCCTTTTTGATGCCGCCAGAATTGCGAAATGCGATTCTGCAGCACAACGCAAGATAATTTACGAATTCGTTCATCTTTATAAATACTTCTGCTCTGGTTCCAGGTGCTGTCAATAAAAACGGCCCTATTTACAGGCATATTTCCCTGCAGACCTGATTTATTTTTATATGCCCTTGGCACTAAGTTTGAGAGCAGTGTTCCTTTGTGGAAACCTTTCTCCTCTTCTTCTTGGCATTCATTTGACTGGATTGTTTCATGTCCAAACAATTGAGGAATGTCCAGAGCTGTCTGGCTAGGAAAAATTAACACCACATGTTCATTTTCTATATCATAAGAAGGAATATCGGGAAATGTATAGACTCTAACATCTTCTGATGATAGTATTGCTGCATGAGCTGCTGTGCTTTTGCCATCAATCTCTTGTTTGTGTTTGATTATGTCAATCTTTAAAGGCAACTGAAACAAATGAATAATATGCAGTTATATCTCAGGGTTTTTACATAATAATCATGTAAAACTTACTTTTACGTGTGGGATTACTCCTTGCAATTTGGGATGTGGAGTATAACATGTGTAACAAAAGAATTTACGTGATTTGTGGCATACGCCGCAGGAGTAACGGTCTTCAAACGTGTTCAACACTGAATTGTCATCTATCCGAAGGTGTTTGAAGGGATTCTCGGCACTAGGTCGACCTTCTGCACTATTCGGATGCGTCATTTTATCATAATTCACTTATTTATTTATTGTTTCGACGTTTTTAAAGTTTAAGTGTATTCAAAGTGTTGAATACATGCGATAATTTTTGCGTGTTAAAAAGTAGGTTATGTGAGTGAACAATCTTTGTGGTCATAGTCGCTAAAGGTAGCAATAAAATTAGTTGCCTATTAAACAAAAGCGGTCGAAAAGGATCGAAAGAAATTTATATTGCAAACAAAAAAGCATGTTTTGCTACCAATTAATATATAATCCTGATTTAACAGTTGTTTAAATCAAATTATTGAAAAAATTCTGAAAGTACTTTGCCAAAATGAAAAACATAAATAATTCTCAGTAATAACAATTATAAATTAATATAGATTTCCGCAATGTTTTTCTGGAAATCAATTAACATACTTATATTGAAATATTTAATTTCTTTGTTATGGCTTGTTAATTTTAGTTGATTTTTTGAAAAACGCCATTTGTTTTCGAACTACTAATATTGATTGACGATTCTTTGTAATATCGCTCCTCAAATTATCCTCATTAAACATTTTCAACATTTTTGGATGAATCATATCATCTATATTCATAGAATCAGACTCCGCGGACAATTCCTTCACGTGCATTTCCAATGGAATTTTCTTCTTTATTAATTCCTCCTTTGTTCGGATTAGTTCTTGATTAAGTGTTAGTTCTTTTTTAACCATAGCTTCCAAATTATCGGAAGACTATTAAAAAATATGTTTAAATATTTTACCATATATATTGAGGAAAAACATACCTTTTCAGCAATAAAATCTTTATACTTTTCCAGAAATATTTTATCCTCTTCAACAATTTGTGTTCTAAAAATAAGACGCTTAAAAAAACTCATCGAATTTAAAGATATATACCTTACAATAACTCGTCGTGTTTTTGCCTCATTTCTTTCAATTTCAATCTAACTGCTTCGTAGTTTTTTGAAGCAGGTGCATACTGTTTTTCGGCAGCTTGATACATGCCAAGTGGTTTGATTTGACTGGTGCGCAGTTTATCATTGATCAGTTTCAAATTTGTCAATTCCGTGTGTATATTAGCATGTTCATGAATACTCTTCCGAGTTTCCTCTTGTAGAGCGTTTCTTTCAGTTTCCAACTCAATCTGACTGTTGCAGAGTTCCTGAAGTTGTTTCAAAGCCGATTGATAATCCTGATGAACTTCATCCTAGAATTAAAAAATAAGTTAATACAGTCATTTAAAAATTTATTAACTTTGAAGCAAGGTTTTTATCTTTTTTCTTTTGTCCAAATATTTTATTGATTTACAGCGCCGTACAGTAATTGTTTTAAAGACTCTTCATTTATGGTTTGTAACTTATCGCTTGTAGATACTTCTTGAGTATCCATTGTAGCACTTAACATTTTGTTACAACTAATTGACATATTAGACGTGTGTGTCGTCAGCGCTGTAACTTCACTACTAACTTCATTCCCAACAGTTCCTATTAATGAGTAGAATTCGCCAACTTTTTCTTTTTCCTTCTCATTAACAACAATTGATTTACAATCAACTACTTGAGTGTCATGTGACCCACTAGGAAAACTATTATTAAATGTTATTAAATTTTGCCCATCAAAAGTAAAATTCTGACCAATAATTTGCCCATCCGTATTGAACACTATATTAACTTGATTCAAACTCAAATTTAAGTTATCCCTATCTGATTCATGAGTTGTTGCTGTTGTGGGAGACGATGTAGCAGGTGATGGCGTTGGAGTTTTGATAACGTCCCCCGGTGGCATTGCTGTGCACTTGTGCGATCTTTGGCTCACTTTATACCGATATGATTTGCCACAAGCAGTACATTTGTAAGGTAAAACTCCAGTATGAATCCTTTTATGTACCAGATAAGAAACTCTCTGTCTGAAACACTTTCCACAAAATTCGCAGGCAAATGGTCGCTCTCCTGAATGTATCCTCTCGTGATTGTGTAGCGTCGAGAGTTCTTTAAACGCGCGCCCGCATTCTTGACACACGTGCGGTTTTTCCGAAGAATGGTACAACATATGTTTACGGTAGGTTTGTTGAAAAGTGAAATATTTGTTGCATTGTGCGCAAAAATACGGCATTTCACCTAAAGCCCAAAATAAGTTAAATTGATTTGTTGTATTTTTTTATTATTTAATATAATAATACCTGTATGCAAACGTTTGTGTTTCTTTAAAAAATATTTCGTGGTAAACAGTTTTTGGCAAACATCACAGGACCATTTTTTTGGCTGCTCGTCATTTTTGGCTGCTTCATTTTTCTTGAACTTATTGAGACTTGCTACCAGATCGAGTTCAGTTTTGTTGTTATGTCCAAATCCATAATGAGCTACACGTAGATGCACCATAAGACTTCCTTTCATTTTAAACTTTTTGCTGCATAAATGACAATGGTAGCTGTATAGACCAGTTTGTTTATCCTCCAAAGTCTGATGCAATAACTTCAGATGCATATCCAGGATATTCTCGTCCGAAAATGTAAAATTACAAATATCACAACGAATTGTACGTTGCTCGTTTGCTAGCACATTCTGAACATTGGTAATTTGCTCTTCTATTCCAGCCGCAACAACCGTAGCTACCGACGGACCATCACGCGTTGAAATATCAGGACATGGCATTTCCTCAGAAATTTTCGGTGCTTCAAAATTTGGTACTGTCGGTACTGTGGCAGCTTGAATTAAGTTTGGTTTTGTTTCTGGTACATGAATCTCTTCATCCGTGTTTGCCAAATGTGTAAACAGATGAATAGTAAACTTATCCAATCCTCGCTGGGTTTCATGACACACTGGGCACTGGATTTCCGTGGTTGTAGCTGCTACTAATGTAGTCCTCAGTGCTTCCAAGTCATTAAAGTGTGGCTTGCAGCATAAGGGGCATTCCAATTTTGCCATGGCAACAATTTATGCACTTTTTAGTATCTTTTTGTGAACACTGTGGCGAATTTGTGTTTATCAACCGCAGGAAAGCGCAAATAACTCAGCAGCATATGCCTGTTTAAAGGAAGCGACTATTTTTAAGTCGCATCGTGCAAGTGGCGAACGCCCGCTGGCGACGCGTCCCATAAACCCGCTAAAAATAGCGCCGCGGCGCCATCATTTTCAATAAAAACACATGTAGAGCAAACTTGATGCAGCAACAGGTAAACTCATTAAATACATTCCACCGCCAACTGTTGTTTAGGCATCCATTTCTGGCAATAGCTGTTACCATGGTATCAACGCAAGTCAATAATTATTTGATCAATAAAACAAACATTTGTTGTGAGATATTCTCACAAAATACACGATATTTTATTTTATTATACAATAAACGCATTTTGTGCATTTTATAATATTGCCATTTCAAAATGGATGATGCAGTGGCAGATGTTCTTAAAACCATCGGTTGGGACTCCGGTTTCCGACTACCAATCGCAAATGAAGAAAATCAAGCATTGGAACGCGAGCTTGCTCACTTAGTTATCAAGAAAAGCGCAATGGGAAAAGAGTACGATGATATTTCAAATCGCTGCAAGAATCTCCAAGAGCATTTGAAGTATGTAAGACAGGAGGTTGGCCAAAACCAGACCCTTCTTACAACGTACAATCAGCAACTCGATAACGAAAAACATAAACTCAAGCTGAAACAAGCCGAAAAGGACAACACATTGTCGGAATGTAAACGATTGGCTAAACTCACAGAAGATATTCGATCACGTATCAATTCCAAAAAACTTCTCCTAGCTAGAAAGCTTTCCAAGTTAGAGAAAATGAAAACCGAAGCGGAATGGGATACGCAAGCAATGAAGGCGTGGGAGGATTCAGTTAAAAAACGGGACGACGATAACGAACTGCTTAAAAAGTTCTCTGATGAGGACAAGAAAAAACTCAGCGACTTAGAAACCAGAGGCAAGAGTCTGCGTAACGAGGTTAGTGTGAGAAAAGCCATGTTAGCCCAGATGGACGTCGATGTTATGAACTATGAGCAAGTGCTAAAACGCACTGGCAAGATGTTGAGTTCCATGAAAGACGAAAGGATTGCATTAGTAAAACAATGGCAAGAATCTGTGAAGAATCTACGGCAAAAAGACGTTGATATTAAAAGAGCTCATTTTTCTATTGAAAACATTCAAGAAACTATTAAGCAAAAACGAGGAGTGATGGAAGAAGAGGAAGCATTTCTAGCAAACGAAACGAATGCCAACAAATATATTCGGCTGGAAATTAATGAGGTGAATGCATCGAGCCTTCGATTGCGTAAGGAATATCATCATGCTATTCAAGATAATCAACGTCTTATCAATGACCACACTAACAAGAAAAAAGCCATCCAACGTGGTGCAGCCGACATGAATAGGGCCAAATCTCATATTAAACAAGTTAGTAAACTGAAGGAGAACTACCAGTATCGAGTTAACAAAATCAAACAAGATATGGAGTTGATGCGTGAACATGACCGTATGATATCGGAGCAAAGTTCAAGCGCTTCGAAAAACGCCGATATCATTGATCGTATGATTAAAGAAGCCGAAAAGGCTGGTGGGATATTAACCAGGCAAATGCAAGCTTTGCTAAATAAGCAATATAAAATAAACAGTGCAACCGCGGAACTTGCTGAAATCACCAATGCAACTAAAGCGGAAGTATGTGCTTTTGAAAATGCCTTAGCGCAAATTCGGAAACGTTCAGCCGCTGCCACTCAATCACTGATTCATAAGAAACAAATCTTGAGTGACTTACAAATGAAAGTCGCTTGTATTGAAGCGCAAATGGGCAATACAGACCCGGATGATATGCAGGACTTTGAAGAAATGTGGAGGACTAAAATTCAGGACCTAGAAGAGGTTCAGGAACAACATCTCGAGATTAAAAATCTTTTACACGGGCAAATCCTTAAACTTCAGAAGGAAAATCTACGAATAGTTAATACAATGTCCAACGATGCTGGAGCTCATCAAATTTTAAAGGATAAATTACAATCCTTGTGCCTACAGATTGAAGGTGGTATTAAACAGGCAAAAGCAGAAACTTTACGCACTCAGCAATTGCAGGTCGCGGAGAATCTTATCAAACTCAAAGTGGATAAACTTCAAAATGCATTGAGTGATGCAGATGAAGAGATTTACAACATGCAAAATTATAAAATTGATTTGATTGCTACTCTCAAAGAAAGGCACATTGAGCTATTGGCTGCAAGAGATGTGCTGTTTGCCAAAAAGAAAAACTTGGATGAAGACAAAAGTCGTTTGAAGGCGGATATCTCACAAAGATGTGTAAAAATTCAACAGTTGGAAAACAAATATAGTCTGTCTTTGGGAATGCTGGGAAAGGACGAAGCCGGAGACACAATGTCTGTCGCCGCATTTAAAGTTCGAATAGCTCAGGAAAAGTATGATTTACAGCAGGAGGGAGATGAATTGGATAAAAAGATACGAAGAAGCGAGCAGGAAATTGTCGCTATGGAGAATACGTTAAAGGTAGTCAACATGACAAACAAATCTTTCAAAGATAGCCTTACTATTGTAGATGAAGAGAGTCGTGATGCCGAGGAAATGGAAAGAATGCAGGAAGAATTCACGAAAAAGTGTGGGATTTTGAAGGAAAAGAAACATGACTTGTATCTTAAAGTTGACCAACAAAAAGGTAATTTGTGTTTTAAATATAGTTGTCACAGCAATATGCTATGCAATGTTGCCTCACATAACCTAGAATATCTACTATTTCTCATATTGATACGAAACTTATACATATTAACATTTTTTCTTGTAATTTTAGAATTGCAAAGAGAACTAGATCATTGTAATGAAATTAAGAACATTACACAAGCAGAGTTGGACAAGCTAGAAGAGACTTTATTGCAGTTCTTAAGAGAACACGAAGCCAGAGAAGTGAAGATTGGACGCGCCTCGGACCATATAAAACAATGTTTGAGAAAGATAGACTGCCAACAAGTGGAAAAATATGACGTAATAATCACCCCATTTTAAAAGTTCCATGTTCTAAAATTGTCTAATTTCAGCGTGAATTGTACATAAGACAACTGCAAGACACCAACAAATCCATTATGTACCAACTGGCCGACTTCGCGATACAATACCCAGAAACTATGCCCGTGTTGCGTGCCAAATTCGAACAGCACCAGCTCGAAATGCCTCAACCACGCACAACGTTAAGTGCATCCGTCAGTTCGGATTCTGTCAATTCTTTTCCGCCTTCGGATACATCTTCGCATAGCAGCGGTCACACGCATAGAACAGTACGCGTTAAGAAGCAATTGCCAAAGCCAGAGAGGCAAAGCGCCGCGAATGTTACATGTTTAGAGCTCAATTTAGACATGCCTACTTCAAGTGCTTCGTCCATCAGCAGTGGCAGTACTTCCAGTTTACGCAAAGACAATAGCAAAGAGTCAAAAACCAAGCGCAAGTAAGAATACAACCGCATTGAAATTAACCGCTTATTAAATTATTGTGTGTCATGTGAATCACGAGTTATACAAATAAAAAAATTACTCACTCTGACTTCAACTTGTTGATTTACAGAAGAAGATTGTCGTTGCTGCTGCGACATGGTGATTGTAATTTCAATTAAAATGGCGGAGATTGTTGAACAATTTTAAACAGTTGAAATGAGAATCATTACTACCAACCTACTGCCAAAGTTACTAAAGTTCCCCCAGAAAAGTTCAAAAGGCCCCTATTAGTTAGCAACTTCCGAATTGCCAACAACTTAATCTAAACTTGATCAAAAATTTAGCATCATAAATATTTATTATCGTCATTATTTGATAGCAATCGTTATAGGAGTTACGCTATAATGTAAACGATAAACAATCTGAATTTACTTTGCGATAACTGTGAATGTCAAGCCGTTTTCGAATAATTTATTTCACGTTTAAACAATTATAACTTGTTGGAATTCGTTTTGCGACCACTCTTCAGCGATTTCCTGTTTGCTACTATCGCTATTTTCTCAGTTTTATAAAGAAATAAGTGTATTGTATAATCGTAGTATAAGAGGAATTATCACATACAGAGTTGCTTCACGCTCGGCCACTCGAAAACGTGCGTACGAGTGTCGCTAATGTGATTCATGCGCTTTTATCGCTACAACTTGGTAATCTGCTTTAAATTTCGAACCCCTTTAGTAAAAAACAACAGCGTACAAACACAAACACAATCAATACGTAAAGTTTTTGATTTTACAAATTTAAGAAATCCCCTTATCTTAATAATTTGAAATCCTTAGTTTTGCTAGAGCCGTACGAAAATATACTCGTAATAAATTTTCAATAACATACGCAAATATAAAAACGTTTCGAGGCCGAAAAAAAACTAAATAACGAAAGATCAACTTTCGTAATCGTATTATGTATAACGTATCAACACTTTCTGCTTCATTCGCGTCAAATTTTGTCAAGTAAAATACCCTCACTGATTAGCATTGTTGTGTGCTTCCTCTTTTTGGGGGGTAATGTACAATTTGATGGGATGGTTTATTGTGTAGCAGAAAAATTATAGTAATTAAAGAGTTAGACGGTAGGTGTCGGCGGCGTGTGCAACGCCGTCATCAACGCCTGCTGCTGTTCGGGTCGTAATGCACCGATAATGCCTTGGAACAATGGCGCGTTGCTCTGAATCTGTCTGATAATGTTAAGCGCACGCGCGCCGGCCTCTTTCGATGGATCCAGCACCTCTTGGTAGAAAGCTTCACCAAATATCGATACAATTGTTGGTATATTTGCATTATCTGGGCCTAAACAACAAATAAATAATTTAATAATAAAAAAATAATAATAAACGCAAAAAGAAAAACTTACCTAATACAAGTGGATTATTACTTTCAATCAATTCACATAGATATCCATAGACGTAGGGTGCCTCATCTGAATCTTCAATCACCGGTAGCCATGTGAACCACATCGGGATCACTTCATTCGTATTAATAGCTGACGCATTGTACTTCAGAATTTTCGTCACTGCCGAAATGCAATTCTCCGTCGGATTGATATTGCGCAACTCTTTCGCTTGCGGATCGGATATTACCTCCACAAGATGGGGCAGGATTTTGGCTAAGTCGCCAGCAAACTGCACACCACCATGTTGTGCCAGAATTCCCCAGCCATAAGCGGCCGCCTGCCGTACTTCCGGTTGCTTATCCTTCAAGTAGATAGCAAAAGGCTCTAGGAAAAAGTCACGATACTTGTGACACGCGCCACTCGCATATTCGATCAGGTCGTCAAACACGCAAATGCCCCATTGATGGTCGGCCCAGGCGCGCTGCGGTGCCAGCAGGTTCACAAAGTGCTGGCAGAGCTGGTCGAAGTACGGGATGAAGTTTACTCCATAGGTTGTGAACAGTGCATGCAACACATCGACAATTTTACTTAGCACGTAGGTATCATCAGTTTCTTCATCTTCCAACTGCTCAGCAACAATCTTTAAAGAAAGAAAAAACAAATTAAAATTACAAGGCTTAATTTGAATACTTTGAGAAAAACTTAAAAAAATTCTTTGCTTACATCATCATAATCTTCATCGAGATGTTTCTTCTCGCGATCTTGACTGCGGTCAAAGTGCTCCTTGAGCAGTTTGTCTAGAATCCGCAACATTTCAGTCATCATCGCCTCGTCCAAACAACCGGATCCAAGCGTCTCGATACACCCGGCCAGCGAAGACAAATTCTCATACAAGACATCATTTTCTGGTTCTGTGTCCATTGCCTTCAATAATTCAGGCGCAATATACCTCCACATTCCCTCCAGGAAAGGTTGTCCCTTACAAGCAGCGCACTGTAACAAATACGGCAACGATTCGGCAGCCGCAGACCTAACGCCATCGTGGAAATAGAACTTCAACATCGGTACCATTAGCTTGACAACTTGCTCCGAGTAATCGGCAAAGCCTTCCTTCAACTCTCTCGCATAACAAACCAACATCATACATGCCGCTGCCTTATCTTCCAACCCGGCTGTTCGAATACCGAAATTTTGCTGCTCGCCGAGTGAAACAAATTGCCAATCAATTTCACCTTCAATACCTTGCAGTTCTTCATTATCCAATAGAGCAACTTCCGGTTTTAGCGAAGCCGTACGCAGGACAGGACCCATTACCAAAGGAAGATATTGTTGGAATTGCTTTCCAAGCACTTTGCAAATTCTCGACCATGCCGAAATCAAATAACTTGTCTGCGGATCATCATCGGGTAGTTCATTACCCTCACCGTGTGTTTTTAACAACAAATCCATCACTTCACTAGCATCACTCATGAATTTCTGTGAGCCTACGGCTAAACCAATGAGTGATACACACTCAATAGTTTTACCTCTCAGGAGTTTCAATTCGTCCTTATTCGCATGTTGAATGATGTATTTCAAGCATGGCATCAATCTGTCATAGTATGCGATGAATTCCTTCTCGGCCGTGTCAGCTACACTAGCAATTGTGGTTACAACTTGTTCGAGAACAAGTTTAGTACCGTGCTCGACAAGTTCCTGGAACTTGGCTGTAAGGATACCTTCAAGTTTCGCCATCATACCACCCAGATAACCTGTAAGGATATGTTTAGGACAATCTTCGGAGAAGTTCACAAGTGCAGCGCCGGCATGTGCCTGGACACGTGGATTAGCATTGTCGTCCAAGAGCATCAACAGCGCAGGGATAACTTTGTCATGAAACTTCTTCTCGAAAACAGGCGAGAAATCAGTGGACATTTGCCCAATTGCATTGCAAGCAGCGTAACGCACACGAGGATGTGGATCTTCAAGATATCTGAGTACACCTTCCATCACACCGGGTACGCCTTCCATGATCTGGTTAAGCATGCCTTCCATTTGTTTGTTGCAGCCTTCGCCAATGGCACTGAGGGCCATTAGCGCGGCATGGCGTTTTGTCCATTCTGGACTAGCGAGCATCATGGGAATGTTTTGCGTTACCAATGGTAGAATAGTTTTACCACCAAGTCCACATGCCAAGCGATCCAATGCTGCTTCTGCAACCACATTGTTGCAGTCGTTGTCTTCGTCGAGTAACTCGTCTGATTCGGCCCAATTTTCTTCTTCGTCCAAATCGGCCATCATTTGCAGAATCAAGGGGATCAACTGATCGAAATATTTCCCGGCGTTCTTACGTACCATTGCTGGGGCCATTTCCGCAAGAGTAACCATTGTCTAATTATTTTTAAAACATTAATATACACAAAAATTAATCTATGTAATTATTTATACCTCCAAAGCTAGTTGTCTCCACGAGTCCATCATATTGGGCTCCGCAAATAGTTTAGTACACATTTCGAAAATGTATACGAGTTGCGGACGAAGGAACTTGGGTGTATTCTCTGCCATATCAATCAGCACCTTGAGCAGTGTGTCATCATCGAGCATCTGAACACTGATCCCAATCACCTCGAGCATGCCAGGTAAAAGATCAGCGAAATGTCTAAGCACTTGCGTTTCCTTATCGTGAATCAGCACAAACGCGCCGATGGCACGAACAGCCTGAAAACGCACTTCGTATGGTTCGGTTGGAAGCAGAGACTGCTGCAACATTTGCTTAATTAAGTCAAGGAAGTTATTCTGTTGGTTTCCGAAGACGCCCGGCACGGTGGTAAACATCTGCAAGGCGGCTTCCTTAAGGACTGCATTTTGTGAGTTTGCACATTGAAATAAAAACTAAAACATAAATGCCACAAATTATCAGTAATTATCAGTACATGTGAATGATAGTAAAATGTCCTACTTGTAAAAATTCGGGCCATTGGTTGTTGCCTTCATCGTCAATGAGATTCCTGGCAACCTCAGCGGCGACGTCGCAAACCTTGTGACGCAACTGATTGCTCTGTTCGAGTTGGATGCCGATTAGAATCTGTTCCTTGAGGGACGCCTGCTGCTCGGGCGAGAGGTTCGGATAAAAGTCGCTGAACTCGCTGGACAGCAGTCGTCGCAGTAGAACGGCGGACATCTGGCGCGCTTCATCGCTGAGCGAGACATTGTGTATCGCCGTCAGCAGGTGACTGACTTTCGACTCAACTGGGATATTCGAGTAGGTTTCCTGTGATTTGCACAAGGTATTTATTTGATAACAAGTCTAAATAAATAATTGCGAAAAAACATATCGAATGTAGGTTGTTTCTACAGTATTCGACGCCGACACGATTTTTATGTTCGAATTGGTGAATCAACCATAAACACAGCGTACAATCATGAGTCATAATCATAATTATAATTCCAAGAGAGCATTTACGAGTGCTACTGTGGATGTGTTGGAATGTAATAAGTATCTATACGTTTTTAATTTAATTCTAGATATGGCCTCGGTTTTTTAAGTGTTCATATTTCAGTTTAAAGCAAGCAAAATTAATAAATTAGATTTTTCAAGTTTGAATAAAATTCAACGCGTTCAGATTTTCATCAGTGAAATAGTAATGAATTTTTTTTTAATTAAATAATCTATCTATATCCGGAAAATATAATGACTATTTCCTTGATATTCAATAAGTAATATTATATAATTAGTTTAATCAAGTAAATCCTATATAAAAATTGGTAAACATATTGTACTCATTTCGTTACAAGCAAAACAAAAGAGCGACTATAATCTAGGGACTTTTTCAAAGTTAAAGGGTAGCAGAAAGAAAAAGTTGGCGGGAAAGCGAGGCGCTGCCAACCCCACAAGGTCAATCTTACAGTATTAATTCGCCGACTAATGACCACATTGACTCAAGGCAATCTTATTTTCCACAATGGTCCAAGGAGCGTGAATAATTGCGACGCAATTTGCCGGCACGAGAGACGACCGCGTGCGCCAAAAGCATGCTGGCCGCAAGCTATGCGACGTGCCGCCTGCGGAAACACGTTTTCCTGGCACGCACGCGTTCGATGTTTGTTGCTTGTCCGGCGACAAGTATGCGCCCCGAACACTCCACCAGCGATAGAAAGTTGATGCACTCACCTCTGCTTGCGTTCGAATCGAATTATCCGTAGATAACAGCGTGGTCAGAAGAAGATGAAATTGCTCCTGATCGGCCGCCATGGTCCCTCCGCATGAAAGACTGATGTCAGGCGCGGGCAGGCAGCCAACGGACACGGGGCGTTCGACCGAAAACCACCAGGCGAGCGCAGTGCTGCCCGTCAACCGGCGGCGATGACTTGAACGTGGAGGATAAACAAGAAGCGCTGAATGTTGCCGTCGCTGTAGAACACGCACTAAATGATGGATAGACGCAACAGTTTTGATACAATTTTGATGGAACACAAAGAAGTAGAAGTAGTGCGCGTCGGTTTGAGTGGAGATCGAAACGAAATAAAATCAAAAATGAATGTGGGGACTTTTGTGGCCGTGACAACTTTTGACATTACAAGTTTATCTAGCCAACACGAACATTCACGAATGTAAATAGTACTAATGTTTTTAATTGTTATTAGTTACCAAAAAATAGTTACCCACTAATTTTTTGAAGAAGTATTAATCTTATAGAAATGTTTATTATTTTCTTTTGGCAAGTTTTTCTACTGCATATATTGAAAGTTGTAAAGCAATAAATACACAATTGTATTCACATTGTATTTGAATTATTGAAATTATCATACGTCGAACATTCACATATAGTTTATTATAAAATAATATTTTTATATTGTTTCAATAAAAGGGCACAAAATCAATTTGTAAAACAATTTATTTCTAAATTATTCAATTTTCTTATTTTCAGGTTAAGAATTTGACAGCTCTAGGATTCCTTCTAGAGGTATCAACGTTTCTCACGTGTTTCACTTCTTCATGCAGTGAAAATAATCAAAAATATGGGGAAAACAAAGAAAATGAAGCCGTCTCAGATGGGCGCACCCAAAAGAACCCTCGAACAAGACATCGAAGACACTCAGATCGTCAAATCAAAGAACAGAAATAAAATTCGTTTCAGAAAAGACGAAGATGAAGAGGTTAGTTGTGCAAGTCGAAAAATATTTAAAAATTTTAAATTTTAAATTGCATTTATTTAGTTTGTTGATGCCAATCTTTCAAGAAAAATTCTCTCGGCTGCACGAGAACAACAACGTGAAATAGAATCCTCCTTTGGGCCTACACCAGCAGAGAGCATGCAGAGAAAACCTTTTGTCAAATTTGATGATTCTGATAAAGAAGATGAAGATGCTGAAGAGGAAGACACCTTAGAACCTGACACATACTTTGAAAACATTGAAATCAAAGAAGAAGATGAGAAAGCAATGGAATTATTTATGAGTTCCAATCCAGGTCCAAGAAGAACTCTGGCTGATATTATAATGGAAAAAATCACAGAGAAACAAACTGAGTTGGATACTCACTTTAGTGATGCAGGCACTCTACAAGTACAAGATCTTGATCCTCGCGTTTTACAGATGTATGAAGGCGTGAGAGATGTGCTGAGAAAGTATAGGAGTGGCAAGCTTCCAAAAGCATTTAAAATTATTCCAAATTTATGCAATTGGGAGCAGATTTTGTACATCACAGACCCGCCAAGCTGGTCGGCGGCTGCCATGTACCAAGCCACACGAATATTCGCGTCGAATTTGAAAGACAACATGGCGCAGCGATTTTATAACTTAGTTTTACTACCGCGTATTCGTGACGATTTGGCTGAGTATAAACGACTCAACTTTCATCTATACCAAGCGCTGCGAAAAGCCTTATTCAAATCTGGTGGTTTTATGAAAGGTTTTCTTCTACCCTTGCTTGAAAGTGGTAATTGCACATTGCGTGAAGCAATTATAATCGGCTCGGTAATTGCAAGAAATTCTATTCCAATCTTGCATTCGTCCGCGGCCATTTTGAAAATCGCGGAAATGGATTACACCGGAGCCAATTCGATCTTCCTGCGGATATTTTTCGATAAAAAGTATGCGTTACCTTACAGGGTGGTAGATGCGGTGGTGTTTCATTTTTTGCGATTTGAGCGCGACCCGAGAGAGTTGCCGGTGTTGTGGCATCAAGCCTTTTTGAGTTTTGTGCAGCGATATAAAGCGGATATAAGTAGTGAGCAGAGGGATGCGTTGTTGAATTTGTTGAAAAAACAAAATCATCCGACGATCACGCCCGAGATTCGCCGAGAGCTGCAGAACGCCAAGTGTCGGGATGTTGAAGTTGACCAATCCAAAATGGATTCCTCAGCGTAAATTTATAATATTAAATTTAAATCCAAATTAAGTTTAAATAAAAATGTAAAGTTAGAATTTACTACTTTTAATCCTCTGATGTCGTTTTAAAATGTTATATTTAGTAACTTTCTTAGATAACATTGGTGAATAATTGATAGGGAATGAGTAGTGAAGGTGGCTAATATTTTAAACTCATCACTTAATTTAAATGGGTTTAACTTTGACCTATGCAATTATGTTTAAGTTACCACCAAAACTTTTTATTCAATTGGTATGTTTTGAGTTCAAAACTCCTAAAAATCGAACCTTTCCTTAATTTATAGCTGAAAATAATCAAATGAAGCACTGCAACTGGTGTCCGTGAAACATTTATATCTTTATCATCAAATGAATTAATCAGTAGGGGACTAAATTAGTGTAAATTATGTAAAGAATGCTAAAAGTAAATAAAAATGGTCATAAGTCTTATACAATCGCATCCAACCGTTGATAGAAAATGTTTGAAATCAACGTGAGGAAAGAATCAAAAATCAATGGTTTTGTTTGCATGACTGCTTCAAATACAACATCATTTCATCGATGCGCCAAGGAGAACAAACGCTAGAAATAGAACTATACACACCACCATAATTTAAACCGCCGCCCTAGCTCCGGTTGAGCCAGAAAATCGCTTTCAGCAGAAAGTACGCGATGCCAAAGCCATAGATTACTTTCTCCTTCTGCAGCCTGCCCAGGTGCTCTAATTCAAGGGCCATTACACGACGATTTAGCTTCGCCATTTGCCGCCGTAGATGTAACACTTCTTCGGAAGCCGTCAGACCTTCACCTCCTACAAGGAAAACTTCATTTCAATAAAACTATTTCAAAAATGTGTTAATAAATCAAAATAAAATCCGAAACAACGCAATATTCACATTATTAAGGACCACTGATCAAAATATAGCATACAAAATCGAAGTAAAACCTTTTTTTTTTTTTGTTAATTTAAGTTACTTACCACCGCCCAATGGAGGAGTTGACTCGCGCACACTCAAATTCAAATCAGAATCATTCAAACAGTACTTGCTTGGCTTCACAACAACAGCATTCTTCATTTGTGGCTCAGGTTCCTGCTCCTTTGCAGACAATGGAAACGGATATTTATCAAGCGTCAGGGTCCGTGGCGGCGTCGCAACACGAACATCACCAGGATATGGCTCGGTATTCATCAGTGAATGATCAAAGACAATCTCTCGCGGAGGTGCGCGTGTCCCTACATGCTGATCCTGCCCAGCAACCAGAATACGCTCCGGCACTTGCATGTGAATATTATCGTTCCAGTGACCGTTCGAATGACCGTTCATATCCGAATTAAAGCTGATCTTTGACGGTACCTTCATCTTCTGACTGATGTCTACTTTGAAGTTGGCATCGGTAATGAACGCATCCTCCAAATCGTTGTAATGTAGAGGACTTGTATTTGAAGACATTGTCCTGATATCAAAATTATTTTATTTTTACTTGAGTGTGATTGAGGAAGATGATATACGTATGGATTGGTTGTTACCCACGTTATGTGATGTCGGTGATGGTGCTTGGGCGAAAATACAATCGAAATTGATAATTTTTGCTGGAAATTTTACTTCTTTCTACTTATCGTTCATTACGCTGATTTTTGACATACGCAACTGTCAGACGTCAACGACAATAATAATTATGACCTAAATTGATTCTAAACATGCGGTACAGTGTAAAAAACTTTGCAACATTTAAGTAGAAAATATTAAATTCCTGTTTATTAAAATGATAATAAGATTATTACTATTTTGTGCTGAAATATCTTCAAAAATAAGAAAAATTTAATTCATATTTCTCCCGTTGCGTACGGGACGTAAAACTATATACCACACTCTGGCGGAATATTCTAGAACTAAATTAAACAGTCAACTGGTACTCTGAAGTCCTAGGCAAGGTTAAGTAAGTGAGAACTGTCAATTTTGTGCGTGTATCTGTTATCCTGCTGAATCTGGCGATTATTTCTGTATTTTAATGCCTTTGCAGCACGTTTCGTGCACAGAATCCATCGATGGTGTTTTCAGAAAATCAAATGGACGCATTGTGGTTTTAGCGGCGCGTGGCTGCGATGTGTGATGCGTCCTGCAGCAGCAAACAAAAGAACGATCCTTTAACTACGCAGGACCTGCAAACACAGCGACAGTAATCATGGTAAGCTGTTGCATTAATTTCAAATACGAAGTGCGCCAATCGTCTTACACTTTTCATTGCAGCACAAGCTCAAGTCGTCGCAGCGCGATAAAGTGAAGAAGTTCGTCTCATTTACACAGACTGGTGAAAGCACAGCAATCTATTGTCTTGCTGCAAATGACTGGAAACTAGACCTTGCCAGTGACAACTATTTCCAAAATCCCGATGCTTACTACCGTGAGCCTAAATGCGTCGATCGGAAAAAGTTGGACACTCTTTATGCGCGATACCGAGACACTACCGATCATGAAAAAATCACTGCTGATGGTGTGATGCAGTTACTGGATGATCTCGGCTTACCACCGGAGAGTAAAAGAGTCCTGATTATCGCGTGGAGGTTTAAAGCCGCCACACAATGCGAGTTCACTCGGAAGGAATTTATTGAAGGCATGATTGCACTTGATTGTGATGACATTGACAAGTTGGCTACCAAACTGGGCCAGCTGGAGGATGAATTGGAAACATCTCCAGCACTATTCAGAGACTTTTATCATTTTACTTTTAACTATGCAAAGAACTCGACTCAGAAGGGCCTGGATTTGGATGTGGCGATTTTCTACTGGAATATTGTACTCAAAAGCAAATTTAGGTTTCTGCAGTTATGGTGCACATTCGTGCAGGTAAGATTCAATATTTTCGGGGAAATTAGAAAATAATTATGATTATTTTACAGGAACATCACCAGAAATCAATACCCCGCGATACGTGGAACCTTCTGCTGGATTTTGCCGGCCAGATATCAGACGACCTAAGCAATCACGATGAGGAAGGCGCATGGCCCGTTCTTATCGACGAATTCGTCATCTGGGCGCAGTCGAACCTCAATTCGGTCTCCTCGACGACGAAATCCAAGTACCCTGACGATGGCGGCGGCTCTGAGCTTAGCTAGATTTGTTGTTACATCTATAGCGTTATGATTAATATCAAGTTTGATTGTTTGCGCTTTTCTCCGCTCGTACAAAAAAGAAACCACCAACTTATCAAACAACAAAAGAAGTTTATAATAATATCTCGGCAATTAGTTGATAAAAAAAAAACCTGCGAATTTCGTTAATTGTTAAAACAAGAAATTAGTTGATGTTGTAAATATTAATGTAAAATGAAGTGTTTAAGCAAAAATTGGCCGGATTCGTTGCGACTTTAAACTATTTACAATTTACGGGATTTTCACATTGAAAATGATGCATGGAGGAAGCATGTTGTACATTGTTAAATTGTTTACTCGTGCGGGATTGTGTATCTTTCACTGTATGTTGTTTATTTGTAATTTACTTTAGTCCAGAGCGCAGTAAACAAGAAACAGAATGCGGTACCAATAACCAGAAACGAGAATGCGAATAAAATTTACTTTTTGAAATAAAAAATATTAAAACAAACCAAAAACTGGGGAACTGCGTGAGAAACGAATCGAATTTCCGATCTAAAATTAAAGCCAATCAAATAAATACGCCTTCGGGTGCAAGCTGAGAATCGTGGCTATTGTCGTGGCGTCATATTAAAAAGTACAAATCACTCACATCCATAATTACCTCACTTGCGAATAAATAACCAACCAAACCAAGCATATGACTTTGATACTATGCACTAGATATTAATGACAAGGGCAATACAAATTAACTTATTGGGCGGGCTTGGGGCGCATTGTCTCGATTATTTTGTTTGTAACAATGGTGCTTGTTTTGACGTTATTTTTTGGGGAGTTATAAGGGGTGCGGGTGGGAAAGTGCGCGAAAAATAATTCTCACATTGTCGAGCTAACTTGCTGCAAATTGGGAGCTAATGTTGTGTATAAATTGCCTATTTTCGTTTCGCGGTCGAATTCGTCGCATCTTTGAGCACCTTGGTCTTGAGGTGGTCCTTGTAGGTGAGGATATCGCCCTTCCACTTTGTGCACGTGCCTTTTTCGCACACCCAAATTTCCTCAGCCACCTAGAAATTGAAATATGCATCATGTTATTACATACTTTAAACATTCCAGCGATTATCTAAACAATTCATAAACAATGAAATTAATCATCTTACCTGACTAATGAGTCGGAAATCGTGACTAACAAGCACCATACCACCATCAAAGTCATTGATGGCCTCCGCTAAGGCATCGATAGTTTCCATATCCAAGTGATTGGTAGGTTCGTCCAGCAGCAGCAAGTGCGGCGTCTGCCAAGCCAGCCAGGCAAACACCACGCGACACCGCTGCCCGTCCGACAACTGCCTGATGGGGCAGACCTGCTGCCGCCCTGTCAGCCCATACCGCCCGATAATCTTCCGCATCTCTTCGCGTTCCTTCACCTCCGGAAAAGCGCGCAACATGTAATCGAGTGGCGATACATCCAAATCCAACAACTCGTGTAGATGCTGATGATAACGCGCGATTCGCAAGTGCGAGTTTTTGCGAATCATGCCTTCCGTAGGCACCAGATCACCATACAATAGCTTCAACAGCGTTGATTTGCCCGCACCATTGGGCCCGACAAGTGCAAGACGCGTATCCAAGTCAATACCGAATTCCAGATTTTTATAAATGTACGGTGACGTATCCGAATAACGGAAAGAAACGTTCTGCACCATAATAACGGGCGGCGGTACCGTCCCACAGCTGGGGAAATAGAAGTTGAGAATCTTGTCGCTGACGACTTTCTCGGTGAGACCTTGTGCGACCATTTTCGCTAATGTTTTCTCCTTACTCTGAGCCTGACGCGCAAGTTTTGCGCTGCCGTGACCGAATCGAGCAATGTAGTTCTTCATGTGACTGATCTGGTCCTGTTCCCAATTGTATTGCTTCATCTGGTTCTCGAGCAGTTCCATACGTGTGCGAACAAACGCATCATAGTTACCCGTATAGTACTTAAGTCGTTTCTTGTTCACATGTATGATATTCGTGCATACACCATTGAGGAAATCCTGTGAATGCGAAATAATGACCAAAATTCTCTTGTAGTGCTTCAATTCCTCTTCGAGCCACACACAGGCATCCAAATCGAGATGGTTGGTAGGTTCATCAAGTAGTAACAGATGTGGTTTCACGTACAATGCTCGGGCGAGCGCAATTCGCATGCGCCAACCACCACTGAAATCTTTCGTTGCCTGATTCTGCATCTTCGCAGTAAAACCCAGACCGTTGAGGATGTTAGCGGCGCGTGCTTCGGCCGTATCAGCCGAAATTTCATCAAGACGTTCGTAGATGTCCATGAGTTGTTCCTGCGATTCGTCGTCCTCACACGCGACGAGTGTTTCCGCCATTTTCTCCAATCGGACGCGCTCTTCGTCGACTTCCATTACGCACTGCAATGCTGATTTATCCGATGCTGGCATCTCGCGCGTTAAGTGAAAGATATCGATGTGCTCCGGGATGGGCACTTCACGATTTCCTAATACAGCTAGGATTGTTGATTTTCCTGCAAGCATTACATTTAATTATAAATCAAATGAAAAACAATATTTAACAACAACAAAAAGTGATAAAGTGATAAACAAAAGCAGAAAAAAACTAGAAATAACTTTAAAATTACTAATAAATTTAAAACGTTAGGATTTTTTTAAACATCCTGTATAAATGTCGTGATTAATGATCAAATTGGTCTATAACCTCAAATTTAATGATTAATGTTTAAACAAAGATTTTGCCTGCTTTTGTTAATTGCTACATTAAATTGCTTACCACTTCCGTTGAGGCCAAGCAGTCCATACCGCCGGCCACAATTCAACTCAAGTAGTGCATCCTGGAGCATCTCACAGCCATGAAAAGTAATGGAAAAATTGGCAATCTTGACATCCCTGGACTTGGGATGTACAGCAAGAGAGCCAGTGCAGGCACGTGCCTCCGCATTCAGCCGCGCGTCAGACTCCAACTTCGCGCAGAGCGCCTCCTCGGCGCTCAGCGGTTCCGTCTTCCCGTTGGTGGTGGTGCCGTTCGTTTTGGAGTCATCCTTTGCCGCCGGCTTCTTGTTTCGCGCCTTCGCCGCGTCTTTCTTTTTCTGCGCTTCGCGCTTCTTGGCGTCGGAGGGCATCGCGCGACAGCTGGGGGCTAGCAACTGTAAATTGCAAGGTCACGGATAATATGAGCACCGGAGCGTTGCGAAAACGGAAACGTGTGGAAATGAGGTTGCCAATGAAGTGTAGGTGCTAATTTTATACTAAGACTGACCGACAATCAAGGGGAGATTGATATGTGACTGAGATTACCTTAATTAAACAAAATTAAATGTCGATTACGCTCCGATTGCGGCGAACACGTGCTGCACTTGTGTTAATTCCACGGAAAAGAATTTTGATTGGGGACTGCTGCGGAGTGCGCGCGCCGCGTTGCGGAATCGCGCAATCTGTCAAATCCCGTCTAACGTTTTTGCATTGACGTGGTGTCACGATCATGCACGATATTAAACGAAAAAATCAAGTAATTTAAATATATACAGTATAAAACTACATAAATTCCTAACAAAATATATATCAACTCAATTTTACATCAATTTAAAGAAATACAACATAAATTTTTATTATAGAAATACACTTGAGTTATTTTTATATTAAATTAGCGCGTTGTCAAACCCTCTAGCGTCCTATCGCGAAAGCATCAATAGTTAAACTATTTTAAGGTTAGTTTAATTGCGGTTGCCGTTCGTGGTGTTTGCGCTTGTTTGTAATGGTTTTGTAGCAATTTTCCGGGTATATTTACAAACACGATGGCGGATGATGCGGATAACGACGATCAGTGGTTGTATGGAGATGCTCCGGACTTGCCAACGGAGGAAAGCGATAATCTCGGCGAACTAGACCCGAATTCTGAGGAGAAGCTGCTCGAAGGAAGCGATGAAGAACAGCAACCACAGGCCGATGAGGAGGTACTCTAACCTAAATATCTAACTTTAGTACTTTTACTTTATATTTTTGCAAATTTTTGGTTTAACCCGTTTACGTAGATATGCAATAGATAGTTTATGATAAAATAAATAAAATAGGACGTTTAATTTTCAATACTTTTTCATAAAAACTGAATGGTATCAGTAATATGATAAGAAAAACTTTTATATTTAAATTTTTAATTCTCTTGCTTTCTATGTATTCCATCATTACTTATTCGAACGAATATAATTAGATGTGTTAACTTTTAATTTATATTTCAGTTACCTCCTGATGAAAATTCTCAGGACAACGCCGAAATTGAATCCGATCAGCCTGCACCACCTGGTGATGATGATGAGTTACCAGGTGAAGAAAAACAAAATGGTGACAAGTCTGAGGATGATGAAGAGAAGGAAGATGGTGACCAGAACGAAAATGAAGATGATGAGGATGATGATAGTGATGATGATGATATCAATGTTGTAATTGGTGATTTTAAAACTACTCCTACATATGCTCCTCCAATGAATATTAAAAGAGGAGGTCTGATAGCTACAGCTGGTGATAAGAGCAAACTGCAGCAACCACAGACTGGCAAGTTCACTGTGGATGAGTTTGAGCAGATGGGAATGATTAATGGAGTACCTGCTGGGGAGTTCAGTTTAGACACAATTGAAGACAAGCCATGGCGGAAGCCTGGTTCGGATATTACTGATTATTTTAATTATGGTTTCAATGAGGATACATGGAAGGCTTACTGTGAACGACAAAAGAGGTAAAGTTGCGGGTAGAAATAACGGTACACGTCGACTCGAATATTAAACTGAATTATATAAGTTTAATCTTGAATCTTTAGCAAGTCATACATTTGTGGCTGCGGTTTTAACGAATAGTCGACTAAGACGATTGGAAAGTAATTGATTGTTTTATTTTGAGCTGAAAATCATGTAATAGTCAATTATTTATTAAAATTTCATGCACAAACGCATTGTATGTTAAAGATTCAAGATTGAACCTACATAAATCAGTTTATTCTTCAAAATTTATTTATTTACATGTGAAAATTGTTTTGAAACTTGAATTATTCTTGCGGTGAAACGTCGTATACCCTGGAAATAATAATTTTATACTAAATGTACTTATTCTAGGATAAGAGTATCCGAATCAGGCGTGGGTATGGTTCCGCTCAACTCAATTGGCATGCCGCGCGGGCCTTTGCCAATTATGAACGACAATAGCAAATATTCAGGTGGATTTACTGGCGTACGCAAGGCTGGACCGCCGCCAGGAAGGCGTATGACGGGTGCGATAGATGTGATTGGCGGTGGGGGCGGGCCACCACCCGGCAAGATGGACACACATCAACCAAAAGAAAATGTCATACAAGTTATGACGGCTGATCGAAGGGAGTACAGCCGCAAACCGCCCGGCTTTCCGGATCTTTCTATGCCTCCGCCAGCTACCTTCGAAGAGTACCAGCCCGAGTTTGGTTTTAATCCGGAACCGGAACCTTTCTACGGCGGTTATGAACCCACACAGGATGTACAGTGGGGTAAGAAGAGTTTTACCATACTTACATACATGGTAAGATTAATATTAATAGTAATATTATTTTTTAAGCTCCTTCAACAAATTCGTGGGCGCCGAATCAGATAAAACCGTTAACGCCTGGTCATCCTCATGGGCCGCCACCGGGCGTACCACCAGTCAACCAACCTCCTCCAAATCTACCGCCTGGTATGGTCCGGCCCGGCAGTCATGACCGTGAACGCGGTGGTAATAATGATCGTGAACGAGCCGAGCGCATTGAACGCCCTGAACGCGATGACGGTTCACCTGCAGTGCGCGACGGTCAACGAGAGCGCGATACCGAGAGTCGTGCGCGATCTGAAAAACCAAAGGATCGTGAACGAGAGCGATCGCATCGCCGTGAGCGGTCACGTAGTCGCAGCCGGCGACATAAGTCGAGATCACGCAGTCCGAGTCATCGCAGTCATCGGAAGAAAAAGTCGAGGAGGCACGATGATAGCGAGTAATGTTTCAGGCATATTGATAAACTTATGTTAATTTGAATGAAGGTTTTTTATAATGTATAAGGAAAAACTAAAACACTACGTTTACATTAACGTTAATGAAGTACTTCCTTTCATCTTATTTAGAGTCTCGACGTTATGTTGACACTTTCATACGATTTAAAGGGAGTGCATTGTGCAAAGGGTTCCACAAACTACAATATGGTAGCCTGCAATTTTAAATAAGTTAATTAGTTTACAAGATATAGAAAATTTTCCACTTTCTAACTTTTGATGCGCATTCTAGTGCATTTCCTGAGGATTTATAAAATACTATTTATAATACTAGATAGCGAAAATATTAAGAAGTTGGAAAAACGTGCGAGGTGTAGGGGCTCCCTTTAATTGCAATATGACTACAAAACATTCAAGATATGTGAATTATTTCACGAGATACGGAGTGTTTTGCACGCCATATGTTTAACTGTTAAAAAAGCAGCAATTTTGGCAAATATTTTAAGGACAACGGGGTAGCGTGATAACATGACAATACGAAACAGCAAATTACGAGTATGCAGCTGGTAAGGTGATATTGAGTGTTTCTTGTAATTGTATAGGACTTTAAAGGACAAGTTATCTTCTAGAGGCAAGTTAAACACGAAAATGAAACAAAACTTTTATTCCAAGCAGAGAAAACAATTGAAACATAATACTAGGGCTTTTTCTTATTTCTATTGCGATTTTTCACATTCGACACCTCGTAGAAGTTGCTACCGATCTTCTTACGTTTACCAGCGCGTTCCGCAGCACGCCTCTGTTTACTTGTTGTCTTCTTCTTGATTGGAGTAACATCTTCAATTTTGAAATCTCCACTGGCAGCTTCCGCGTATAATTGCTGATTTTCTTCCATGTCCGAATAAAAGTTACTAATATCCGAATCAGAATCACTGTCATTCTCATCCTCATCTGATACCTTAATCTTTTTAGCTGGACTTTCTTCATCCTCGGCATTATCATCATCATCATCATCCACATCAGAATTATCCGAATCTATAGTTGTATCAATTTGTGACGTATCACATTCACTCACAGCGCGACTTAAACCTTCAATGGGTTCCAAATTCCGTACATCATCACCTTCATAATCCAACCCAACTCTGATTTTGTTCAAATCCTGAATAACATTTAATTGATGTTCTTGTTCGCTTGAAATTTCCTTCAAACTTTGCAGTGGCTGTTCGTACCCGGGTGGACAGACAAAGAATGGTAATTTACCACGCTGCCAATCATTCAACACCATCCTGGCCGTAATCGTAATATCAGGCTCACCCTTCTTTAATAATTTCCCCGTGCGCTGTGCAAGTTTCTCTAAAAACTCAAGTGGCGTTGCCCATTCATCAATTCGATAAGTTTTACGCATGTATTCAGGTTTAACACGATTCAAAACTTCTGCTGTGTAATCTTCAGGGTTGTTTATAAGTTCAACTCGAACAACACCCTTAAGTACCTTCTCACTATCGGTCTCAGCAGAAGGATAAACTACCCCGGGGCAATCTATCAAATAGATTCGTCGCATCAAAGTTATATACTGCCAAACTTTAAATCTCGCCCGCAATCGGCGCCACTTTGCGAAACTTTTACTGCGCAGTGTAGTAGAAATCACTGACCGATTTACACCAACATTCGGTAACCAAGTAAATTTCACTGAAATGTTTCTTGCGTATTATGAATTTACCCAACTGCCGAAGCAGATTGAGTCAGTGATCCCTTGCCAAAGGATGCGTTAAACTGGCGTGGAACACCAATCGTTTGAGTATTCTTTATTTAACAACGCTAACTGCATCTCGCTTGATTGGGTCTCAGACTGAAATCGACTTTTGTTCAATCTGAAATTAAATGTTTGTGTGGTTTTTCTGTTTTAGGTATTTTTCTAAGTGGCAGGCGCGTACCGGAAGGGTCTCTTGCATCTAACACTTGTGAAGCACATGGAACTGTCTGCTACCTTATATAAATACGTTCCAGATACGTCGTGATTGTCCGGCCGCCATTGCCCAATCGCGGGGAGGATTTCACTCCTGATTTATCTCTAACTATATTTGTATCTTTTCATCCAAATCCTTCTTGTTTTGGTTTGTAAAGCTGTGATAAACTCTTCATTCCTGTTCTACACTGATGTTCGGACGTTTCGGCTCTTTTCGGTCAAAAACACTCTCAAAGGCTTTCCGGTGTCCAAAGGATGTACGCGCGTGCGTTCTTTTGCTTTTTAAAGAGGTAACTGGTAAAGTTGTGGGTTTCATGACTGGATTGAAAAGGGTTTTCATTTGCTGAGCCAAGTTCAGTTTAGATTTTTGTAAGAGCATTTTGTGAGATGACTGAGAATTACCAAACCATTTTGCAGTTGGGTTCAACACGGGCAATAGTGCCGGACATTTCCATCCTTGGAAGAAGGCGCCAGCGTAGAATTTACAGTTTGTCTTTTAGGCTTTGAAATTTCTGTACATTTGAATCCCTTTTTGGCCCATTGCCCTTGGTTCTTGGGACGCAGCCCCTTTTAAATAGCAGTAGGCCGCTCGGGGGTTCATTAAAGGTGCTGAACAGTTTGAAATTTCCGGGGCGCGCGGGTGAGAACTCGCGCGGCGTTTTGTCTATAAAATAAAGCAAGTTATTAGAACAAGAATGTATAATTTAATGAAGAATGTAGCGAGCTAATTCAAACAAAAATGTATTTTGGTTTGATTCGCCCTGCATTATTTAACACCGGTGATTTAATTCACTCGGATAAACAAAAAATAAACACTACCCAAAAGAAACACGTGCGACGCTACGTTTGCGAAGATTCTTACAGGTTATGTTCATTCAAACTTCAAACAGCCCCCTGTCCTTAAATGGGAGAAAGATGCAGAGTTTGCGTGTGTGTCGCGTAATTTTAGGTACTTACTTACTCTGAGTGGCGCTGGTAGTTTAGTTGCACGGTAGCTGTTTTACCGTTTGTGTTGTTATCATATGGCTAAAATACGCAGCACATTGCAGCCGTTTGCAATAGACTTCTCTCTAAATATACGTTCTCTGCAAATAGCGACAACCTTGAACTTGTTTTCTGCAACTTACAGGTTTAAGGACTGGTTCTAACTCTTGTTCCTTCTTTGACTTTTAACAATCGCTTTCGAGTTCCGATCGCAGTCGCCAGGCTAGAGAATTTGAATGCGAATTTGATTCCTTCGTCGGTCGAATTCCGATATAAAATAAAGTAAATAATGACACCCGTTGTCGCACTTTTCATAACAATGTAATTTTATTTATTTCGCAGATAATTATCATCGTCAGCCCTTCTCGGGGGTGTTGTAGCGCATAAAATACTGGTAAGGTATCATTGCTTGCTTCTTTTATACACTCGTGTTCGTAATACATACATCTTTTAATCATTTCGCACGAATGGGGCGGCGGTACAAACTATAGCGAGGCATCTAGAGATGTAGGTTAAATTCTACGATCGGGTTGTACTTATCTGTGGCAGGAATTCGATACCAACCCACGAAGTACAAATTTGCGTTCCCGGCGGAAAAATAATATGAATTAATGAATATTTAGACGATTTGTATTAACTAAAATTATATAGGTATTTAATTTCAAGAGTAAATTACTAAAGGGTAAAAATTTGAATGTTTTATGCTTTGTGTAGTTCTTGAAGAGAGATTTGATGCGATGTTAAAGAAAAGATGTAATTTTATGACAGATGCTTTGATTGACTATTTATGCAGTATTTATTGCTATTAGTGAATATTTACATTTAAATTCAAAATTTAGTTCATTTATTCTGAATTAATACATTCTAGCAACATCTACATTTTAAAGCTTTTGAGTTGTATTGTAAAATCTCTATTTGTTTAGACAGGGTGGTCTATGCACCAGTTCCGTGCGTGTGATACGGACACTGCTATTTAAATACGTGACCATACACTGACCCATAGCAAATCATTCACTGACGACTCCTTATGCACGCCACACTTTTGATACACTTTGTATTTTCTTGCGGTACTCAAAAGTCACCGCAGATGGCGCGCAATAATGCATGTTTTCGCTAAAAATATTCCTGCGAGTGAAAGTCGGCGTGCACAGTTGTAGAGGCCAGCACGCAGCTCTTTTCACTTCGTGCGATAAGTACTAATCTTAAATGGATATTCGTGTTTCGTGTTGTAAATTCGTAATACCGCGTTATATTTGCTGTATTGTGTGATTGTAAATATTTTAGGGGATTGTGCGAACCATTTTTTGTCTTCAGCAAGAACACGACGGGGCGGCTATTCTACCTGGTAAATATTATTATTTAAATAATTATGGCAAATAAGACAATTTTAGACCAAGTTTGGCTTCCTCGAACTCGGATTCATTTCAACACTGTCTAAATTGTGTAACTGAAGTTTTGTTTCTTGTTTATTTCAGTATCTACTCGCGCATTTTGATTTACGGCGTTTGATACACTGGTGAGTGAAATTTTTCATCGTTCATAGTATCTATTTTATTTTAGATCATTTTATTTTGGTAAAATTTTTCTCTTGAACTAATAGTTTTCCCGCAATTTGATAAAATGTAAGCACATTTTCAACAGAAAAATTAAATTTGGAAATTTAAAGTTTTTATTTTATATCTTCCTGTAAGAAGTGCTCATGAGCATTTTATTTGAGTAATATTTTACTTTAGGACCTATAGTTTCCCATGAATTTGACTAAATGTGAACTTACATTTTTTCACAAAAATTAATTTTGTAAATTTAAAGTTTTATTTCGGAAGTTGTTGTTATAGAAGGTCTCCTAGAGCATTTTATTTTATTTTAATAGATTTTACTCTTGGACTCATAGTTTTCCACCAATTTTATCAAATGTGAACATTTTCCACAGAAAGGAATGATCACTTGGGTATAACGAGAGAGAGACGAGGACCGATCTCCCCGTCTCATCTCGAGCGCTGCCAATCATTCCGTGAAACTTGTCACGCAGGTCCACGAGCGGAGGCAGGCATAGTTCGAGTGGGTGGACCGATCTTCGTCTCTCTCACTCTGGCGGCAATACAAACGAATGAGATTTTCTCCGTGCGGTTTTAGTTTTTCGTTGAATGTT